AGAGAGAGAGAGAGAGAGAGAGAGAGAGAGAGAGAGAGAGAGAGAGAGAGAGAGAGAGAGAGAGCGCCGAGATTGATATCGCGTATGACGATGAACTCGTGAAATTGAATTTCACAAGACCGCTGCTGTTGCGCGCAAAAGTTTCCGACGAAGAAAGAAGCTCGGCCGAATCAAACCGCTTGAAAACAAAAAAAAAATATATATATAAGGCAGCTGTCATTTGGCTGAGAGCTCCGCTGGCAATGCAACTTGGAATTTTTATTAGTTTACTTCTTTTCGCTCGGCACGAAGAATATTACTTCGCGATCGTTGCTTGATGTAGACTGCTCTACAAGCCCGATCAGGAAGTTTCAGTGGATTGGAAAAGAAAGATTATTGTTGCGAGTCAAGACGGATTCAAATTGAATTGGCATAGTTGAATTATCGTTTTCATCTCATTTAGAAATGGATATTCGCACGCTTCTGAGGATTCCATTTTAAGGTCGAATTTTTCCTAATATAACGTCCTTGTATGGGAGAGCTATTGGTGTAGTTTTGGAATGGGACGAAATAATTTAAGTGAATTTGCTTGTTCGAAATACTTAATTATCTCGTCTGAGGATTGCTGACACGAAGTCGATAAATCAATTTATTTTTATCTAAGAATGTACCGGAATACATGCTTTAGTTACCGAATAATCGTATTGGTTTAGCAAATGGTTAAAAATAAAATTACGAATGACGCTGACGATAATTTTTTTCTTGAAAATCCGTAGCCTTCTGCAAATAAATGATTCATTCAAACTTCCATAAGTAATCGAGTAGAATTTTCTCATTGCTCGATCTCATATCTCATTCTTCGACCGACAGTCACGATTCTAAAAGGGATAGCCGAGCAACTCGCAAAACAAGTACGAATGCCAGAGAGCATCGATCGCGTTAAAAACACTACGATGCGCTTTCGGAGTTCGCCATCTACGTAGTGAAACGAAAAAAAAACGAGGGAAGCAGCACTCGAAACTCTACCGGAGGCTAATATATCCATTTCAATCGGCGTGCGCGCAAGAACTTAAAGCTCTAATTAACCTTCCTTCCAACTGCAAACCAATTCAATAGAAGAGAGAGAGAGAGAGAGAGAGAGAGAGAGAGAGAGAGAGAGAGAGAGAGAGAGAGAGAGAAAGAGGCGAAAAAAGGAAAAGCAGAAGAAAACACTTGGGTCCGGGCGAACGCAATTATCCCCTCCGAAAACTTGTTAGGGAAACAAAAACGAGGTCGTCGTCGTCGCGTTCGCGAGATGAATGGTCAAGCTCGCGTCGCCAAGGATGCCGTGCGTCATTCCGCAGTCTTCGAGAGCGAGACGGCCTCCATCGGTCCTCGATATATCTCTAGTTTCGGGCGCGCGAATATTTCGGATGCTCGGGTCGCTCGATCCTATTTGTTTCTCACGGCTGTGCTGCAACTTTTTGTCCTTGCCATCTTCTGGCTGAGCACCGCGACGATGAATAAAAAAAAATGGATACATTCGATGACTATAAATTGAACTGGTTGTTATTCGCGTGGCCGTTTAATTTACGCGCAATTCGCATAGTTTGCGCTCAATTATATCCAATTTTCAAAACAATTTTGACTCAATCCGGAGGCTATGCAACATTCGTTAGCGGGATTTCAGCGTCCACGTATCAACAGGAAAGCAGACTCCAACCCCAACCCCACCCACAAAAAATAACGCGCTTATCGAGGCAATGGAAATTGAAAAGGGTTCTAAAGTTGGCACCGTCGAAGATAATATTCGTTGTTGTCCTACACCACGACCAGAGAGCTTAAATAGACGAAGCTTCAAAATAAACGAGCATAGAGTGCTGACATATATTCTAAACGGAGAAGCTGCTGGCAATTGGTGGATCAACGTTAATTTGTCGCATGCGAGAGAAGCGAGTTTGCGGTGCGTTTATGCAGTAGCATCCCGGTGACAATTATCTCGCTCGCACGCTAAATTCAAATCATTTGGAATGTTGTCGAACTGTTTTCAGATGCACCGCTTCGCGAAACCATTTCGCATTGCCAGCGTGAAGCACATCAACTCCAACGCTGGCCAATTTATAATGCAAAGCAAACTCGATTGATTCATTCGGCAAGCGCGTGATAGTAAAATATTAAAAGATTCGCGGGAGAGAGGATAGAATAAACTTCATCGCGCATGACTACCGTTTTTATTTCTTTCAACAACATTGTCCACCGGGCAGGTCGTACATTTTAATCTGGCGCGCACGCTATCGCGCCAGGAAAAATAAAAGATAGGTATCTTTTTCAGAGGCAGCGCCATTATCAGCGAGGACTCGCGGAGGAAGTTCAGAAACGAGAAATATGATTAGTTTGGTTTGGAAGAGAATGGAATATGGGATTTGACTTGCGTAATAGAACGTTTCGTCGTTCATTAAACGAGCGCGTCGACGCGGCAATATTCGTTCGCCTCTTTGTCAACTTTGAATCGCATTTTCTTTTTTAAATGAGCTTTTTACTCTTCAATATCCCGGCTGAACGTTCGGAGCGGCTCTTGAAGCTCGCGGTCGAAAAATAAATCTGTTATCATTCTTTCACGACGATTCTGTTTGCTCGACAATTGCCCGTTTACTTTTAGCGAGTAAACGTCCAATTACAAGCGTGCTGCACGTGACCGTCCAAAAGAACAGCCGAGAGGCTATTCGGGAAGAAAATCGCCAGCAAATATGCGATATTAAATAGCGCGTAATAGACGCACGTTTGGGCAAGAAATATCTCGTTAAATCAGCTTGAAAGGTTCCCCGCGCTTGCGCGCTTCGTAAATGTCATTTCGCTTTTTCGAAGGCTCGGGCGTCTCTTCCGTCTTTGGCAAGATCAACAAACCACGAGCTCGAAAGTTCATCAAACTACATACCCTCGATGAATCGACAATGACATTTGGCCATAGTAGCTTAAGTGGAGTTCCTTCGAGCTCGTCAAATATTTAGCGGAATCTTCGTCGCGTGGTTATCCGCGGCAGCGTTCGCTAGCCACGGAGAAAGAACGTCTCGCCCCGACGTTTGTTCGATGTAAATTCAAGCCGAATCTGATATTTGACGTCGAGCAAACAGCGCAGCCGTGCGCGCGCGCGCGCGTAGTTATCGAGTCCGGCGCAATCTGCAAATGCGACCGAGTTGAACGAGCGACGAGGGAGCGGACCCCGTCACCGAAATTCTAATTGTATCTTATCGACAAGAGCGACGTTCATCGTTACTAGCGGCGATCATTTTAAATTGCTTCGACGTTCCCCTATCCCGCGTACGAGGATTCCGCTGGACGCGGCGAATATCTCGGGGGAGGGTCCGTTAGCCTACGCAACAACGTCAAAGGTTGATTCTGAACCATCGGCCGATAATGTCCATCAAAGCATCCTCGGCCCACAAGCCATTCAAGCAACAGTTTCATTGAAATCCAAAGTCAATAGCAAGGCGCACAGCGCGATAGCCATCAATAATCAGGTCATATGATCCGGACTCTAATTGAACGTCGTTATATAAGCGGTTTCCTCTCTTTTCTTAGCCGTCAAGAAGCTTTGAAATCCGATTAGACTTTGACGCTAAATTGATAAAGTCCGCGTGCACTTTCCAGCGACGACAGGTAAGTGGAAGACTGCATTTTTCAGCCGGAGAGAATGTCGATCACGATATCTTCCAACGAGCCTCTTCCCTGCCAGTTTATCGACGACGGGGGAAAAAAACGATGACTATAAGCTGTCGGCGCTTCGTTGGGGGACATACGCTTGTCTTTTTTTTTTTTTTCGGAGAAAAAAGTTCAATATGACGATCGTTGGATGAATGCTTGAATGAGTATACGTTATTGAATTGACATGGAGATTGATTTTTATGGGGAATATATATATTTTTGGAATTTTATTAGTAAAATATTCGATACTACGCCAGATTTGTCTCTGAAACAAAAAAGAAAACTTCGGAACGCCGTATCCTGTGCATACTAGAATTTGATAAAAGCTACACCCCATTAAAAAATCTCTCGTATAAAGCATGCGCAAACGTATTGCGATGAAAGTTGCGCTGTGCCGCTGCGTTGATAGAGTAATAATGCCGGGGAACAAAGTGAAACGATCGAACAATTATCCGCGCTATTGAGAATTCGTCGATGTGAGAATCGATTATTATTCTCGCGGCAGTCTTTGCATAACCGGCGGAACAATCGATCAGACTCGTCGAGCTTTGAGCCGAGCGTCTAACGAAATCTCCTCGGATCTGTTGCCACCACCACGCGCTTAATCAAACTTTTCCATTTCTCCTCGTTCGATAACTCTCTGCGTTGTTACAGCGGCTACGTCTATCTGTGACTAGGCTGTTTTCCTACGGATCGAGTGGACTACAAAGAAAATCTGTGCGTATTTTTCTTCTGTCGGTCTGTCGGATTAATGGTCTCGAATCTTGCCATGCACGCGGTCATTTTTGGGAGTGCGATGGAAAGCAGTGATGAATCGCGCGTGCGAGCAGACTCTCTCTCTCTCTCGCGCGCGCTTCTGTTTGGTCGTTCGGAATTTGTCGCTCGGCATCTGGGACAAAGCTTCTCTCTCTTTTCACTGCTGAGATTTCACACGGAACGCTACCGAGCTTCCTGTTACTTCGTTTCAACCAAATGTAATTTATCGTTTTCCCCTCGCCGCGTGGACAATATTTCACGCTCGCAGCTTCTTCCGGGATGCCGAAGCCCAAAGCTCTCGATACCCAGGTGCCCGTTGATGCCTCTTCGTTCCAAATTGAAGAAGATAGAGGTAAATTATCTCGCAGCCTCTTCGTCGGTGGTTTAACTCTTCAGAAGCGCTCGCTCGCCTTTAACTCAAGGGTCGCGCGCTCAACGATAATAAATAGGGCCGTTAGCGGCCAAAAAAAAATAGGCGAGCGCCTATAGCTCGAGAAAGAGAGGGAGCGCGTGTGTATGTATGTACGTATGTGTGTGCGCTCGCGCAAGAAAATACGCAGTTACGTGCGTATGCGGGTACGTACCGATGTTGACTGCAGTCGTTAAAATTCCAGCGCTGAAGTGCGCGAGCACAGACCTTCTCTGCGCGCGCCAACTCTATTTGCGAATCTCTCTCCCTTCCTGAAACAGAATTTCGTTTTTTTCGTGGGTTTTACACTCTTTTCGTTTCGACGCCGTGCGTCTCGCTCGTTTCCGATCGGACTCGCGGCGATAAACCGCCGAGATTTCTCCGCGCTGCCGTCGAGCGATAGCGGCGAAATTTTATCGATGAAGATAAGCGTTGCAGCGCCGGCCGCAACTTCCACTGGCCACTCGATTGATCGTTATTTCAACCGAAGGCATCCGCGCGGATATCGAAAGATTAAATTTGGAAAGGCAATAACGAGCTTGCAGGCGCAGTACACCGGACGAACGCCGACGATGAATCCGATGGACGAGCACGCGATATGACATCCAAGTCCAGTGAAAGGGCCCGCGCACCAGTCGTGGCGGCAGGCAGCAATGGAAGACCGGCGCTCGCATCATTCCCGTCCTGGATTGGCATTCGCGAGGAAGGCAATAGCTCCGCCGGAGAATCCCACGCAGCGCGCGTGCACACGTGACACGCGTTACAGCTGTCGCGCAGTCAACAACCTACGTCCCCGCCGCGCAACGGAAAAAGAAAGACACGAGCAGAGGTGAAAAACCTCGCCCAGCTTCGGGCGAAACGAGACGACGGGACGGGAAGCGACGGCGGTGCGGTGTGCACTTAACCCCGTTGTTTACGCTGTGGACTGAAAACCTAGCCTCTCCCTCTCGAATCGATACTTACGAGAGTAAGAGCAGCGGCGGACTCGGCAACGACGGAGGGGCAGAGCAGCGCGCACCACTGTCACCGGCGTTACGTAACGCGCACGGCCGACACTCAAGTCCTTAACGGTGGCCAGCGATCGACTGCTGCTACCGCGGAAGAGAGACAGACAGACAAAGACGGAGAGAGAGTGAGAGGGCGAGAGAGGGAGAGAGAGAGAGAGAGAGAGAGAGAGAGAAAGAGAGAGCGAGTGAGCGAGGACAGAAAGAGAGAGAAACGGCAAAGGCAGGCAGACAGCTCGTGTGTACGGAGTCGGACGTGCGTATGCGTGGTCGTGCGTGCCCGCGGGAACGAGAGACGCGCTCGCGGGGCCAACTGCTGGGGCACTGGCTGCCCGTGCGCCGCTGCTGCCGCCAGCGCGGCGCAGCGTTTCGCGCGCAGAATCGTCCACAAGGGTGGGTGCCCCGCGCGCCTGCCACTGCGCGCGCGTCGCCGACGCGGCCGATGCTCGCTCTCACCAGCTTTGCCGTCGCGCGATGCAGTACATTCAATTCTTCGCCTGTCCTTAATTCTCGCGGCCGATAACTTTCGGATACTTTGGGATGGGCGAAAACGACCGGTCCAAGCGAGACGGAGTTCGTCGCGAGGGATTCGACGAAGATTGGAAAGGTAACGGACGCTGGCAGGTTATGTTGCTGGCAAGAGGTGTTTTTTTCTGTATTTTTTTTTTTTTTTTTTGAACTTTTACGAGATTTTTGAAAAGCAAAAACGTCCAATTGGCGCGATCGCGGGATCGAAACTTCACGAGGGAAAAGTTGGAAAACGAAGCGGATGCCTCCCGAAAGAGGAACAGCTCTCTTGCCGACGTTTGCCAGCGGAACAGCCGCATGCGTGTCAAAGGCGACACCGCCCTCGAGCCAAACTTTTCCTCTCTTTTTTCATCCCTACTCCCCTCTTCCTCCGAACGCTCTATCTTTCTCGCATATGGCATTTCCATCTCTCTTTTTCTTTCTCTCTCTGTCACTTCATCTTTTCCAAATCGTTTTCGAGTTTGCAACTATATTAATGCATGCGTTTTTTTTTCATTCGTGTCTATATAAATATGATTCAGTCTGATGGATACTTCTTTTCAAACGTGATTTGTTTCTAAACTGAAAGTAGAGAGTACCCCGGAAAAACCAATAGATACTCACGACCACTTTATGCACGTTTGACATGTGGTCATAACAAAAAAAAAAAGAAAAAAATAGGGAGCAAGAGATATCAAATTATTTTCGAAAACACAGACTTCTGTTACACATCGCCAGGTGTGATTCGAACGCGACTTGTATAGCCGGGAGCAAAAATCCCAATTCGACCCGCTTACACTCTGAACGTTAATTGCAAAGAGCAATCGGCAGGGGGGTGGAAAAAAAATCTGAGAACGAGCAGTCGAAAGTAGTAGCGGCACTCGACTCTATTCTTTCTTTCTTCTTCGTCCTCGAGTGGCAGCATCATCGACGTCGTTGCAAAAGCTCATCGTGCACCCGTGACACAAAGAATCGCGTATAGCTCGAAAAATGAACCGGTTCAGCGATCCATCGACGAGCAGAAGAGTTGTTTTCCAATTATCGCGGGCACGAGTGTAGGCAGGTATACGCGCTGCTCCAATGCCATTTCAATCGAAAGCTGTCTAGAACTTTTTTCGACCGGACGATCGTTGGACAATTCTTTCTTTTTGCTAATACTGCCATGCTCTTCAGAATCATTAGTACGTCTAGCTTGGCCGGAGCGAAAATTCGAGATGACACTCTAATTCCAAAAGAATCCCATATATTTCTCATCTTCATCATTCCAACAAACTAAACTAAAACGTCGATTCGGTTGTCAAGAGTTCGCAATAAGAAGAAAACGTTCTCGACAATCAACTCTGCACACTCGCTCTTACTCTCTCGATCGTATCAATCAAATCGCACTCGTGTACGAGCCATCGACTGCGTTCTATCTCGCAAATATCGATTAAACAATCAACGCCGCGCGTACGCCAAAGGGAGAGAGGGGAGGGGGGGAGAGACAGACAGACAGACAGACAGAGAGAGAGAGAGAGAGAGAGAGAGAGAGAGAGCAGCTGAGTTTGCAAGAAGCTAATGCTCGGCGCTGCACCTTCTTGGCGATAATAGAGGCAGGTTGCGAAATGGTTACAAAGCGAAAGCTCTTCGCAGCTGCAAAACACAGCCGCTGCTACTCTTGGTTAAGCATTTACGCGGTGGTTATTTGGGTAACTGCTGAAGGGCGATTACCATTCGCGCTGCTTGCTCTCTCTCCCGCTCTCTTTCTCTCTTGCTTTTTGTGCGCCGCTTCAAATTATCAGGAGAGCTTTCGACGAGTCACGTCGCTCGGACGACTGCGGCCAAATCGAGCGAGCAGAAGGAGCCATCGGTTGGATTTGGCTGAGCCTATCATCGCAGCTGTCTCGTGGATGCACTCGGGTCTCGTTATATATATGCACATGCACGTCGCCATCGTCACGGCATAACTACTGCTGCTGCTGCTGCATCCGATATAGACTATTGCGAGCGCAACCCCTGCAGCCAAGGGTAATGAGTGTGCGGAGAGGAACTGCACACCTCACATTCCAAATGGGTCAGTTGAGTGGCTTCTATTTTTCGAGAAATGGACTTGAATTATGATTAATAATTGGAAGAGTTGATATACGACGTGGGCATCGCTATGTACAAAACGTTGACATTTTGAGAAAAATATTAAAGTGAAACGACGTTGTTACACCTGGGATTCTCTGTCGTATACCTTCGTTGCGTAACTGCTTGCGTAACTCGGCGAAGGGAGGATTCGGTTTATACACTTTTATTGCAGGATGTTGAGTAGCGAAGACTCGATGTATGCGTAACGAGCAGAACCCGAGCATTGCAATGCTATATGAATGGATAAAGAGCGATGTATAATTGCGAACATTTGGAAGGCGATAGTACTCGGTCGCTTTTTTCCTCGCGCAATACAAGTCAAGTTGTTGGCTTCGAGAAAACAAAAGAAAGACGTCGGCTCGATAATCTATGACAAAGCGTTTTCCAATTATCACGAAACAATCTATAGTCGTGCGGATTCAATTAAAGTGCCGCGCGGAAAACTTTTTCAATCGGCTGCTTGACAGGTCCCCCCTCCCCCTCGCCCCAAGTATACGTTTATGAGCGTGCAATATTCGATTTCATTGACGTTGAAGGACGAGAAGTTTCCAAAGAATTTTCAAACTTCTTGCAGAATTTTTGATGCAACGAAGTCCACGGGGTTTTTCGGAACTTTCAAGTGCACACTCGGAAGAAGACTGCGGTAACGAAAGCTTCCGATGAATCACTATATTGACTGTTGAAAATTATCAGTGAAGAATCGAATCGATGAAGAAAAAAATGTATTTCAATTGTCGACTTTTTCTTTAATAAATTGTATTGTTCACCAAAACTCCCTACAGTTTGATCACAAATCAAATCTTTTTTTTTTCGCAATTCCGTATCTAAACTAATCGAAAAAAAAAAGTTAGCATTGGTTCATCCATGAAATCGCACATGTCGATTGCCAAAATCAATTAAATCTCAAGCCACCGCAGGCCACGAGTATCGATTAAACAATCAGCAGCGCGAGAGGAAAAGCTACGTAAGGTAGGCAACGCATATGCTTGCGTCAGCGATCGCGGCTTTTAGGGTTGCTATGGAGAACAAAGCGGGCTGAGTGTATACGAGCCGTTCCGGCAAAAACAACACCTTGGTTTACTGCATTAGTACGTGTACCTTGATATAGTTGAAACAGGATTACCAGTCATCTTTTTCGCCTGCCTTATTGTGGAGCTGCTTTGACTCGTATGCACGAAGAGTGAGTATAGGAGTGGAAAATGAAGTTTACCGGGTATTCGCAACTTGGTAATTAGATTATCATTACTAATTAGAGGATCGGGCAATGCAATTACAGTTATCCGATGGAACCGCTCTCTAAACTTATTATTACATTTATTTACAATTGAAGATCTGTCAATCGGTCGGTGAAAAGGAGAGTCAGCTGACAGCATGCAAAATTCACACAAATAAAAGAAAACAGGAAAGAAAATAAAATTACAAACGCAAGCTCAATTTGGATCCTCAAGATATAAGAATGCCGTTGTCGTAGGTAAGCAGCGCATAGACGATAAAGCAGAAACGTGACGTCGGGGCGAAAGATATCGCTGGGGGGCGCAGAGCGCGCGCAACGCAGGATGTCGGTGGCGGTGGCCGGCGCGCTATCGTCGCTCGAGGAATGCGGCGACGCATTGGCGGTATACCAGTGCGCGTTGAACGAACGCCACCGCGCCGCTGCTGTCGATATCGACTGCCTCCACTCCTGTCGCCGCAAGCACACCTGTGCTCAAGGGTATACGCGCCTCGACAGCCTCGCTTTTCGGTTTTTCATTTTTGCTCGCTATCTCTCTCACGCGCTCCCTTGGCAGCTTGAAAACGGGCAACGAGCGCAAAACGAGTGCTGCTCTTCGGCTGGCTAATCAAGAGATCGTCTTTGAGAAACTCAAACAGGACAGGTGGGCGATTTTCGAGCCACGGAATTCGACTGTTCAGTTTGGTAATCGTCGAACGATCTTGCAGTGAGTGGCTGGAACAACTCGTTGAAAGAACCAGAGCGTCGCTGTCCACCGAGGGAAGCTTCGAGGTGTTGAAGAGCGAGATCGCGGCCAAAACGTCGACTCGCGCCGGCGAAGAGGAGCTTTTGAGCGAAGCAGCGCGCCTGACAAGGCAATTGGACGAGATGCGCGAGCAGATGGCCAGAGAGCGCGAAAGGCGCCGCGAGGAGGAAGCGAATCTGAGGGCTGAGCTGCTGAGACTCCGGGTAAAGAATAAGACCGTTGATTACTCGTGTAAATTATTTTTCTCTCATGCAAGCGTACTATTGTCCGTACGTTTGGTTACAGTGTCGCAGCACAATTGCTTGAAATTGATATTTACATTCTCGAACAGGGCATTGACTTCCTCGTCGCTGGGTAAAACCTTCTCGATGACCTTCGAGTATTCGTCCATCGGACAATATTCCGCGTGACTTCCCAATGTTATAGGCTGAAAATCGCTGTCTCTGCCAGTTTGATAGAGCATCTGAAACAGAAATGGGTGGCGAGGGGGGGAAGGGGGGGGTCAAGATTAATTTTTGACCGTAGAAAGTGGAAGACGCAATCATTTACCCTAACGTAAATCCGATTGTCCGAGTCGCGGAACTTCTCGATCACGAGAGCATTCGCGAAATCGGGATATCTGAACTCCTTGATGTCGTGAGCCCTCGTGAAAGCGGCAATGTTCAACTCGTGTCCGCTGTACAGATAAATTTTCCTTGGATTTTGCTTGGACGCGTCCGACAGGCTCATGTTCTCCAGCACGGTCTTGATGAGCGGGCCGGTGCTCAATTTCATCATTTCGGTGGTGAGCGACATGCCGTCAAAGTACGATATGACTTGTTCCTTCAGCGTACTGTACAATTCCTCCGTGTACCAGTGCGGCAGCGGCGCCTTGGCTGCTCTCTGGAAAAGTTCGTAGAAAGGCGTTTAGCGCGCGCGCATCGACGTCGACTGGCGGAACAGAGAAGGCTTCCAAGCAATCATTCACGTGAGTATTGAGAACGTTGAAGATGCCCATCAGCCCGAGGAAGCCGTGCTTGTTGATGGTCTCGATCTTGTGCTTGACCAAGTATCGATTGTTCGTCCGTATGAGCTCCCTCGTCCTGTCTTCGAACGCCGACGAGCTCCTGACTTCCCTCAGAATCTGCTGATACCTGCGACACATTGCGAAGCAAGCGTGAGCAAGTCGTGGCAGCTCGCCGGCGCTACAGCTCGCTCGGCTTACTTGGGATTGTGAAACGTTTGCAGCAGAATGTCGAGCTCCTTGGGCAGATAATGCGTGGGAATCGGATGCCAATTGAGTTCCGGATGCCAACTCTGATGCTGCGTCGGCGGATAGAGTCCCGCGAGGACCAGCTGCAACGACATCTTGGTGCGGTCGGTGTTGCTGCTGTAGGCGTAGACGTGCTGCGGTCTGTAGTGCGCGCCCAGGTACTCGTCGTAGCGCTCGCGAAGCGCGCAACCGAGGCTGTGTGCTTGCGCTTTGCCGATCTGTTCGGAACCGCAGTGAACGTTACTTCGCGTCGTCGATTCGCTCGCGCGACTGCCAATAACTTTGCAAGGGGATTTACGTTCGTCAGTTGCTCGTAGCCGTACGTGTCGTGGAGCTCCCGATCGACGTACTCGGGTATCGCGAGCGCGGCCTCCAGTTGGCTGCACGTCCTCGCGCCATGCCTGAAAAGCTGTCGTGGGTAAATCCAAAATCAACGAGTCGCTTTATCTTCAAACGAGTGATATTTCATTTTTTAAGTACTTCCCGGATCGCCTCGGCTGTCGGAAGTTAACGCGACGCCCGACTTCGTTTTGGCTTTGCAAAGAAATTCTCACAATCGAAACTTGTGATTTCAAGTATTGTCGACCAAGTCACGTATTATTTTACACGATTCCGTTCTACACAGAATCACGTTATAGTTACGAAGAAAAGGAAATTCTCATTTTGTGATTTCTTACGCAACATAAACATCAAATTGTTTTACTTTATATTACGTGCCAATTGACCGAAACTCTTATTTCTCGTTAAATTGGTTTTGAAAATCCCAATACAAAGGATTACATTGAAGACAGTGCAAAATGCATCGGAAAGAATAATGTAACCGGTTCTTCGGGCGGGAACGGGCGAGTGCGCGGGCGCACGTTTTAAAAGCTATGACGCGTTCGTAATTTTTGTAATGCCACTTGCGCAAAAAACGAAGTTAACCTCAAAATCAAGTATATTCACAAATCTTAATGGGCTTGGTGCGTATCGTGCAAATGGCATCCCGGCAATCGCGTTCGATCGCCTGGACACCTTCGAATAGTCAACAAACCCAACACCGCGGAGAAAGAAAGAAAGAGATAAACGCAGCCGGCCGGAGAAAACGAAAGAAATACTCACCACTTGCACGAGCTCCAGTCTAAGCTCGTCTACGCTAGCCATGACTGAATTGATATCTGTCACTCGCGAGCGGCAACAATAGCGCCTGGCAATACGAGGCTTTGCGCTCAATCACCTCTTACGGGAAAAGAAAACGACGACGACCGAACGGACGACGCTCGCGCAACGACGGCAACAGCTGATCGCGCCCGACTCTCGGTTATAGATTTCGCAATGCACTTTCTCTCTCGCGTGCGCGCACACACACGCGGACGGGCCGGGCACGCACGCACGCACGCGCGCACACGGTCGCAACGATGATCCGCTTACCTGCGCGTCACCGTGCCAACTGACGTTACGGAGCGCCGCGCGCGCGCCCACGGGTCAAAAAAGAAGGCCCGAACGCGCGGCGCGCGCGCGTGTGTGCGTACGCGTATCTGCGCGCAGCGATCGGCAAGTCATGCCTCGGCCTACCGCTACGCTCGCGAATTGCTCTTATCTGGCTACTTTGTCGCGCGCGCTCGTGACGCACGCGCTCGCGATCCGTGATCCCGCGAGATATGGGCTTCGCGAGGCTAATCCGAGATCGATCGTAGAAGGAAGCGCGGCGCGGCACCGATCGGTTCCTCGGCCGCGCCGACGAGATTCGCGAGTCAGCGACGCTGGGAGCGAATCGACTTTCGGAATCCACACGCGAGGCTGGGACGAGGCTGTCGGCGACGTCGATCAACCGCAGCCAATAATTCGGTCGCGGCTCGAATGGCCGAGCGCAAGAGGCAGAGTGTCAAAGACAGCGAGAGAAAGATGATAAAGCAACACAGCGAGATCGGCTAATTTTTTCTTCTTTTATTTGCCAGCTCTCCCTCTCTCCCTCTCGACTCGCCTGCAGCGCAAATAGGCCGTTCGCTTATTTCAAGAGCCGCTCCTTACAATCGACTCATTCAAGCGCGCGGCTCTTTGGCCCTTTGTCTTCCGACAAGGAGGTCTTTTGATAGGGGCTCGTACCAGCGCTAGCCGCGAGAGATACGCCGGAACTTTTCTCTCTCGCTCCGAGGGAAACTGGGCGATTGGCAAGAGAAGCTTCGGATACGGTTTCTCTCTCTCTCTCTCTCTCTCTCTCTCTCTCTCTCTCTCTCTCTCTCTCTCTCTCTGTGTTTCAAAGAAATGGAATTACACCGTTTCTATAATTCAGCCGCTGGTGTGGAGCGATCGACGTGCCTCTTATTGGCAATTTAATCTTTGACTGCGGACAACGAATGAGCGCGCGTCGGTGCGCACGGCGAGACCCTATTAACGGGACGCTTTCATAATTAATCATTCAGATAACATTGCGTCGCCTCCTCGAAATATCACTTCGATGCGAATTTTCGGCACGGACCCAGCGAAAATTCACTCGAATATAGACATTCTAACCTCTCATTTTCTCAACCGCCTGGGTAAAATCACCGCGATTGAATTACTTGAAGCTTACGCTAGAGGAGCTTGCGTATGTCCTCGTAACTGAGCCTCAGTGACCTCCGCAATTGATTCGTTTGATAAAAATACATTTTCACTTGAAGCGAGCGCTCGAAATCGTGGACGCTGTTTCTCGAAAGTGAATTTCATTCAGCGGCTCGTAACGTTCACGTCTTAAACTTTCAAATAACGTCCAAGCGGGGAAAGCTTTCAGCAAAGACTACAGAGCGTATTCGCTCGCATTTTTTTTTTTTTTTCAGAACGAGAAAGAAAAGCTCGCAGTGAAGTCAAAAGCCGAGTCAGAGTACGTAACCGAGTGGCTGGAGTCGCGCCGCGATCAGCAGCGGCTGAGAGCCGAGATCACTCGTGCGCAACTGAAGGACGATCTCGAGCGATGCAGAATACGCGAGGGTAGCGAACGACTCGTCACCAGCCGGATCGACGCCTATCATCGCCAAAGCATCCAGGTAAAAACGCTCCTGCGCCCGCGATCGAGAGTAAAGTGACGTCGGAGAGCGCGGGAACTGATCCAAGCGCGAATCGGCGAAGGTTTTAATTACAGCGCGAAAACCGCATAAAACAACGCCAACGGGACGTCCGACTCGCTTTTCTCAAAATAATGTACTGTTGGGACACTCTAGTTTCTCTTTTTTTTAATCATGGATGTTCCGATAAATATCTAGAGAAAAAAAGTTCGTTCCGTGCGTTCCCGCGCAAACGAAATCCCGAAAGTAGAACTCGTCAACGCGTAGTCATCGTTATTGAACGAGGATCAAAGTCCCCACACCAAGATGAAACATATCAAACTGTCATATACTTATAAAATTCAATTTCCAGAGACTAATAGAAATATTTATCTACAGGAGAATGAGAGGATGGCGAGCGAGTGGTTTGAGCGAAGGCGGGCGGAAAGTAGGTCTTACGAAGCTGAAATTCTACGCCTGGGCGACGAAATCGCCAAGAGCCGCGCTGCCCTCGAAGAAATTCAGCAAGAGGTAACAAGGACTATATCACGACTTCGCTCGTTTACCGTTTCAGCGTTTTCGCATTGCATTTGCAAATTACGAATGAATAACTGAATAGTCACAGCAAAACAAGATTCCGTAGCGCTTTTCTTTTAAAGTATTATTTGATGCTGGCTGATCCAAAGTAAATTGCCTTTTTTAAGAAGCATCCATTGTTCTCCCACCCATTGCCGTAGAACTCATTTGGATGGGCAGTGCGATAAATAACAGCAATACGTCGGATAGAATTGCTTGGTTCGGCCCGACCAATAACGAGCCTCGATGTGAAAATCTCGATAAGACTCGCGTAATTGTTTTTACGATTACTTTCTCCGCTCGCGCCTCTCCAATTCTGTCTTATTTTCATTATCTCTTCTTTAATATTTCAAAGGTATATCGGGCAAAAATGAGTGGCGAGCAAGTGTCCTTCGATGATTTTCCGCGAGTGAGGTGAGACCTGCATCGACTGCATTTTCCGCCCAATGCGGTGCAGCTATTTCCAAAGCACTTTGCCAATAGCCATCGAACTCTAGAAGTCAAGAGTACGTCGGACCCATCCGCGTCTTTACTTTTTATGCGACTTTCAATTTTTCGGACACGCGAAAGAGTAAGAATTGCGCGGATCTCGATGAGGATTGACGAGTGCAGAGGAACGAAATCGCCCGTGAAAAAGCCGGAAGCGCGTATAAAATCAATTACCGCCGCGGATTAATACTCGTGGACTTCCTGCTTCCCGCTGGCAGCCGCGACTTTCTCCTCCCGTCATTCCCCCCGAGCAGGAAATTGAAGTGGGAAAATCGATCGTATCGTCGCTCATGAAAATTCATCGGTGCGCAATCGAGAGTCGCTTTGTCGCGCATCTCGCCTAGTGGCCTCCGCATTGCATTGTGTCGCATGATAATGTTTGGCCTGGATAAGAGATGTCGCGAGGGCAAGGAAGAGACGAGAAAGAAAAGTTGGCCTCTTTGTGGCGCGTGAATGGGCAGAGGCAGAGCGCCTCTCCCCCGATTCGCCCGCCGCGTAGATTTCTTTAAGATGGAAATTTTTTTCGCGAGACGGGATAAAGAGCCGTCATTTCAGTGCCCCTTTCAAGCTACTTGTCTATACACACACACATACACACACACACACACACACACACACACACACACACACACACACACACACAAAAGAAAAAAGACACGCTAACGCGGCCTCGCTGCTTTTATCATGCGCGCGCGGCTACGTGAAAAGAATCGAAACCGACGGAGTTCAGAAAGAGATTGTAGGATAAGTTTATTACGAAACAGCCTATCCAGCACTGTTATCGTTCGATTTGCCAAAGACTTTTCGATCGCCAGTGGTACTTTTCATTATTCTTCACGTTGGCCAGCTATCTCTCGGATGATTTCGTTGCTGCATTAAGATACACGACGTCGATGATGATTATTCGCGAAAGAAGAGATGACTTTGCACTCGAACCAGAAATACAGTGCGAAATGCGGAACGAACCGATCCCTGAAAACGCGACTCTCTCTCTCTCTCTCTCTCTCTCTCTCTCTCTTTCTTTGAAAAGTAAGCTCTCTAACTTTATTTCCATGCCATCCCGAACTTGTCCAACGGAGAGCACAAACCAAACGCAACGAGGAGAAGGAGGAAAATAAAATCCAAATCCAAAGTACTGAAAGCTTTACATTAACTTTCTTTTCGGAAGGCGCACACGCGCAGACGTGGCTCCCAAAGCGCACTTAACATTTCAAGAATCTTCGTCAGAAAGGCTATTCTTGACAAGAGCTTTCCCCACGCGAAGACTGTCTTATTGTATCGGCTCGAAGGAGCAATCGGTGAGTTGCGCTTTCGATTGGCGCTGCCGTCAGCTGGTTTTTTTCTTTCTTCAGCGAGCGAATTCTCGACCGCCGCTAACTCGTATAACAATGTTCCGCATTCAAAAGGTGCGCGCCTGAGACACGCGGCGAATTCGAGAAGAGTATACGCTTTCGTTCGATATGACGGACTGCCGCTTCGTTTTATTTGGCCTTCGGTTGAACGAGACATTCGTGGATTTTGACTTTTTCATAGCAAAGGAAATTCAGGAGTTTCTGCAAGTGGAAAACGACTGGCTATTAGAGTTTAGCTTCGAAATGAATGCAATTTGTAAGTTTTCCATCGAAATAAAAATACAGCTTAAATTATAATTAGTGAATTACAATTAGCTAATTCATAATTAGGGCATATTCTATTTGCGAGTAAAACTCTGTTTCGTTGTTCCACAAATTACGAAGTACAAACAAAATATTTCATATATTATAGGTATAAAAAATCACTTTTTTCAAAACCAAAGAGAACACCAATAACAACTACGAGTCTAGAAATAACGAGCTCGGATCAAATCGCTAGAAAGCAATGTTCTCGAAAACAACAGTTCGGTTGGTTTGAGCTTTTCGTTACAGAAACACTGAGAATTACAATAGTGATTTAATCGACTAACCCTTTTATAAACGTAAATACGCCGAGCAGTCCACGACACGTTATTTCATCCAGGCTTTGGCTTTCAAAGTCTAATTACGCAACTAAATATTAAGATTAGCTTAAAAATGCGTATTTACACGGAATAAAATACATTTGTCAAAATAACGCCAATCGCAGTAACGATTGTCTAAATCTTGCAGTACAACCAACGCCAGGAATTCATAGACACGAGCTTGGCGGAGAGAGAAGCAGCACGCAAAGCGCAGGAATACGAAGCGTTCAAGCTCAAGTGGATTCTCAAGATACAGGCAGCTTATCGCGGCATGCAGGTGCGCCGCAAGCTCGGTCCTTATCGCCCCGAAGACAAGAAGAAGAAACGACCACCCAAGCCTAAAAAGTAGAGCGCAACACGCGAAAAACTCATCTGCTCTCGCGATTGTCTGCTTTCACTTTTGATAAGACTTTTATTTTCATTTTCGGCTTTCCCACGTCGGTCGTTAGCGCAAACGCGCCACGGCTTTCGCGAATATGCGATAGAGTAGGTACCGTGTGGTTGGCAGACGACACGATATTTTTTTATTTTTTCTTCTTTTTTATTTATTTATTTTTTTTTTGCGGTTCGCGGGTAAGGAAAGCGAACCGACAGTTTATTCGAGTGATTTATGAAATCGTACGGCTTTCAATGGTGCTATTGATCAGCGCTGTCCCTCGATTTTTATCATCGTTGTTTTAATAATTCGAATCGGAATTTATATTGGCCGGTGACGTACGAATTTGATTAACGAACGCGATATTTCTGCTGCCCCATAAAACCTACACATAAATAATTACACACTCTACTGTATTATTCAGAGCATCGGATGAATATCTCATTTCCATTTCGGCGAGTGTCCCGTCGAAATATCATCCGTGCCAAAATTAAAATCGCAACGGCAAACAAGAAACAGCCGCATCATACGCAATGAGAAATTACGATAAACAAAAAATGAAAAACAAAAACACTTCAAAGTGAGTATACGCGCGTGAGGGTGCAATGGAAGGGCATACCAGTGCCCTCTGTTGCAGCTGCGTGTCGGCTGATATGTTGCGGAATGTAAACCCGCCAACATTTTACCTCTTAAATTATTCACGTGTACACCGCATTCGCGCACACGCACGCACAGCGCCGTCTATCCCGCTTGGCATAGCGAATGCCTTCGAGGACGGTAGGGATGACACGCCAGCGGCAAAGAAAAAAAAAAAAGAGGATAAATTTTACGAGCGTTGAAAGCTTGCGGATTTTTCTGCGATTCTTCATAATATTTTCTCTTTTTGTCTGCGCTTCTAGCTTCCGTAGCTTATTTCTGCGCGATATGGAGTGTATAAGCGGGTCGCTTATTATTTCCACGCTGATAACTTTCTTTTTGTTTGGATAGTTTCTTTTACTTGTGTTTGATCAGCTGACGAAAACAATAGACATTTCATAAGTAACGTACTATCTTTCACAGCAAGTGTGTTGAACTACTATTGGAACTGTTTATAAGACTTGTAAATATGTTTTTCAAATGTTGCAGTGCTTCGACATGACAAACACAACTGCCGTGCTATTCACGACTATAAATAAAATTGTATAAAAGAATAAAAAGAAAACTAAAACATCGCATTTGTTTTAGTGTGTCAATTCATTCGTCGGATAGCGCTTTACGGTAAACCGCTCATTGACCCCGAGTAACTTTTTCTACAAATCAGTCGCGCGCTTGGTGCGAGCTCCAGGAATCGCCAAGACACCGAGTAAAAAAAAAGTAAAGAGGAGGAAAGTTCTTTCTCGACTTGCCTCATCGCCGAATTCCTCGGTCCCGCACTTTCGGAAAAGTGTGCGGGCCACTCGAGCGCGCATGCATATTCATCCGCGGTGCGCGGCCTTTTTCACGTTCGCACTTGGCACATCCTCGCGCCAGCGCTGAAGGAATGCTTGATAAGATCTCGCTCGCGCTTCTGCATTACTGATACCGCACTCCCTTTCATTTTCGGAAGCGCGCTCGCCGTCTCTGGACGCGTGTTTGCACGTCGTTCTCTTCTTTTCTCCGGCAAACTCGCGCAACTATCGGCCAAATTGAATCGCGGATATTGAAGTTTCGAAGCGAATGCTCGACGTCAATCGTGTGTCAAATGGAAGAAGTATAATCGAACGAAACCGTGATGTAAATTTAACTGGCGAAAAAAAAGAAGATCGCGTCTGCTGTTCCTTGTCACGGCTCGCAGTCTAGAGCTGTATAACGTTGCTCGCGATTTGTCGCGCGATAATCACCAGACGCGCCTTTTTCAACGCCGATAATGCGAATCGCGACGGAATCGGACATATTAAGGTTTTTCGCACCACCGGTCGTCGGGCGAGCAAGTTATTGTTTCCCAGATAGCGGGGATTTAATTAATAGCCGACTCTTCGCTCGTCGCACGAATAGTCGTCCGGTGCATTTCCGACGAAGTTTGCCCATCTATGAAATCAATCGCCGAATACCGATTCGAAACGCACGTTATGATCACAATGGATGATCGGCAATTTGTGTAATCCATCGCGAAAATATATCACCCGCTGATAACGGATTGCAGCCAATTAAAAGGAAAATCTGACGTTCTTTTCTTTTTTCGTCGACGTTCTTGCTACGTGGCGCAACTGTCAGATAAAGGATAACTTTTACCTCGTGTGGCGCGTCAAACAACGAAATGTTTCACGAGCGAAGACGTGTTTTGGGTGTGACCTCGCAGAAGTAAAATAAAATCGTTCACATAATTTGCAAGACTACCGCGTTAAAGTCAGGCAGGTTGAAAGAACGTAAAGATTACTTTTCATTTCCTTACCATCTATGGTAATATCTATGTTAAGTAAAGATTCATTCTCTTTTGCGATAAACAAGCTTTATAACGTTCCTAATTTTTCGAAATTAGCGCGTTTTGAAATGTTAATATAACCTCAAAGTAACATCCGATGCCTTAGTTAGCTGTCTCGCCGCAGTAGGGCGCAGCATTAGTAGAATTTGATATTTTCTTTATAACCCATTTTCCTTTTGAAACCTTCAAAAATTCGCAAAAGCTAACTTTCCAACCTCAAAAAATTATGCAATTCTTTATTCTAACATAATCACATGTGCACTTGTTTGAAAGTAAAATATTTGAAAAATGTGTTAATAATTAAAAAAAGGTTATTCAATAACGTATAGTGCAATAAATTAAAAGTAAAAGTAGAGTTGCAAAAACTGAGCCAGTGAACAATGGCGCCAATGTTCGCGTGGTCGGCCATGTTATACCGTGGCTCGTGGTGTGCCAGCATCGCAGGGAAGTCTTACAACGAGGTTAACCTGGCGACCACGTTTGTGAAAAGGCGAGCCAAGAAACTCGTCTACGAGGCCATCAGGGACGATGCGTACCGAGTAAGTAATAATCAAATCTGCATGAAAAGCGATATGATTGTCGGTGGCGGCAACGGCAGCTTGTGCACCACCACTTCCGTTGAAACAGGAACAGGAAGTTCCTTTAGAGTCTCCGGGCAATGTGCGAGTTTAACGCGCGCGCCGTCTCTCGAAATAACATTCCGTATCTTTTTCGTCCGCTGCACAGTTCGCACGTACTATATCAATAGCAAATCATAGAGAGCCAGTTGTCCAGGTCGATTAAGGTTGTCATTCCACGGTGATGATGATGATATCGACAACAGGGGTGATTGCGACAGCGAAGGCACAAATTTTTTATGGCGCTGATCACTGCCGACGGAGATTACGAGTGCTCACCTTGTCGTGACTGTCGGCAATCGTGTTTTATTTGTCAACGTTGTTTTGTTTTCGTTCCACTCATATGGATGATTATCAATGTTGCCCTGATTGTTGATTTTTATTTTTTTTTGTTTAACACAAGCGTTTAATTACTATAAAGAATGGGTAAATTTTTAGTTTACTAACAAATATTTTAATAGTAAGAAGATAATAAATTCAACTATTTGTTTTCCATTAACACAGGTCAATATCAGATAAGTTTAGAAAAAAAGACTGAAACTAAGACATCAACAAAATGCAAGCAGAAACAGACGATCTTTGTTCTTTCGAGGAATTGGATGGTACCTTTATACCAGTTGAAATTTTACCATGTGATATGGCTACACCCAGAGCTCGGAGTTCAGATGCCTCATCGATAGTAGAATTAGGAAAACAACTTTTAGAAAGTGCCAGGAAAGGAGACACTGAAATGGTCAGAGACCTTATGTGTAGAGGAGCACCATTTACAACAGATTGGGTAAGTGAACCTTCATTGAGTTCTTATAAAAATTTTACAAAGTAATATATAATCTTTAAAATATTTCATTAGCTTGGAACAAGCGCCTTACACTTAGCTGCTCAAAATAATCATGTAGAAACTGCTGAAGTATTATTAAGAGCTGGAATCTCCAGGGATGCTAGAACAAAAGTTGACAGAACACCATTGCACATGGCTGCTTATGAAGGTCATCATCAAATGGCACAGTTACTTCTCAGCTATGGAGCAGAAGTTGATAGTAGAGATATGGTTTGTGCTTTTATTTTGTTATACTATAGAAGTATAAATTATAGAAATGTATAGCTTTCTTAAATATTTTTATTAGAAAGATTTATCATATTTGTTTCATAGTTTTTATATTTATTCTACTTTAATCTTTCCATTGGTATAGTATTGTGAAAAAACCTTTACAGTATAAAAATATTTTATATTTTTAGCTTCAAATGACACCACTACATTGGGCTGTTGAAAAAGAATTTGAAGAGGTTATGTTGGTACTTTTAGAGCATGGAGCAGATCCAAATGCTTTGAGTAAATTTGATAAAACACCTGTAACTCTTGCGGTTGAACATGATCGAACAGATTTAGTCAATATGTTACAACAAGAAAGAGAAATTATGAATATCCAACAATCTCAAATACAGTCAGCTGAAATTGAGGCAGCCACTCAAAATTTGATTCAAATGGAAGCTGAAAGGCTAAAAGAGGAACAAGAGAGAATTCAATTGGAAGAACAGCAGCATAAGCAAAGGCTTGCCCAATGTAAGTTGATAAATGTAATTTATTGAGTGATTTGTTCAGATTACTCATTTTTTTTCAAATTATATTGTTTCATTCACTGTCAAAATATGAAGATGACATATTGATGAGCATTCATGTCTATTCTAGTAGCTGCAAATAAAAAACAAAAAATGTCCTATCAAGCAATTAGGATGAAACCAGTAAATGAAAGTGAACAAATGAAGGATGGCTTACAAAGGTTAGAGGGGAGAAATGTGCACCCTGTGAACAAAAAACAAAGAGAAATTATCAATCTAGGAGAACAACCACTTAGATTATTGCAAGCTCATGGTATTACTATGATTCCAATGGAAAATGATTCAACAATTGTTGAAAATGCCATGGAAAGTGGTCAAACTGTGGTTTTAACTGGTAAAAGAATATTTAAAAGTACTTTAAAACTATTCACAATATTAAGTACTAAATGCTCTAGATCCATATAACTTCTTTATTACAGAAGCTGGAAAACTGGCTCTAAATCTTACGAGGTCGAATACTCTTAATGTATCACCAATTAAACGGTTACAAGTTGGCACAAAAAAAGGATCCACGAGAAAGTTAATCACGATAAGAGCCGATCAATTTTTAGGTCAAAATTCAACACCAATGATGTCAAAAGGGCCAAATATTTTGAAAAAATCGTCTACTGACATAAAAGCAGGAAATAAAATCTTTCTTACGCCAATCGGAAATGCAAATTCAACTATTCCAGCTTTTACAGCGACTAAACCTACGATCACCTCAGTAAAGGTACTTCAATATTCAATCTATGTAAACTCTAAATAATATTTATTAGGATAAATCTAATTTCAATTTTTATTTATTTATTTTTAGCAGAAACCGGTAATTTCTAAGGAACCTGTACTTTTACAAATAGATGATGATTTGGAAGAAGTGTATGAAGAAGAGCAGATCACGGACGTGGCTGAACTTAATCGAAAATTAGCAGAAGCCCGAAAAGAAGCTGAAGAATATCGACGTCAGTTAAAGAAAAAGGAAGAAGAAGCTGAAATATACAAGCAACAGTTAAAACATTTGACTGCTCAAAAAGCCATGATGAAGTGATTTACACAGTGCCTCTTCATTAAGTTTTAAGAAAAATGTGAACTCTAAATAAGAAACTATAACTTAGGAATCGGTTGAAATTTGCCTTATAAAATTGTGCAAATTTTGAAAGAACTGATTGCAGTGATATGCATTTGTGAAAAATGAAAAGAAAATGTTTTATTAAGGAACCTTGGACTAACAGAGCGACATTGCATTTTGTTTTAAATTACAAGTGTCGCTTTGCGTGTAAATATTTTAACACGTTTCATACACATACGTATTCAAAAATACTATGAAAATTAGATTTATAGTCAATTTTTGCTGAGAAGCTTGACTTTACTTAAATAAGTGAATCTATTTTTTTTAATATTTCAATTTGGACAATTTTCATGTGTCATTCCATATTTTTCCTACTGTCTGTAACTTCCATATGTCATATTTATACATACGTGTCAATAGATTTTTTCATTAATCATCTGTAAAACAAATTTCGAAGAATATCTGAATCGGACATGAAATGTTTGAAATTTGAAAATTGTCCAACTGTATAAAATGGAAAAAGAAGGTAACTACTGTCATTAGTAATTACAAAAAAATGAAAGTCGTAATGTTTTTATAGCCATAAACGTTGTACATATTTCAAAGAAATAACTATATGATATATATAGAATTTGGAATGTGTAAATGTATATGTCGGACAAAAGAAAAAGCAATGATCTATTGAATCCTCAACTGGTTGAGAGAAAAAAATTATGTAAAATAGTACAGAATCATCTATAAAGAAATCTACGTTTGTACCTCTTATCACGCAATAATAAAAATTTTTATATCAGAAATGTTTTCTTAAATTAAAAATTGTTTAGTATTCATATACGAATATCACTATAAAAATAATATATTACTAACTCGATATAGTTTAACGAGTAAATCAATAGAATTACCGTCAATTCTATTCTGTTTTTTAATTTATAACTTACTTATACATTAACGTTGCAAGTGTAACTATTTTATTTGGGCCCGAAATTTATAATTATTTAATAAAACAATTAAATTATCACATTAAATATCGGTAGTTTTTAAAAGTTTCTAAATCATTCAAAAAAATCCAAATACTTCCATAATCCGTCCTGTAAATAACGTGTAAAGTAGTGATAAGGATAATGCTATAGAGAAGAAGCTACTCGTAACAGTCCGTAATGCAAAACTTATACACTACAACATAACATGTGGCATACGCAAGTATAAACATCATTTTCATGCTTTATGTCGCTTGCATATATATATATATATATATATATATATACATATTTGAAATATGATTGGATATTTGCAATGGAATTTGAGATTATTGTATTTGTTCAGTGCAGTACAGTCAGCTATTATGTAGAATTACTTTATTTTCGTAGAATATCTTCAACATTCTTTAATGTTTCTATTAATATACAAAGCACAACTTTTAAAATGGAAAATTTTGAAAAATTATATTTATGTACACTGTAATGTGGAATTTATAAATAATTTATTTTATTTGAACTTAATTAATATCTACTATAAAACAATTGTTATGAAACTATAAGTTTACAAAGAAATAATAAATGTTACGCGTAGTTATTTTTCGAAGAATGTAGCTCGGTATAATTCCAAGTGCATCATGAACTTTCCATGTTCTTCCATTGTCAGTACTCTTCAAAACTCAGCCAAATCTTTAGCTGATAAGTCACCCTCTCTCTCCATTGCACGCGTTATAGGTACGATTTGGCGGCACTTTAAAACCGGCTTAACAACCTGCGAGAGAGAAAGAGGCGTGCTTTGGTCGGTGCTGCTACCGCAGCCTCGGTGTCAAACTGCGCGCTGGTGCCGCTGGTCGTCGGCCTCGCACGCGCGCCTTCGCAGCTGTCTCACTCTAGGCCCATATCGCGCTCTCGCTCGCGCTGAGCGTCGACTCGCTCGCAGCTCTCGACTTGCCATACTGCATGCGGCCGTAAGAGCAACTGCCGTCGTCCTTTGAGTTAGTCGAAAATCAGTGCAGCACACCGAGGATGGGTCAAGGCACAGAGTCCTCGGAGCCCACTTGTGCTGCCGATAGGCCAACCGAGGTCAGTGTCATTAGATTTGTCTCGAGAAATCGCACCATCGAAGAGATCGCTCCGAAAAAGGTACGTCCCTTTGTGCGCCGAATACAGGCCTAGGTAGGTATGCGAATCGCCGCCTGCACGCGCGGCGTCCTGCCATTGGCTCTCAAGGTTCAATGACCTCTTACCCAAAACACCGCTGCCCTTCGTTTGCTTCGCGATGTCATCCAATTTGCTCTACCTTCTCTTCTCACTGGATTACTCGTTTTCTTGCACGAAACGCTATTCTCCGTGCGTTTTACAAAGCTCTCTGACGTGTTGTTTACATTGTCGCTTGGGGGCTATAACCCCACAAATTGCGCTTCAGCCATTCTTTATATCGTTTTGATGTTCCATTGAATGTCATAGATTTTTATACAAAATAACACGCACGTTCGCGGAATATTGCCTTGATTCCAATAGTGATTCCATATGCCACAGTTAACATTAATGATTTTGTTGGCTAGTATAATTTATAATTCAATGTGTTCCTTCTAAATAAATAATTCATGTGCGTGGATATTGATTAATCGACATTGTTGATTTTATAGGAAGTGTACATGTGCAAGCAGAGAGGTTGTAATAAGATATTTAATAATTTAGAGGAATACAAAAGTCATGAAGTTTCAGAAATTCTTAAAATTCGATTCATGTGAGTAAACGTTTTTTTAAATCTTGTAAACGTATTTTCTTATCGCAGTTAATAATTTTATAATTTTGGATACAAATTGCAGATGCAGAGAGCCAGGATGCGGAGAAGAGCTGTCGGATCCTGGGAGCATGTGGAGGCATTATCAAGAGTGGCATAATAACGAAACAAATGTATTTGTGTGTCCATACACAAGTTGTAGTTCGGTACATGCCACGAGTGAAAGTTTAGAAGAGCACATAGAATCTTCTCACAGGCAGCTACCAACAATTCCTACTGAACCAGAAATCATTTGTTTCGAAGGAGCAGATAACGTGATGGAAGATAATGTTGGTAGGGTTAGTGAAAGTGAAAATAGTTTTGAAAGTGAGCGAAGTGTTATAACTGACATTGTTGATAATGGTGTAGTGAGGCAAACTGAATATTCTATGAGAAGTGATTCCCTTGCTACAAAGCAAGTTGACTATAGTGTAAAAGAAGAAAATGTTATCATGAGTTCCCAATCTCATCAGAGCGAAGACTATTCCAGAGATCAATCAAAACTCAGAGCAGCACTGATTCAAGAGGATTACTCGAAAAACAGTGAAACAACTGCTACTAAAATTCCTAAAAATAAAGACTTGCTTATAACCAATGAAAATTTTCTTGTCAAGTATGAATCTAAACCACTTGTGTGCAGCAGTGATAATGTACTCATGGACAGTTCAGTTGATGGAAATAATATAGTTTACATTAATAATGATGTATCATTAACAAGAACCTCTGCTAATCAAGAGCATAAGATAGAGCTGGGCAATTTGGAAAAAGTTTTCCGAAGTGGGTTTGAAGAAAATTCTACTAAGTTAGAAAATACATCAAATGGACTTAAAAATACTTGTTCAAGCAATGATGAAGAATATACTCCAAAAAAGCAGCGAATGTCAAGATCTAAGCAAGAACCATACAAGTGTGAAATTAATGGCTGTGGTAAAACCTATAAGTATATCTCACATTATAGACATCATCAAGATAGCCATAAATTAATTGCTAATGCTATGAATGCCAATTCATCAAAGTCTGCCAAGCCAAAATTAGGAAAAGCAACTGCTATAAGTTTCTTCATGTGTGTGTCAAGTAGCTCTGATTTTGTTAATTTGTTCAAACAAATGTGTTCATTGAATTTTTCTTATTTTTTAGCTGTAAAATGCCTGGATGTGGTGTACAGTTGAGTAATGTCACTGCTCTATGGAAGCATTACCAAGAAACTCATGCTAATGCAAAACCACCAGCATCATTAACAAAATCTACGGAAATGTATAGGTCAGTTCGTCATTTGATATCCTTTCTTCAAATGTCTATGATTTAAGGATTTAATATTTTACTATTATGCAGGTGCAAGTTTGCAGGATGTGAAATGGAATTTTGCTCATCGTTAATGTTACATAAACATTTTAATGAAGTACATTCAAAGAATTCGATCAACAATACTAGCCCAAATTTGAAGACTGCAAATGGAAGTGGAGTACTAGTTAAACAAACGTATCATGATGTACCCACTACCCAGAGAGTAAACTTTAAGACTGATTTAAAAGCGAAGCATTCGCTTGACGAATACACTGAAAGTAACAATAAAAATAGTCAGTCATCTATTGTCAAAAAAGAAACAGGTGATTGATTTCAATTGAATTTAAACTAAAAATTTTTATATACAGTGCTTTCTTATTTGGAGATAATTGTGAGTGAAAGTGTTCAACTAAATCATGGTTCACTATTTAAAAAAGAAATACAACGTCAATTTATATCGTGAAATTTCTCTAAAAATTATTGATTTTTTACTTTGAGAAATTATGTATTAATTTGAAACATCAGTGGTACATAGAAATTATTCCCCTTGTGACTTATTAGTATTACTGTTAATGAACGATTATATTGATGGTGAATATGTACTATAGAGCTTACACATTTTTAGAGAAATTTTTACTACTCACTATTAAAGTGGCGTTAAATAGTTGAATACATTCAGAAACTCTAGATCTTGGGAAACACTAAAACTTTTAATAAATTTTAAATTATTCTATTGATATAAATATATAAAATCTCAGTGTTACTATAAAGGTAATTTGATTTTAAAAAGTACTCGGAAAGTTTAAAGTTGCAGACTTCTAAAGTAGTAATATTTATAATTTTATTAATGAACTTTGTAAAGCTTGAATTAGTGTTGTGTCTTTAATGTAAGCTTTTTTATGAAAGTAAAACGAAGTAAGTTAAGTGATTGTAAAAGGTGTCTACTAATTAAGATTGTGCATAATTGATTTAAAAAACGATTGATTTTTAAAAATTTTCAAATGTAGGTATAGTTTATAATTATTTGTATAAATTCATCAACATCTGTACATAAATTTGCGTCACATCTATTGATGTATGCGTATCGAAAAAAAAAGTTTTTGATACATAATATCGTCACAACTTTACGATCACAATTGAGAGTTACTTAAACCCACGATGTTTGACAACATTGACGGGCGTCCACGAGAAAGCCAATCAAAATAAGCAGATTATATATAAAACAAAGTATTATTAATCAATTAAGTTATGTTTGTAATTTATTACGTTGATTACTTTCGAGCAATATTATAACTTTTCGTATTTGTAAACTCAGCTTCCATTAGTTGAAATGGAGTATTATTCCGCTTCCTACTGGCCACTCGGCAGTGACTATTGTATAGCGTTTTTATTCGTACTTTTGTCGTACTTTCATCGACAGAAACTAATAAAATGCAATAGTAGAACGAACATGGTGCGCATAGTCATTGTTCCCCATCATTGAGCAACGCAGCGTAGAAGAGAGAAGATTCGTTGGGAATGGAAGAAGAGGAGAAAAATAGAGCGTTTGATCGCAGCACGTTTTGCGTAGCTTTATAAAAAGCTCGCACTCAAAATAAATGTATCGTTGGAGTGTACGAGGGTTCGTGGGGGGCTAGCGATTCCCTCAGCGAGAAGGTGTGGGAAGAAGTTCTTTTCCAGAAGCGTGCTCTCTTATTCGAAATATCGAGCCGCACTTGTCAAAAAAAATATTGAGCGCAAAATTTCGGCGTCGCGAGAAGTGTCCGTGTGTGTCAAGAAGTTTCTCTTGTGTGCTGTGAGCGCGCGACTTTCCCGTTGTCCGCATTAGCAGCAACCAGTGCCGGGCACGAACTCGAGTTTCTCCGAAGCAAAGGCGGCTTTTTGCTAGCGGCAAGGGTGAGCTTGGAAAAAGTGGTGTTGTACATAGATCGCCAATGAGCAACATCGCCAAATAAGGTGTTTGCCCGCGGGTTTCCGGTTTTTCCGACAAAAGCGCCCCGACGCGGTGCTTACCAGAGACTGTCTCGCATCTTTCAAGTGTGCTCGTACTCACATTTATACGTTTGCCGAACGAGTAACGGCTTGACACCAATGACTTGGCGCGCGCGTGAATGTGTGTGCGTGCGTGCGTGCTTGAGTCTTCGCATGAGTGTGTGAGTGCATGGTCGCGAATTTTGACGGTCGCTTCAGTTTTGGAACCGTCAAGTGCGCTGTGCCTTTTTTAAACTCATTTGTTTATTTCTTATTCTGTGTATGTAAATTTTGCTTTTTCGCGCGCAAACGTCGTATCAATATAGCCTGCGCCCGATGTATCACTTGATTCATTCGGCGTGCGCGAGTACTTAAATTTAGCTAATTGTAATTTATGATCAGTAGCAGGATGGATATCCGCTTCCGTCGACTTTTCAATGTTTTGAAAGGGCAACTGCAAGCATGCCCTCGCAATATACATTTAAAAAACTGTCCAGAGCTCTGAAAACGGAGCAGCGTCGTATTATCGAAAGATGATATCAGTGTTATTAAAAATCGTGTCTCCGAACAATCGAGCGCGAAGCAGTAGTGTTGTATTTTTAGTAGTGCGCTTTTGAAAGAGTTCCAAAAGCCTAAAAGCCGAAAGCTCGCGGCCAGGCGAAAGCGATGGAAATAACAGTTACATTTTTCCATACGAGGGCGAGATGGACAAACGAGGATCGATTCGAGAGAGAAAAAAAATCAGTTGTTCAAAGCTGATGAACCATGGGACAGGCTGACAGTCACTGAACGCGCGTGGCGCGTGTGCAAATTGAGCTTCGGCCTGCGGCTCGCGGTCCTCGCATCGATGGAACAACGTGCGTCGCGGAGTGGGAGCGCGTTTAAAATTACAAATCGCGCTCGCAGAGGCAGTCGTGCGAGCGCGCTCGTCTGCACCACGATGCGCCGCGTTTATTTCGGCTGCTTGCGCCAATAACTCGCAGTGCGGACCGACTGTTTTTCGCTCCTCTTTCTCACAGAACTCTTCCAACGGCCTAGAGCTTATCAAGGTACACACACACATACTCACACGCATACATACATAAAAGCACGCACGCACATAATTAAACATACGCCTGCTGCTTTGCCGTCAGTCAGTGAGTGCGCGATTGCTCATCCGTGCTGAGCATATTATATTTATAAAACTGCAACTACCAATGGCTTAGTGCATATGGAATTCAAAGGGCGGCATCGCCGGCGCAAGTGTCATCATTCGTATTTCGTGTGTGCGCGCATGACATCACCGCTCGTCAATGCTAGCTAATTTTTCGAACGAAAGAGCCCGAGTAGTCCGTCTCTTATCACCTCTCGCTTCCCTTATCTTCTCCCTCACACTTGTTCGTTACTACTGTTCCTTTTTCTGTTTTTCTTTTCTTTATTTTATTTTATGAAAGTGCACGTTCACTTGACTGTTTGTTTTTCTAATGAGCAGCGCACGGTTATTTCATTTCAAGGTTTCTCCACGGCAGAGTGCGGATATTTTGGTGCAGCGTCGAGATTCGTTTTGCAATGTTTTGAAGGGGAGAGCGCCGAGTGTAGCGAGAGGAGAACAGAGTGCGCGCACGTATTTATAGAAACGCGCGAAATAAAATAACGATTCTGATGCATATTTGGCGCTCGCTCGCATGTAGATTCTGTGTTTTTTTCCAATGAATTATTCAGTCTGCTCCGTTTTTCCAAAGTGATTGATCGCCAACTCAGCGGAGAATTCGTGCGCTATATGTCTTAAAAAAACTGAGAGAGCGTGCTCTTGAAGGAGATTTTTGGTGGATGATTCAGAGTCGGTGATGAATCCTTCTAGTACGGCGATTGGCAACACTGAGGCGACTTTACTCGTCGCCGCAGACTTTACAAAGAGATAGAGAAAGAGAGGAGAGAGAGAGAGAGAGTGAGAGAGAGAGAGAGAGAACGGACTAAGCAGCGCCATGGAGATCGCTCTCATCGCTATTAAAGGCATCGAAAATCCGTGATTCGAAAATATTCTCTTATTTTATATTCGTGCCCGTGCCGCTACCACCACCGCCAGCTGTGTGCGCGCGCACAGCTTTCTATGTATAAAAAAAGAAACGAAACAGCCGAGTAGTAGGTAGTGCCGGGGGATGATCGGCACGACACCCACGCTGACCGCGTAACCAAAATATATTCCACAGCCACGCAATTGTCCATCTCTCGTGGAATTCGTCAAAATGAAGAGTCGTCCGGCGGCGTAGAGCACGCGTAACGGTGCCCCTTTGTAGGTTATAACATTCTCAGCCACTCGCGGCGCTTTCTCTTCTCTTCGCGGGACGCACGCATGCACACGTACAGTGCATCCTTGTCTGGCGTGGTACCTTTTTGTTAATTAATTCTCTCTCTTACTCTGTCGCTCACTCGCTCGCGCGCATCCGTTGTTTTTCTCTCGTCGCCAAGTGCGTATTTATATGTGTGTGCGTGCGTGTGTGCACGCGTCTCTCACTCTCTTGTCTCCGGTGAGAGACAGAGCGAGCGCTCCACAGCTTGAGCAGTCAGCACACTGTCTGTAGTATCTATGCATACTGAGAACAAGACTGAAAGAGGAAACATGGGCTCTTGGTGGCTGTTGTAGGTGTTGTCGTCCAGGTGCAGCAGCAGCAGTAGCAGCAGCCGCCCATCGCCGCCGTCAAGTAGAGATGTCGTTCCGTGTGGTGCGTAGCAGCAAGTTTCGCCACGTCTACGGGACGGCGTTGAAACGCGAGCAGTGCTATGACAACATACGAGTATCCAAGTCCTCGTGGGACTCGACCTTTTGCGCGGTGAACCCCAAGTTCCTCGCCATCATCGTCGAGTCTGCCGGAGGTGGTGCCTTTATAGTCTTACCTCACAACAAGGTATTTTGCCTAACTCTCTCAATCAATTCACCTGCTTGCGCTCGCGATGAGACTAAAAGACACTTTGCATCAATTTACTGTTAGCTTTTCCCATGAGAGATTCCTATTATCTCGCCACTCTCTCGCTCTCTCTGTGAATTCGCTCACAATTGTACTCTTACGTCTCGAGAAATATTTGTGATCGCCGTAGCTCTACCTTTTCCTCCTTTTTCACCTATAACCGATAATTTATTTTCATTTCGTTTTTAAAATCGAGTTAAAAATAGACAACTCCTTAGGACTAATTTACAGCTGTTTCTTCACCCAAAATAAACTGCTGCTCTGTATTTCCAGTGTGCACTCATTTCTATTTTAAAATTGAAACATTTGCTGAGTGGCTGTGTGCTCCACAGGTTGGTAGAATATCGGCAGATCACCCACTGGTTGGTGGTCACAAAGGACCAGTGTTAGATATTGCTTGGTGTCCACACAATGACAATGTCATCGCATCGGGATCTGAGGATTGCGTGGTGAAGGTCTGGCAAATTCCAGATGGCGGAATCTCCAGGACCCTCACAGACTCTGTAGTCGATCTACAATTGCACCAGCGAAGAGTTGGCCTGGTACTCTGGCATCCATCTGCCCTCAATGTCCTGCTGACAGCTGGCTCTGACAATCTTGTTATTATATGGAATGTTGGCACTGGAGAATCCATGGTCAAGATAGATTGCCATCCTGATGTTGTTTATTCTGCTTGTTGGAACTGGGATGGTTCTAGACTGGTTACTACTTGCAAGGACAAGAAAATTAGAATCATTGAACCTAGAACAGGAAAAATTGTAGAGGAGGCCATTGCACACGAAGGTAGTAAAGCTACAAGAGCCATATTTTTAAGGTAAATTTATCTGCTAATATGCTGCATTAAACATATCTTTTTCAACGTTTTTTCGATTTAATGCCATTTAACAAGACAATTTATCTTACAGAGGTGGTCTAATCTTTACAACAGGGTTTAGCAAAATCTCTGAAAGACAGTATTCTTTGCGAGCCCCAGACATGCTTGCAGAACCAATTGTGATGGTAGAACTTGATACTAGCAATGGAGTAATGTTCCCGTTGTACGACCCCGACACAAATTTAGTCTTTCTTTGTGGCAAGGGGGACTCAGTTATCCGCTACTTCGAAATAACGCCCGAACCTCCTTTCGTTCATTATATCAATACCTTCCAAACGCCAGATCCTCAGCGAGGAATCGGTATGATGCCTAAGCGCGGCTGTGATGTTAACAGTTGCGAAATTTCGCGATTTTATCGACTGAATAATTCTGGCTTCTGTCAAGTCGTATCTATGACTGTACCAAGAAAGGTATTACAATTTTTATTAAATCTGATCAATGATGCCATACGAATAACGTTATATACTGAAGAAAATCTTGTTTAATTGACTAACCATTTTTGCAGTCTGAGCTATTTCAAGAAGACTTATATCCCGATACTCCCGGGGATACTGCGGCAATAACTGCAGAAGAATGGGAAGCCGGTAAAGATGCCGATCCCATTCTCATTTCACTGAGGGATGGCTATCAGCCGACAGCTTCCAAAAACGATCTTAAAGTTCATAAAAAATCCAATGTCTTGGGTAAAGCTAAAGTAGCTTCGAACTCGACAGGCAAAGAGGCAGCATCTGGTGTTTCGGTGAGTTTTCCGGCTTCTTCGTTTGATACACAAGATTACGATTATAATTTATGAATTTTCGTTTTTTTTTTTACTTTTCAGGAGGATATAATCAAAGAATTTTCTGAAGAAATTCGAAAATTAAAAGCTATGATAGTTAAGCACGAGGGTCGTATTCGAGTACTAGAATCGGCAGTCGCGCTTCAAATGAATGAGCAAGACAGAAATGAAAAGTCTTCTTCTCCCGTAGATAAGGAACTACTTGCGTCTGACGAAGTTTGATTCTGCTAGCAAAAATATTTTTATATCCCTACCTACGGAAAAAAACCATTCAATTGTGTAATAAAAAAAATGAAACGTGCGTATTATATTTTGATATGATAGCTGTGTATATACTAGGTAACTTAGCATAGTAGCGTGCTCCAAAATCATCAGAAATGTCTTAATTATTTATTGTACATCCGCGTTTTCAAGTTCTTCTCTATCTTTATTTTCGTCTTTCGATTTTTCAGCTTTTACTTCTATCCCCTTTTTTCTCTCATTCGTCACATTTTTTGTAATCTTTTACATAATTACCTTAATAATATATCAGATCATTTCATCGTTACCTGTTAATAGGATTTACGTTTATGTTACATTTTAGTGTTATGTTATTTTTTGAGATTTTTATGTACATGAGCGAGCGCCTTGGAGGAGAAAAAAAACTTTTTTCTTAAAAACATGAAACGAGTGCCTTAATTTGTACAGAAAAAATCTACTGTAAAATAACAAATCTAACAAGCGATTGTTCTATAACTGATTATACTCGACATTTGATAAACTTGTTAAACTATTGTGAATTGTCTGATAATCACATTTTTTACAGTTTAAAATTTAATAATAATAATAGTAATAGTAATAATAATAATAGTAATATTTTTGGAAACTTTTAATACTAACGTTGCTTGTTCACATTTGATACCTTAAAAGTTGACAATTCATAATGAAACAAAAATTACTCCTGTGTCTTGTTAAAAATGCAACGAAAAAAAATAAAATAATTAAAAAAAATTGACCATCTTCTAACTTCATATTTAAAATTATTCTATCAAACCTTATGTCAAGATCTGAACTCATCAGTGCCGGGTATGCAAATCAAGCTGTGAACCAAAGCCAATAAATATAGGAATAAAGTTCTTAAAAAATGATACTTCCGTAGAAAGTATAAAATAAGCTTTTATTTGAGGACATCTGAAGACGTACATATTTTTTAGTCCAGGAAAAATAGGATTTGAGGCGGTTTTTCATTTCGGCAAGACGATTATTTTTTGACAGGTAGTGTGAACGGCGTACATTAAGATAACAACTATCCATAGTCTGAGAAAGTTTCGGAACATTGTTAAAATGTCCATAAACTAATAAATTTTGTGACTTTTTTCGTTCTTTTCTTTATAACTTTGTTCCGTTAACATTTACAACAAAATAGTTGAATACTTTTTTGTTCGTGAATAAATTACCTACAAAACCATAGGTTGCACGACAAAAAATATCCATCAGGTAAAAAGTTATTAACTATTAACTTTTGTATTTTGAAAATATTATAAACAATTTTTTTTAGCGTTGTTATAAACATTGTGCCACCGCTTCTCGTTGAATGGTGTCTTTTCGTTACGAGATGATGTGTACGGAATCGCGAATCTGTAAGTTTAATAGTTTACGAGTTATCGTCTTATAAACAAATTACATACTCGTTTATTTTTCGAAGCCCAATTGTTATCCACTAATGAAAAAAAAATTTACGTTATGTCTTTCAAAAAACTTTGCCGGCCTGTAACTTTTTTGTTTATCAACGGATCTGTGCCATCGTTGTTTTAAATTGAAGTTTATTTAAATTGCTATCCAAACCCGAAATAATTATTACAAAAAAGTTACTGAAAATGTTATTAATCTATTTTTCAATTAAGGTCGCTTTTGTTTTTTTGCTCCCACGGTCGCAATTTTGATTTTTTTTGACAAATCATTTTGGAAATCGATAGAGGGCATTGAAAGACATAACGTAAATTTTTTTTTCATTAGTGGATAACAATTGGGCTTCGAAAAATAAACGAGTATGTAATTTGTTTATAAGACGATAACTCGTAAACTATTAAACTTACAGATTCGCGATTCCGTACACATCATCTCGTAACGAAAAGACACCATTCAACGAGAAGCGGTGGCACAATGTTTATAACAACGCTAAAAAAAATTGTTTATAATATTTTCAAAATACAAAAGTTAATAGTTAATAACTTTTTACCTGATGGATATTTTTTGTCGTGCAACCTATGGTTTTGTAGGTAATTTATTCACGAACAAAAAAGTATTCAACTATTTTGTTGTAAATGTTAACGGAACAAAGTTATAAAGAAAAGAACGAAAAAAGTCACAAAATTTATTAGTTTATGGACATTTTAACAATGTTCCGAAACTTTCTCAGACTATGGATAGTTGTTATCTTAATGTACGCCGTTTACACTACCTGTCAAAAAATAATCGTCTTGCCGAAATGAAAAACCGCGAAATGGCCTTTTTCGGCCTATTTTTCCTGGACTATTTAAATAGCTATAATTTTATCCGTTGCGGTGTAGTCATCGTAGGTGGCGTTTCACGTTGTTTATAGAGCTGTTTGCGCTCATGAGTCACGATTGACAAGACAGTAAAAGTTTTCACATTGGCTTTTTTTTATCATTTGTCACTTTACAAGCATTTGCAAACAAGTTGTTATCTTAGCAGTTTAATTCATCAGTTATCATAGAGCATGTATTAGATAGGTTTTTTTAAGTAGCATGTAGTGATGCGAAATAAATTAAAGCTTGCATATCGTGTTATCGATCATATCGAAATGATTTCGGTATCAAAACGTTATTCGTGCCTAATATTAAAAATATACAAATATCAAATTCCACTTATAGTGGCAGGTCATACATGTAAAAGCTGTATTTTAGTTGTACATACTGAAGCATGATTCATGATTCATTAAACAAAATTTACGATTATTTTAAAGTTCTACAATAAAAGTTATATAAACCAATATAGTTTTTATCGCCACTAAATAGTTATTTTGTTACGTAAATTATTTAAAAAATAAAACTGAAAATCATGCTACACTGTATAAGATAAGATTTTGTTTAACTAGGGTCTTTTGAGGTGTTTAAAAACTTATGTAAAATCGTAAAAAGGTGTGGTTTCAAACTGTTAGCGGTGCAATACGACGCATAAAAGTTTATTGACGTCAAAAAGTTTCGTGACGGCTCCTGACGATACACTTGCAGATGCACGACAGAGATAAAAGTGTAAATATGTATGTACGTGATTCGAAGAGCATGCACAGTGAAAAATGTTGTTTCTTAATAGACTGAAGCTTTCGATATTTAAAATTATTCTTATTGAATTGGTCGTTGCTTTTCCCGATAAATATGAAATACAAGGTAATTATTACATCTCACTATTAAGTGGGTGCAATGATTGTAGTTACTTGTTTGGATTTGTTGTTTTATTAATAATATTTTCCACTATGTTTTGATGATTTTGATTAATTCCGATTCCAGATGCTGATACTAATATGAAGATTGATTTAATGGATATTTTGAATAATTATACAGATAATGCAAAAGGACATCAAAGAGATTCTAATAAAAATGATCTTGTTGAGAATTGGACAGGCAGATGGTTACCTAGTCGTCCAGGTGAATACACACCACCTCCCAAGGTATTTCATAAAGAAATATATCCACATAATGAAAACGTACAAATGGGAGTGAAAAATGTCAAATGTGATGATGGAAAGGTATTCTTGGCTTGTATTGTCTTGATCATAGAACACTTGACATGTGTTATTGATATATTTTATATGATTCTGTATTTTATAGACTAATTTAACTGTAGATTGGGATCATTCTCTGACAAGCTACACATGTTTTGGAAAAAAAATAGTTCCTGATATGAGTATAATACCAGAATATTATTGTGAAATTATTCCAAAAAATTATAAGGTAATTATCAAAATTTCAAGAATAGTTATAGTTTTGACTAAACTATGTATCTTTTTATTGTTTTTCTTCTAGGCAATACATAAATGTATGAATAACAAAATCGAATATACAGAAGATATTCCTACTTTGTAAGTATTAATGCTGTTAATAATATTGAATTACTTGATAGAATATTTACTTTGTCCTTTGCTTTAATACATTTCTAATAGTTAATATTATTATTTTTAGTGGAACACACAGACCTATATGGCCTGTTTATGGTGAATATAAATATGTACCTACACAGAGATGGCTTCATAGCCTTGAGGTTTGTGAAACTCTTTTATTTATTTATTAGTATTCAAATGATATAATGTAAATAATTTGTATTCAGCACGGAGCTGTTGTTATGTTGTATCATCCATGTGCAAATAGCCTTGAAATAGAGCGGTTAAAAAAATTAGTTAAAGGATGTTTGAGACGGTATATTATAAGTCCAAATAATCTGCTTGATGAACAACGAGTAAGTTATCAAATGGCAAATGTTATACCATGAAAATTCGGACAACAATATAATTAATAGCTGTGTTTTTTATTTAGCCTCTAGCATTGTTAACGTGGGGTTGTAAACTGACAATGTCGCATGTCGATGAAGAAATGGCCAAGCAGTTTATTCAAGACAATGCTTTGCACGGACCCGAAGAAATTTTATTTGACGGAAGTTTTAAAGATCAGTTGATAGAAAAGTCTAAGGTTGTTTCAGATATGTCAGACTCTATGCTATGTTCATTACCAATGTGATTAATTGATATATATATATATATATATATATATATATATATATATATATATATATAAATTTGGAATGTATTTTCGACTGTAAAGACACTTCATTTAATTTTTTAATGAAGTAAACTGTGATTGTTCTGTAAAGCCAAATTTACTTAAAAATGTTTTTACTTGGATCCGATAGTTTATCTACAGCTTCTATTGTTAAGATGAAAATAATATACTGAAGTTAATGTCAATCTGAAATATGGTATTTTTAATTTAATATTTCGACCGACAGTGGTATAAACATATTCACCCAAAGTCGCGAATAATTATAAGTATGTACCTGCACAAAGTTTACCGGCGGCTGATATTAAATTTCGATTGTCAGAAGTGACTAGGTTTTTTATTTGGAAATAATACATTTGGATACTAGTGCGAAAAAGTAATTTCAGCTTCGTGTGGACGTTTGTGCTTGAGCAAAGCGAAATTACTTTCTCGCGCATGTATTTAACTTTATTTTTCGATAAGACGTGCATGGAAGGAGATTTTTAGCATGCCCTATTCCTAGAGCGTGCGTAAAGTGGACTCCCCTTGCACGTACTATCCAAAAGAGATCTTTAAAGCACCGAACTAGATGCTATACTGTATACGAACGACAATGGAGTAAATTCGTTCGACGTCGACAATGTTGCGTGTTGCATTGGATAGCCGCTATCGCCGCGATAAGTTGGAGCCTTATTATAGGCTTTTGACGTGGGTCATCACGTGATAAACGCTTGTTGTTCGTGTAAAATTTTCGCGATTCAGTCGTCTCTCTTATTCCGAGCTAATTAAGCGAACTATCGCGAGCAAGCATGGTGTACGATGTTAAGCATGTTGAACGATGATAGAATTACTGCATTAATTTTGTTAGTGTGCGCCATTACACGCGTACATGAAAGTATAGCTGAGTTAAGTAAGTCTAACATATGTTCAAGGTAGCCTGTCAATAGAAGACAATCATTGTGATTGTATAAATTTCCAGATGCTAACACCAAGGTTAATGCCAATAACAAGGAAAGTGAAAAAGTTAGGTACAACGATTCTCTGGAACATTGGAAGGGCAGATGGATGCCCAGTCGACCTGGTGAATACACAGTGCCTCCCAAAGTCTTTCATAAAAAGAGTAAAATCGTAGAGTCATCGCAAAAAGACGAAAATGAGGATAATTCCTTGGAGCACTGGAAGGGCAGGTGGATGCCCAGTCGACCTGGCGAGTACACAGCGCCTCCCAAAGTATTTCATAAAAAGAGTAAAATCGTAGAATCATCGCGAAATGATGTAAACGAGGAAGATTCCTTGGAGCATTGGGAGGGCAGGTGGATGCCCAGTCGACCTGGCGAGTACACGGCTCCTCCCAAGATATTTCACAAGAGCAATGAAACAGAATCAGTCGCGACTGGCAGCGGTAGCAGACGCGTCAACGCCGGATTAAACGACACATGCGACGATGGACTGAACAATGTAGAAGCTGATTGGAACCGTGTATCCAGGAGTCACGTGTGCTTCGGAAGAAAAATCGTCCCCGATCTCGGCATAGTCGCAGAGTATTATTGCGAAACGATTCCCAAAAATTACAGAGTACCGACAATTGCGCACCTCCGATAGTTGTTTAGCTTATCAATGTGACTTAATCATTTTTTGCATTAGGTTATGCATCGGTGTATGTCCGAGGCTATCGACTACGTTGAAGACATCCCGACATTGTGAGTTGAGATCCGGTTATTTTAATGCTGTTTTTGTTAAGCTCGGGCATGCCACTGAAATGACTGTTGTTTTGCCGCCGGCGTAGTGGAACCTCGAGACCCATTTGGCCAGCTTACGGCGAATACGAATACCTGCCCGCACAGAGATGGCTTCGCAGTCTGGAGGTATGCTCGTTCGCAGCTTGACCGAGGATAGGAAAATGAGTGAGCAATCTGCTTTTCGCAGCAGGGAGCTATAGTCATGTTGTATCACCCCTGCGCCAACACACTCGAGGTGGAGCGTTTAAAGAGCCTGGTTAGAAGGTGCTTGAGAAGACACGTGATATCACCGAACGATCATCTCCACGAGGAGAGAGTGAGTTGACCCGATTGACCGTTCATATTTCATACAGAGCCCACGAAAAACTCGCCATTGTAACGGGCAATTCAAATGAGCTTATATGCGCAGCCTTTAGCCTTACTTTCCTGGGGCTGCAAGCTGTCGATGTCGTGGGTTGATGAAAATGCAGCCAAACGATTCATTCGCGAGAATGCTTTACGCGGTCCCGAGGACCATTTCGAGGATGGAAACTACATCCATCAGTTGATCGAGAAGGCCGGGCAAGTGTCCGGCGACGAAGACAGACATCTGTGTCCGTAGACTACCAGAGCAATTTTTCTACTGGTTTTCTTTTAAATGGTACGGGGCTACGCTTATGTCATATTAGCCATGTGTCGATACTCATCAGCATGTCAAAATATCCGGCTGCATGCGCTGCCGAGTCTGCTCGAGCCTTGAAAATCGCAATGAACTCAGCTTATTGACCGTAAGTTTCGCGTTTAAAAATAATAGCAAAAAATAAAGAGACGTGCAAACTTTGAATGTTTACGTATGGCTTTATAGCGAATACTTACCACCGGTTCTGTTACTGTGTCGTGAACTTGCAAGATGACAATGCCGTCCATTATTAAACTGCACGCTTAATTAATCGAGACTACGGTAACACAAATCCGTGCCGATCAAAGGCAAACTAACGGTACAACTTTGAAAATAAACTACGTGAACGCTCCTGTCGATTCGAATTACGATTGTTTTAGAAAACCAAATTTTATCTGTCAATGCGTATTTTGGCTTCCTTTACGTAGTGACATAAAGTTGTTAATACACTAAGTATCAAAACAAATCCGGCAAATAATAATAAGTAACGTGTGCTTTTTAACATTTAACGTAATACATTAACAATGCGACTGAAAGGTGAAAAGTGGTGGAGCGGTAAAATCACAAGACGTCTAGTGGAAGATGTTTTGTTTAAGTTTACTTCCAATATCTCGAAATTTACATTTTACAGCAGTATCTTTAAAATGGATCGAGTACTTTTAGATTATTGATTAACGCAACGAGCTTCACTAAGGGACTGCGATGGGCTCTTTGAATGTCCTTTTGACGAGTAACGGTTAAAGCGTCACCTTCACATTCTCTCTTTCTCTCTCTCTCTCTCTCTCTCTCTCTCTCTCTCTCTCTCATCGAAAGCCATTTGACACGATTGCACGACGAAATTATTTCGCTGTAGATTCGAGTCCACGTTATTGTCGTCTATCGCGCTGCTAAAATCTGCTCGTTCTTTCGTCCGCCAGCTGTGCGCGGATTGCGACAACTGGAGGTGCCTCGTATTTACAATTGGCGACGAGATAAGCCTCGGCTCGACGTGCGCGCACGCGGAATACAAGCGATACGATTGACGCGACTGACTCGGGTTGTCCTTCTGACGGACGCGAGCCATTGTTGCAGGGTTCAAGCGATGATTGCGAAATGATTCAGAAATGCAAACGAAAACCGCAAGTTTGTACTTTATGTTTCGCGAGAGAGATATTTTAATGGGATAGGCGTCGACGACAGTGAGGCCTGCTTTCTCCTCGAAAAAAATGCTCGTACGAGCGAGAGTAATTGCCTGTGATTGCGCCCACTCTGCCGGATAAAGAAGCCTTTTCACAGTCCCAAGAGCGAAGGTGTCTTTGATATTTTAGGTGCACTTGCATTAATAGTTCAGATACCTAGTTCGTCTGTTAATGCTATTTTTTCACGCTTCTCCGTATTATCTTTGTTTTTCTCGTAGGTTCGAGTTGCTCACTATTTTTTATATTATAATGGCATACAAGCACACGCACGCACACACACACACGCGCACACACACACACACACAAACACACACACATGAATGTATGTATGTATGTATGTACGGATGTATGTATGTATGCTCGTATACGTGGTTCATGTGTGAACGTGTGTGTGTCTGTGTATGTAACATAGAGATCTTTCATTTGTCATTAACATGGTACAAAACTTCGAGGTTTTAATATTGGTAATGATATATTCATAAAATACTCAATATTCTAACAAGTTAAATAAACTTTGTCTTTCTAAGATATATTTATTAAAAACTGTTATAGCTTCGATAAATATAATACAACTTTGTAACACTTATAGCAATTTAAAAGCGTCTCTTTCAATAATAACGTTGTGTGTTGTTGAATTCTCATAATTCATATATATAGCTAGGTATATCATGAGTATGCATATATACCTACGCCGTCATCGTATAACGAGAAAACTCAAGACTAACTCGGTTACAGTGTAGAAAAAACTTGGAAATCATGAAAAATAACTCATCGGCGACGACTCGGTCGTTCGCCTTTACGCTCGATCGAGAAACTACGAGACTGAGAGTGGCATTTTAAAACACGTAAATTGTTTTTGGGAAGAGTAGATTCGAGGCCCGCGCGCCGACGCATGCAGCGGAGCGTCTGCAATTCAGAACGTAACATCGAGTAAACGAGTACTTTGCAGTCGCGAATACGCGACGCCCGGAAGAAAAAACTCGAGAGACAACATTGAGAGAGAGAGAGAGAGAGAGAGAGAAATAGAGCTTAAGTTTTGTTATATAGAAAATTGATATATTTATATACGTGTAACCGAGGAGCTTGATCGTCTCTGCGAGCGATATGCATGCCACAATGTAATGCTCGCGCGTCGGCGCTCCGCGAAAGCGCCGCAGCGTCGCGTCGCGCTCCACTCGATCCGACCGTCGCTCTGCGCCGTCGTTCGCTCTCTTCGCGACCACTTGATCGCAATGTCCCACGCTCGCCGCGACGCTTCGGCGATTGTCATCGCGGAGTCTCGCGCAAGCTCTTAAAATTATTGCCAATTTTGTACACTTCGCGTATGTTTATATGTATAGATATAATGTCCCGTTTGCCCTCTGCTGGCTATTCTCACCGTTGCGCTTCGATGGATCACTACTCTGCTGAAACTGAGGGAATGTGTCGTCTCGATTTCCTCTCTCCGGCGCGTCGCTTCACATATGCGATAATACACGTTAGTTGCCCGACGACATTGCGAGATATTAATAACATTAGGCAGAAAACACCGTTGATTTATTTATAGATATGAGTCATCGTTAAATACGGAATTCTTAATCGCGTTATACTTGCTTGTCTCTTCCCTATGAAATAACTACGATAAAAAGTATTCAGAAGTTTGTTTGTTTGTTTGTTTTTACCTCTTTCTTGCGTTTTCTTACATTACTCTCTTCTGCTTTTTCGCTCATTCGCGCCACAACGACGTGCTGATATTGTTTCATTGACCCTTTTTACTGCACGCACTTCGAGATCCAATCTCCCAAAATTATTTTATTTCTTTAACATTTATATAATCCCGTTAAGTATAATCTCACTTTTTCACATGAAATTCACTCGCGTGAACCGTCATTGTCATTATCATTATTATTATTATTATTATTATTATTATTATTGTTATCATTATTATTATTATTATTATTATTATTATTATTATTATTATTATTATTATTATTATTATTATTATTATTATTATTATTATTATTTGCAACGTTTTTCCTTTTTACTTAAATTGCATAGTTAAAGTTAATTAATCTCCGTCATCTCATCGACAATGCGCCATTATTTTGCCGCGTTATATCGTATCTAAACATTTCAAAATTATGATTTAGCTGAAAATGGAATTGACACTGATAAGATTATTAAAGTAGCCTTTCTTACAAGTAATTGTACCGATGTGACACCGACCCATGTACATTTTCGACGGTTCAATTTCAGCAAATGGTTTTCAATACATTCCTCTATTCGATTGTTCATCCCTCTAGCGCAACGATCGCTCGAAGTTTTTCAAAATTCTCTTGTGAATTTCACAAGCTATCTCAAAAAATGTCGGGGCCAGTCGAGCTGGGAACGCGATCAATTCCACGGGAATTCACCGAAATACTCGCTACTCGTCTCGTCTATCGTCGTCGAAATCATCGAAAGCGCCCCGAAAAGCTCACGCTGCAAAGGTAAACGCCAGTAGAAGAGCGCGTGGGGGGGGGGGTGACTCGAGTTGCAGCCACAGCATCCCGGAAGACGAGTGGCGTCGAAGCGCTGAGAGTCGGAGAACGGGCAGAGAGAGAAAGAGAACGAGGCGCGCGATCCGTCTGGCGCGCTCATCGGCGAGCGACGCGTCGCGAAATTGACTCGCGCTCGCGAGCGGCCGGTTCCGGGAGCGAGAGCGCGTCCGCGAGTCGCGCGTTAGGCCAAACTTCCGATACACAATCGGTTATTGTGCTCCGTCAATTGTATAGTCGCGGCGTTGCATCTCGAGGCTAGGTCGATCGAGCGCGTCGATTCCCGTGTGAACGTAACGAGGAGCCGTCGCAGACCGGGAAATCGTCCAAAAGAAGCTCTGTCCGTCCCCGCGACTGGCGTCACGTGTTCTTTCTCTCTCTCGTCTTGTCTTGCTTCCGCAATGGCGAACGATCAGGTGTGACGCCCGCGCCGCCGGCTATCGTGATCGATCGGACGACTGTAATACTGCTGCGCGCGAGTGATGCAAAGGTGGCCTCGCTCGTCCGCGACGCAGCTCGGCGCTGCCGGGCCAAAAGCCGTTTCGGCGTCGTCCACTGGAAATCTTTACTGCCAGTCGGACGATCCGATTTCACGCGAATACATGCGAAAATTCAAGCGCATCCGCAGTTCCTTCAAGTTCTAATTGGATCTTTATTTCGTGCTACTTGTTGGCTACTCGCGTCGGAGAACCATCTATACGCACACACGCACGTGTGCGCTGAAAGAGATAGAGAATCCTGCACTTTCACGCTTGCAGCCTTAATTTCTGTTGGTCTTTACTCTCCGCTGGCATCGTTCGTTTCATTACAACTAGAAGATTGCGCGGAGCATTCCGCCGTGTTATTCTATAATGTTGACTAGGGTTTGACGTTTGACAAGGCGAATCCCTAACGAGTAAGTAGCAATTGATTCAATCACATTGAAATGCACAGACTTGAAAATTGGAATTGAAAATTCAGCGCTTCACAGCACTTTTATTAATATCGCGTTGTCGATAAATTTATGCGTGCGCGTGTTTTTTTTTTTCTGGTTTGCCATCGTCGTCTCGACCGCTCCTTCGACGCGTTCGCCTGCGACAGGGATCCGCACGGATTGTCGAAAGCACGGAACTGGAGCTATGAGTCGCGGCTGCACAATATCGTGCTTGTCCGCGATTCCGAACAACGCGGTCCGCGCACGGTTATGAGTCTTCCTCCGTGCTTTCGACAATAGGCGCTCGGTAAGCTCTGCGAGAGCCGAGTCCGTCATCTCGCCCTCGCTCGTACCTCTTAGACCTCTTAGATGCAGTTTTAGTTAATTTTAACGACATACTTGTTTTTCTTTTTTCTTTTTCTTTTTTTTGGTTTATTTTCACGACTCGTATCGTAAATTGGAATATAATAGATATAGATATATATATGTATAATGATAGTAACGGCAGCTATCTAAGCTAACAATTACACTTTCTGTACAGGATGCGTCGCAGCTGCGAACCTGCCGTCCGTCATTCCGAAAACGGTCCGTCGAAGTCGTCAGCTTCGACGACACTCAGCACTCGTTGAGTTGACAACGCGAGATCGCCCTGAACGCTTTGCAACGTGGAACGCGTATTCTTCAGTTGCGGTGAACATGCGTGAATGTGTGTGTGTGAGTGTGTGTGTGTGTGTGAGTGTGAATGTGAATGAGCGTGTCATAATCTCGACGAAAACCTCGTGAAATATGCAACGCACGATCCTGAAAACTTGCGGCCAAAGCTGTCGGCGAGGGCGACACCGATAACAATGAAAAGCACTCGCATTTACTCGCTCGCGCACTCACTCGCGCATTCTCCCCGCCAATTGTCTGCCGGTAACACCTATATGTGTAGATATATCGTATTTATTGCTGCACCGGTACGAGAATCGTGCCTCGCCAACGCTCCGCCAATCGGCGTGGCGCCGCGAAGGGGCGAGCCGCGCCTTAATCAAGCCACCACGTGGTCTACAATAATAATAAAAAATAGCGACCGAACGAAGGGAAAGCTACGCTAAGAGTGCCTGGCCTAGTGGACTGCGCGGATGCTGCGAGAGTGGGTGTCGCTCGGCGTCACTTCGCTCGCGCAATTTGCCAGTGCTGGTCGCTGGCTGCGGCTGGGTGGGCGCTGCTGCAGGTGAGTCGGGGGGCCGTGTCTTCGTGGCGCCAGTGTGCGTGTGGGTGTGGGTGGTGTGAATGTGAAACGGGCGCGTCGGTGTGCCGGGGGGCCTCTTCGAGGCGCAGGCAGGCGTCGGCGGCCAATCGTTGCTCCTCGCGTCGTCCTTCTGTGGCTGGTGCGCTCGGCCGTGCGCCCGGGATCGCCACGGCGCTGCCGGCGGCGGCGACGCCTGCTGGCGCGCCCCTCGCGCCTCGGGCTGGCCCTGCAACAGACGCGCACCGGGCATCGATCAAACATCCGTGCGGCTGGCTCGAGTCCGTGGGTCGGCGGTCCGCCGACGGGTAGCCGGGTGCCTACCTGCGTCGAGGCGCTCACACTAGGCCGAGGTATCCCGCGACGGTGAAGACCAGCACTATGACGAGAATCGTCACGCAGATCAAGATCATGATTTTCTTCTGCTCGCGGCCAAATTTACAGAAAAACAACTTGCATTAGTTTCCGTCGTTCCGTCTACTCTAGGCTTGCGCTACACCGACACACAAATACGTCTGCACATCATTTACATACACATTTATTTGGACTCGTTTATATATATATGGGATGGTATTCATGGGTAACATATATGAATATACAATGTTCTCTTGCTCTGTCTATCGTGATCTTTGCTTTTTCCCTCGTTTTTCTTCCGTACACCACTGCTCCAGCTAATACCACTGCAATATTTAGTTCTCGTTTCTGTCCAATACTGCTACGTGACGCCCAAACGCATACGTGCACACACACATACACACACACACACACACACACGCACGCACGCACGCATAAACACAGGTCCTTCGGTCGCAGCGCTGACAGACCACTCTAAAACGAATCTAGGTGATTCTGGCATCGGCAACACGACACTGAGGTCCCAACAGTGGTTGCGTGGACAAGAAGGGGTGCAAAATGAAATCATCAATGCGCTTTGCGTAGAGTGTTAAATAAAAACATTTATTTACACGGCCATTCGCTTGAACTAGTGACGATCACGCTAAATGTCGATGAAATAATAATAGCAATGCGATACAAAGGTGATTTAGCTCGAGGACAATTACGTAGCTGTGCCAGTGCATTCTGCAGTGCTAGTACAATAAATAGACAATCAATCACTGCTGTACAGTTGCATACGACTAAGACTAATACAACAATGCTACTCGAACCGATGCGTCGCTGCGGTTCTCGATGTACTCGTAAACATCGTCGACACTTGTCACTGGCGGCCAAGTGCTTTCTACGTGTGCTCCAGAGGAGGAGCTTGCGCAAGCGGCCCTTGGTGTTGGCTATCATTCTCGTCTCGCTAGCACACGGCGTAGCGAGGAACATGCGCGCGAGCGCTCCTACGGAGCCAGAACGACGGAAAAGCATGCTCGCGTGTGACAACGATCTACGCGTGCTTTAGAACAAATAAATGCCTTCTGTAGTGAAACTCGAAGAGAAGAAAAAAAATGCAAGATAATTGGATTCCACAGCTTTGCAAGACAATAAAAGACCGTTGATTAAAACAACTGATCGAAATGCTGGAAGAACGGCAGAGAGAGAAAGAGAGAGAGAGAGAGAGAGACGGAGAGAAAGAGAGAATGGCAATTGCGCGCGTATCGGTGCGAAATTCACGACTGCTCGTCAGCGCAAAAGGGCCGGAGCTTAGCGGTAAGAGGATTAAAAAAGTTCGTACAATGAACGTCGCACCGAGAGCGCAGCCCTGCTACGCGGCAGGCGGCGACAGCAGGCAGCCAACAGCAGGTAATCGCGCTAGACATCTCGGCGCGCGAGTGCAATGCAAACGAATCGGGCGGCCCGAGCCCCGCTGGCTCGCCTCCACGAGCGCGAACGGGAGTCGAATCGAGAGCCAGCGCGCACCTATAGCCACAACGACAGTCAACAGCATTACACCCGTGCTGCATCTACAACACGGACACACAAAGAGAGTCGCGGCCAATGCTCTCTCTCTTTCTTCCCGCTTGGGTACTTACTTGTCTGGCAGAGTCTTCGGCGGTTGCCGTGCTGCTGCTGCTGCTGCTGGTGCTGCTGTTGCTGCTGCTGCTGCTGCTGCTGCTGCTGCTTGGCTCTGATCGCGCTTACTGTTATTGCAACCTTCGAGGACTGTGCATTGCAGCTGGCGCGAGAAAACCTCTCCTGCCAATGTCTGTGTACAAATGTGACGACGCGCGATCGATCGGCGCCTGTTCGATTCCCGACGGCCCTACGGACACCCTACGCTCGCTAGCACGCCTATCTACAACAGCTTTGCTCGGTTGGCGCAGCGCTCGCACGTTCTTCGAGCTATATCTATATACGTAGATTGACATCTTTATCGTTTTTTACTTTACTTGTTCGGGCTACACAATGTGAATCGCATATCAACCATACGTTTGAAAAGCGTCGACGTGCAATTTCTACTTAACCTCCGCTCAGCCTAGACGCATATATATACGTGTATGTTAATTTATTTACATATGTATATGCGCGTAAGCATACATTTCGTTTTTCGCGGACATATCGGCCTTCTTCGCAACTCTATACAAATCAACATATCGTCTTATTTACATAAACAGAGGAAAGCTTAACGAGGAACTGGAGAGACGAGAGGCGCTCCTTGACTCGCCTCCAGCGTTCGCGGCTCGCGCCTGCCCGCCTCTTAATTACTCGAGTCGGACGCGTGGACTCGCGTCGGCTGGATTTCAGTGAGAGACGGGGGCGCGAGAGTAAGGCTCTCGTCAGGTATGCGACACTGGGATCGAAGAATTAGAAGGGGGGGTGGGCGACGACTGACGGCTCTGCGCTCCATCCTCGAGTGGGTTAAACGACGCGAGTTACAGATCATCATCAGAGCGAATTCGCAGCTTAACGTCACGTAAGTACTAGTGCTAGGAGTCTGCGCAAAGCCGCCGTGGGTCGGCGAGGATTAATCGCTATCGAGAACGCACGAGTGGCTTTGCCAGGCTAGCAGGCCGAACGAGAACAGCGCGAGTGGTCAGAGGGAGGAGGGGTGGATGCGACACAATGCTCGACGCTCGCTCGTCCGTGATGTGATAATACTCGTGCTCCTCCGACATCGTCCTCAGTGCAAGTTTACCACCAAAATAACAATTAAAATGGTGAGCACCACCAAAAGGCAGACAACGATGAAGATCAATTTCTGTGAACAAAACAACGTGGGCGTCAAGTGGCGCTCTGATCGGCGAGCGTCTGACGGGCATCTGGCAAGCCTCGAAAAGTGCGATCAACCGGCCTGCCAAGTTAAACCCGAGCGGTAAAAGTTGGCACTGACAATGGCGAAGCGGCGAGAGCGCAGTTTTCGAGACGCCATCCGGCAGACAGTAGCGATTACGTCTCGATGGTCGTGGAGCTTTTCCGACTGTAAAGGTGTGGATCCAAAGCTTGTCACAAGATTAGTTGAAAGGAGGTCATTGGTGCAGAGATACAAATGCGTTAGCAGACTGGTTAGTACTGTTTTGTCGTGGATCGACAGCGATAGAAATAGCACGATTAAGATTCGAAAGCCCAAGCCGACCGCAGCCTCTCGCGCAAGTCAACACGCACACAGACACACCCGCGAATAATTATTAGTCGTCTTGAACACATTTGTCAGCCCTCCGAATTGCCGGGCACCGATCCCTAGTCTTGTCCTCTCTTACGCTTGCGCTCGCCACGAGAATGTTGTCGGCGGGAAGCTTGAATTCGTATGTACAAGTCCCGTAAAGCGATGGCGATTCAGCGCTGACTCCCAACAAAAGAAAATTCGTTGCGTCCAAAAGCATACCAATGACATCGAGCACGTCGAAACACAAGCGGGCGAGGAATTTTGTTGTTGCTTTTCTCTTTGAAAACGATCAGCGATAATTAAGTATTCGAAGGCACATTCCGATACGATTGAGAAACAGGAGAGAACCAATTAACAACGTCGTCTGAGTGGATATCGCGGCGGAAGTTTGAAACGAAATCAACTGGTGCAACGTCATCTTTTTTCTTCGACGCATTTTAGGAATCGCGTAAGTTATATTTAGCACTGAATTAGGTCATCCTCGAAGGGCCGTTCGTTCGTTTGTCCAGCTCACTGCCAGTCACAGCCAGTCTCTGAACATTATTTCTCGACTCGGCGCTCGACGTCATAACGTTTATTGTCCACTCGTCGACTTTGTTGCTGTCAGTGATATAATTGTATGTATGGTTCGTCAGACGAGGCAGTCCGATGGTTGTCGCGCCCAAGTCGTTGCGTGCCTCGCCAAATTTATGTACTTTCGAGGGTTTGCCTGGCTGTCTCTCATTGTACGTTCCCGCTGATCTACGCTCATTCCATCGCCCGCCAAAATTCTAATCTAACCGCCCTGCTTTCCTACTTATTCGATCGTCTTTTCTTCTCTCGTGTGTACGTGTGTGAGTATTCTCTTGCTACGGATCCGTTTAGAATATCGGAAACATTACTCCAAGAATGCTGATTAATATGACGAGCGATACTGCGACGCAGATCATTATAAAGATCATTTTCTGTGGACAGAAAAAGACAACACAACGAGCAAGTCAGTCAGGTGATTTTGCTTGTGAGTTGCTGTTACACTTAGTTGTTTTTGTTTTGTTTTTTTTTTACCGTCGTGCGTATAGAAATCGTTTGATCATCGCTCTTTGACATACAATCGAAAAATAAATAAGACAATTGGATTCCAATTTCGTCCGTCGACTACTCGATCTTGACTCTTGAAAGAGAGAAAAAAAACACTTGTAGAGAAATAAAAAAGGAAAAGTGTAATCGAAAGATTTCATTCAAAAAAGTTGATAGTAAGATAAATAAACGTGCTGTCTATTCTATGGTAAAACTGGCGGTGTGCTGCCTCTGCCGAAGCTCTGCGTGTTGGTATTCGCAGTAAAAGGAAAAAACAAAAAAAGAAATACGAAGCAGCGTATAACGAATAAGGGCTCGATTGCAAAGTAAAGATCATGCAAAAATGTTATTGCTGTCGATTTTGCGTAGGGTGATACGAGGGTAGCGGAGTTTCCATAGTGTGGACGTGGGTGGCAGCTACGGTGCGCGAGTGCGCGCGTGTTAGCATGCGAAACGGAGGATTTGAGAGCCTACTGGTGCCTACAGAGCAGAAGCGCGGAAATGTTCGAAGCGTGGCTGGACTACACACAAGCTGGCATCGCGATAAGAAGCTCGAGTGGCTGGCGCTGACAGCTATTGCAGCACGGAACTGCAGGTCATCAAGCTGAATCTCTTACGTTTTCGTTCCATCGGTCGTGCTCCTCTCGGTCGAAGGCTCTCGTTTGCCTCGCCGATGGCGCCAGTTAAGCAAGAGGCCGCTCAGGGAATGCTGATCGGCCATATAGGAAAACAGTACACAATCTATTCTGACATACAGCGAATCTCGTCTCGAACGCGCGCGCAAAGGAGGAAGGCCCGCACACATGCAGCACAAAGAGTAGTGACGGATCAAGAGATAGAGAGAGAGAGAGAGAGAGAGAGGGAAACGCAGGCAGGCATGCGACGTAAAGAAAGAAGGAAGAGAACGGAAAACGATGGGACCGTTGCGAGACGTTGCGGCAAAACAGCGTTAGTCGGAGGAAACGAAGACAACAGTGTAGAGAGTGAAAGAGGGTTATCAGGTTAGATCTCCTTGCCGGCGCCAGACTGTTCGTTACCTTGCGAGCCTTGCTTTGGTATATGGCAGCTTGCACGAGCTCCGTCTTGCCGTCCTTCACGAAGTCCTCGGTCTGGGTGACGTGGTACTCGATGCGGTCCACCAGCTCTCCCTGTCTCGTTTCGCACCAGCAGCAGGTGGGGTGGGCAGGGGTTGGGGGGGGGGGGAGAATAGTGAAGTTCGGGGTCGGGGTTTATGCACACACATCGATATAACAGACAGACAGACAGACAGACAGACAGAGATACATAGATACACATCGATCAAGAGAACCAGTTAATCGTTAGTTCATGTTAGTCAGGCGGTTAGCATATTGATATAGACAGAGCAGCAGTGGACAGAGGCACAATCGTCACACCCATATCGTTCGATCGTTATCGTACGAGGTACAAAGTTTTCGTTTTTCGCACCAGCACCAGCACCACCACCATCACCACCAAATCAAGTCAAATTAATTCGAGCGAGCCAATGATTGTCGTCGTCGCACGCATAGTAGAGATGTTGTGAGAGGTAGATGGGCGTCAAATGAGACGTAAAGTGGCAATTGGCAAGAGGAATGTTGGAATCGAGGGGGGGGGGGGGAGGTAATTGGGCAAAGGGCCAGGAAAAAAAGAAACAGAAGAAAAGTGACCAATTAGACGCGAACGATTGCAGGTTTGTGTATATGGGAGGGAACAGGATGTCGTGTTGATTGCATCTTACAACTATGGACAGGACTCACCCGTCGGGCTTTGCTTTGATACTTGAGTGCTTTTTTGGTGTCCTGCGTGGCTGTCTGCACGTAGTCGACCGCGTGCTCCACGTGATACTCTATGCGATCTATCATCTCGCCCTATTGACACAGCGGCGCAGCGTTTTTGCCAGGGAGCCAACCAGTTTCACACCAACACCACCCCAGATCAGGAGGAAAGAGAGACAGGTAGGCAGAGAGTGAGAGAGAGAGAGAGAGAGAGACAGACAGAAAAGCAACGAGGTATAAGCTCGGCGATCTCCTCGCCCTACTTTTATTGTTTTTTTGCTCAATTTTTGCTCTTCAACTTCAACTCATCCAGTGTTGCAGTTTACTTGGTGAAGTTGAAGAGTCCGTTAATAGTTAAGTTGCTTTACTTCGCTTCAAAGCCAACGCAAAGACATTGTCTGCTTGCTCGCTGGCCCTGATCGATTGTTATTAGTTATTAATTGGTGAGTAAGATCAATTATTGTTATTCATAAGATTTGGAAAACTCGGATTAACTTTGAAAATGGAAGAGATACTTGATTACGGATTAGACATTGGCTTCATAAACGCAGCGCCGTCTGTTTTCTATTCTTTTTCATCACCGATCGATCAAATATCTAAGCATATTCAAATAAAAGTCACTCGTACGATGAAATTCATAAAAGTACAAAATTTAAGTTCGCAAGCCATTGGGAGTAAAGCGCCCGAGTCAATAATTAATGAGACCAATCGTAACGTTCGATCGCTGTCGTCTAACAGGTTGCAAAGCTACAAGGAATCAAAGTGCAATCATAAGTGAAGCGTTGCGATTGGTCGTCAGCTGAAATTGAATAATCAAACTGTCAAATAGCGATCGTCTTTGATACTTTCAGAGCAGGAGCACGAGCGCAAGCATCCGTAATGACGCAGAAGAGAGAACACTCCGAAAGTACCAAGGAGCGAGCGGGGGACACGGTTGCTCCGATGAGTCGGCAATCAATGGGAAATCAGGTATCGCGTTGCGAGCGCGGAGCGTCGACGATGATTTACCTGGCTTTCCACGAGCATGGCCATGTCCATGAACATGTCATGCAGCTCCCTAATGGAGTTTTCTAGTTTGATGATGTCAGCGTGGCGCGCCTCGATGTCCGCGAGGGTCTGTTTGGCTTGTTGCGTTTCCATGATGATCTGCAACACACAGAGTAGGCGCACGTAGTCAGTGAATATGAAAATGCGCCCGACGGTTGGCTATTTAAATGGCAATCGGGCTGCTTGCACGTGACGCGGTCGCTCTTGGATCGCGGCCAATCGCAAGCTTGCCGCGAGTCGCGAGGGAACAAAGAGCACTTACCCCCTGCGTGAAGACCGCCGGGTTGCCCTGCTCCAGCATCTCCTCCAGCTCCTCGTTGGTCGTCGTTCTACCCGCTGCAGACACGCAAGCACGTTATTCGCGTCGGCGACGACCGCGCCGGGACAGTCGCATCGGTAAGCAACGGCAAAACTCACTGATTTCGAGCTGTCGCTGTATCCTGCCCTTGCACCTTTCCCTGTAATCGGTCTGTGTCCGATTGTATTCGGTCATCACCTCCACGAATTTCCGGGATAGCGTCGAGTGCTGAGTCTTGCGTATCCTCAGGTCCGCCGACGATTTGTTCGTGTGCTCCTCTTGCTCGATGTTTTGCTCTATCACTGCAAGACAACAGGGCCCGATTGACGAGTCGCTGTCGAATGTCGATGAGCCCAAGCAAACCAACGCACTTACCCTTTAACTTGGCTCTGACTTTGTTAGCAGTTTTCTTGATGTCGGCCATCAAGTCCTCGAGCTCCATCTTGACCTCTGCGAGTGCAACGAAGCAGGCGAAAGGAGTTAGTGCAAGTGGCATTCGCGTCGTCGCGGTGGCTGAGCGCGCGTTCACCCGGCTCCGGTCCCGCTGGACACCGATCGCCCGGGTGTCAGGCCCGAGCGTCACGGCTGCCGTCGATTGCGATCGGCCGCTTTGCGATGGGTGGAAAGAGGGAGAGAAAAAAGGCGTACGCTCTCGGCGGCTTGACGTCGGTGCGAGAAGCACGCGGCGGTACGCGTCAAGGAGGAGCGTGGGTGTCGACATGCAATGACGTCACTGCCCACGCCAGCCCATGAATGAGAGGCGACGCGTACGCACGTGGGCGACGCGTAGGCGACTCATGGCGTTCGAGCACGATCGCTCGGTCGCTCTTCCCGCACGGATCTCTGACGCGGGCCGACGCGCCGCGCGAACACGCCCTCGTCGGCCACTGGTATCGCGGACATCGCCGGCACGCGCTCGCTGATCCGCGGTGCGAGCGGCGAGCCAGGGGAAAGGCAGCGCCCGTGGTCGACTCATCCCGCACAGTCTCTCCTCTCCTCTCCTCTCCTCTCCTTGCGTCTTCAGGGCGAAAGCGCGACGAGCGCCAGGCACGGCAGTCGACCCATTTTCACGCGCCCCGCTCAACGGGCTCCGGCGAGCGCCGGCTTGAACCAGCTCGAGGGCTACTACGAACTGGGTCAACAGCGCTCTGCGCTACGACGTTGCCGCGGCGACGACCGCGGCCAAGAGGACTTTCAACATTCCGCTGCCGACGATCGGCCGACGGCGAGTCCTCGACGTCAACGACCCGTCGTCGATTACGCCCGGCTGGCGGACAGGCGGGCGGCTCTCGAGGAGCCTTGAACGGCCTGTTTTCCGAACGATACGCCCGCAGTTTTCCCTCGCTCCCTTCGCGATTTCGCGTGTGCCGGCCCTTCTTCCAGCTCGAGTTCCAACGTCCCGCGTGTTTGCTCTCGAGCTCGACCGCGTCTCGACGAACGACCGACTCGCGACGCGCCGCCAACGTTCGGCTGCGCGAGCCGTGCGCGACTTTTTTCCCCGGCTCTGCCGTCAGGGGCTGCGAGTGCCTCTATTGGATTCCAATAAATACGGCCGAGAGTGCGGATTCGCAAAGGTCATCTCCCACGAACACTTATAGAACTGGAGGCCGCGCGCGCCACGGAGCCGTCGCCCGAGAGAGGGCCAACTTTTGCCCGCGGCTCTTTGCTCGTTTACGACGCGCCCCCGCTGGTTCTTGGCTGACGCAGCTAGTCTCGGATTTACAGCGGCGCTGACATTTTCCTCATCCGAGCTTCCGCGCGGCACTGTTGGATTTCGAGCCCCGAGTCGCGGCTCCAGTTTGGCCCCGCGAGCTTAACAGCCCATTCGACTTTACACTCGACGTGATCCAACGACACTCGTCCGCGGACTTTTCGCCGCCGCCGTCGCATTTTCCGAGGTCAGCAGGATAGGCGCGCGTCTGAATCGACCGGCGGAGGGAAGGACTCCGGCAGCGAAGGCAGCCGCGAAGAGAGGAGCGGAGCGCAGCTCCACGGAATGAAACGAAAGAAAGCCGCTGGGATCCCGAGGGAGTAATTCGGCTATTAAACGGCGGCGGCGCCGACCCGAAAGAGCAAACGAGATAAAAACGAGGGAAAAAAATCGACGTTGCGAGCGATTTGTCTTGTCGGAGAGGCTCCTCTTCCGGTCCACCGTGTATCGCTATTAGTTCCGACGCTGTTCGCTTTCTATCGGCCTCGCCGGCTGTCTTGCGCGCGCGCCACTTCTCGCCTCGATCTACGGGCGCGGGCGCGTGCTGCTCGAACGGCGCGAACCCATCGTTTGCTCGTCTCACTCGGCCGAGGCGGGCAAGCGCTAATCCAGCAGAGGCGGTGCCGCGATCGGAACAAATAAAAACAAACGGGGGATCGAGCTCACGCGGAACGACGGGCTCGAGAAGACGTAGCGGCGAAAGCGAGACGGCTGGTGCATAAAATTAGCCGGGACGGCAGGATTTACGCCGGGACGAGCTTAGGCGAGAGCCAGCATCCTCTTTATTTCGCGAGCGCGAATGAACGCTCGTCTCAAATGGGTCGCGCGGCTTTGAATCTTGGATGGTGAGGTCAGCCCCGAGCCTTTCTCTCCGCGCGCACGAGTGAGCCAGCAGCTGAATCGTCGGTCCTATCAAAGGACGGAACGATCCAGCGCCGTGTGTTTGTCCGACGATTCATTATCTGGAGAAGAAAAAGTTGCAAAAAATCGCGCAAACGACAGCGGGCTCCGACTCGATCCAGTAGCGAGGAAAAACGGAGATGCGCGCGCGAGAGAGAGAGAGAGAGCGAGAGAGAGAGAGAGAGAGAGAGAGAGAGAGAGAAAGAGAGAGAGCCATGGCGACATGCGCGCAAGTGCACGTGTACGCTGGGGCTATAGAGGGGGCAACTGGTCGTCGGCGCCGAGTCAATATTCCGTGTCGCTTACGCATGCGTGCGACAGTTTTGTTCGCGCCCCGAGAGCTCCGACTGTGCCGCGCGCGCTCGCGGGAGCCCTGCTGACCCACTTAATCCGCCCTAAATCAGCCGCCGGTTACCTCGCTCGCCCCTGCGACCGCGGATGTTCTCAGGGCGCAATGGCTTGGCGCATGCACATAAGCGACGAATTCGTCCGACAAGTCGTTCGCGAGAAGAATCCCGGCGATCGCAGACAAGTCCGAGCTGCGGCTGACGAGAATAAGGAGCACGTCGCCCCCGCGAGCACCAACCGTGCCCGTGTCGCTGTATAAACGCCGTCCGAAGCCTCCTACAGATTTCGCTAGATTGATATTGATCGCGCTCTCTCCCTCTCGCAGTCGTAGCTTCGTCATCACGCGAGAACGTCGAAATGAAAACGCAGGGGAAAAGCGAAAATCAGAATTACGTTATCCGCGGCAGGGGCTGGGGGAGGGGGAGAGCGCGCCGTGTGCGTGCGTACGCACGCGTGGTAGGGCTTAAAAGGGAGCCGAATCATAACGGGCGAGACGGCGATCAATAGAGTGCCGGCACGAGCCGTCGTACCCTCGTAAATGCGCCCGCGTGTGCAAATGAAAAACTCTAACGAGCGCGCGCGAGTCGGGGATTCTGTGCCGCTCGTTGCCGCTGACTGGATGGACACGGGGCGCGCGCGCGCGGGGCTGCTTTATTTTTTCAAGTGGCAGCGAGCTCGTTCGCGCGAATCGATATCAACGCCGAGCTTATATCGCGAGCTCCCACGAATTGACTCGTTTCCTCGTCTCCGTTCGGCGCATTAAGCAGAAGTGGCGCACGGGGAGCCTTCGCTCTTTCTCTTCGGGAAATAAGATTAGAACATTATCAGGGTGATTTATCTCGGGAAAGTGGGAGAGCGGCATGACACAGAGCGAGCGAGAGGGAGGGGCGCAGGTCCAACGATCTCGGTTCTCCCTCATCGGCGTTACTCGAAGCCATGCCTCGTCCAAGTAGTACGAGCGTATAAATAGTCGTACGGGCCGAGGATGATTCATCCGGCATCGATCTCGCTTTGTCTGTCGGTCTCGCCTGCTTTTTTTATCCGACTGCCGATGAGTCAATTGCGCTCTTATAAGTGCGCCCGATGAATTGTGCAGCGGACGGGCAGAGCCGAGCTTATAGCTCCGCGAGGCGAGCGTACACACGGGTCGTCGCGCGCGAACGGCGCCGACCTCTGATCGAGCCTCCGACTCGCGCTCGCTGTTGCACGACCGCGTCGAGCGACGCTGCCGCCTGTCGCTCGACTCGGCTAATCGGCGCGCTCGCTTCTCCACGGGACCGCGCGGACCGATCGATGAGCGCAGGTAGCTCTTACTTCTCGCTCGTCCGCGCTACCGAATCCCCGGCTCGCGGCGTCCCGCCATCGCATCGATCCGAGAGCGCTTGGCCCGCGTCGCTGCAAACGATCTCGCTGCGCCCGCGCGCGTGGCTCCTCTCCCGACCAGCCTGGCTTGGATCGACTCCTGGCGGTTCGCTCGTGCCTGCTCGACGCTGCTGTCGACGGACCATCGCCGCTTCGCTTGAAATTGTCTCCCCGTGGAGGATAGTTAACATCGACGGAGAGAGCCCGGCGGTAGTGAGACGAGCTTTCCGCTTACTTCCCGAGAGACTGCAGCTTGGAGAATTCGCTTCGCTCGCCGGCTAAGTGGCCGCGCGCTCGGAAGAGAAACGCAGTCGCGCTACTTCTGCCCAGAATCATTGTCATTGCCTTGGTTCGCTTCGAAGACGGCTAGATACGCGATATTAAAGCCGATGTCGAGCTTCAAAATAGCTAAGTCTCCGCTCATCTCGGTGCGTCTAATGTACCGATGTGGCCGGCCTCCGCGGAAAGGCGCGAGAAATTGATTGAGCCGAGTAGAGAGAGAAAAGTTAGGAAGACAGGAGAGGCCGTCGCCTATCGACATCAGCGCATCCTCGCAGGGACGAGCGTAGATTTGACTGTATGGCCGAGTGGGGAACCGATTACGCCGAAGACATCGGCTGACGATACTCACTCTCATCCGTCTGTGGCGCGGACAGGATGGCGCTGTGCTTTTTCTTCACCTCTTCCACGTTCGCTTGAATCCTGTCTATCATCTCTCGTATCTCCTCCACCTGCAACAACATCCATGGGTGAGTGCGGGCGAGCAGCTCTTGGCCCTTCCCCTTCCCTCCCCCCTCCTACGGTTAGCACGCCGACATATCTCGCAGGAGCGGAAGTCGAATGAACGGTCGACGTTATTAGGAGCGCTCACCGCCTGTTACACGCCAGTCTGCGTTCTCGGTTTGCTTAATTGTTGCCAGCGACTGTGAGCGACGCGGCCGGACGCGACGCCTCGTGGGATTTTAGCCGTGGATTGCATTTGAATGGCATTTCCCTCTTTGTCGCGCTCGCAATTGTCGATAATTATCGCACGCTTGAATCCGTTTATCGAAGCAGCCTCGGCGCTTGCAGCTTTTCCTTCTCACCGAGGGCCCGACGGAGCGCTCGTTAAGCGGTTCTCGGTGCGGGCCCCGATTATAAAAAATGCCAGTCGGTCGGAACAATGGAGCGCGAGGAGTTAGCGCAATTTCCGCGGGGATCGCTGAATGCATCGGCGGTTGCCCGTGAAAGCGTCTACCCCGATGTCGACTCTCGGAACAAAATTAAGCTCGGCGCCGCGATTGCTGACGAGAGCTAGCGAGTGTGGGGGGGGGGGGAGATCGTCTGCGGGCGATACGCAGAAGCGAGATCCCTCGGCATTGTTCGAGGAGCGATCGATTAACGTCGCCACTGTTGCCACTGCTAATGGCCGGCAATTATCGTCAGTCTCGTTTCCTCGGACAGGTTCGGCAGGCCGGGGCAGAAAAAGGAACGGCTAGAACCGGTTGGGCTCTTCGCTTGGTACTCGGTCAGTCGAATCGGCGACGACGGGTGGCCGCGATAATCGCTACGCGAGCTGGCGGCGCGGATTCCCGCCGATGCAATTACAGCGTGCGCACAAGATGCTCTGCCATCCACTCGACCTATTCGCGGCGGATTGATCGCTTCGTGCACTAGATATTTCATCGCTATTCAGCGGATATCCTGACCAGGCAAGAAACTTGCTGCCTACCTCCTGTGTGCTGCTCTATCGGGTCGTTACGCCTCGGCGGGGATTTTCGATGGCTGTCTGCGTTTGTGTACCGAGAGAGGCAGAGAGAGGCCGAGAGAAAAAGAGAGTGAGAGAGAGACTGTAGGATCGATACTCTATACGGTAAAAGGCTCAGTAGCGTTAAATCGTAAACTAGGAGAATCCAAGATGGATAACGAAAGCCCAATGTTTTGTCTTTGGTAAACGCGTTTAAATCACACGGATAAACAGCTGCTGCGGAGATGAACGTGTTACAGGGAGGTGGACATTTGCATGCTTGAATCGTAATCGAATCAACATTCGCCGGCGATGTTGACGGAGCGAAAATGTGACTGTCGGCCAGTCGAAACAGAAGAGCAGCAAATTACACCTAATCTTATCACTCAATGTCATAGATCAAAGTCAGTATAGAGCACTTGAAAAGTAGTTAGCTACAAACTAAATTTTGGCACACATTGAGTAATCGCAGCGCACGGTCATAGAGGGTGTTATTCAATGACAAGCTGCTTTACGCCATCAGCGTTCACGGATGTCGCGATAGAGAGACATTAATTTTTGGGCTATCGGCAAATATCCGACCTTTTCGCTTATGCTATCTCATCGTCGTTATCGTCGTCGTCGTCGTCATCATTGGAGTAAGACTCTGCTCAAACAATGCGACTGGTGCAAATCGGCTGATATCGAGCAAATTCCACTAATCAACAATAGCAAACAAGTCATACGTTTAATTTATGAAGATTTCATTTGTACAATTAATCTATGAATGTCTTTTGCATTTTTCCATTTTAATACCGGGCATCAATTGATTAATTACATATCAAAGCCGGTCAATTTGCGGAACAATGTTTCCGATTCCGTCAGCAGTTGTAGGAAATCAAAAGCTTTCGACAAAGTTAACGTCAACTCTCAGGTCATCTTGTCTCGTCTCGCATCTGAACGAGGTGCTCATGAAGATGATGTGCTTGATTGCATATTAAGGAGGCCATCGTGTGACCAGGATGCTGGTGAAAAATAAGCTATTTATGCAGTGTCTGGCGATAATCGGTGGTAAGTTTACACGTGTCGAGTGTCAATTGCGGTTCATCGCACCAATTGGATTCTCATAAGACTATTTTCTGAAGCGATGACGTTAACCATCCAAACGGGAATAATGAGTGGCTGAATGTCGTCGAATGTGGCTCGTTTGACCGGCGTCAATTCAACGATCCATATAAGCCTTTTGGAAGCTTCTTAGGTAGAATCTTGCTTTAACTTGGGAAGGTTCATCGGCATCGTCCTCGTTTCAGTGCCCTTTGTGAACGTAGGCACCAAAAGGAATTTACTTTTCTCTTTTATACCCGTCAGCATAGCCTGGACACTAATGATACTCGCCGATTCCGTCATTTTTCCATATATTGCTAGATTTCTTAGTGGTATCACTTGCATTCTGACTTACAGATGTTTTCCCATTTTTCTGGTAGAAGTATCTATGTCCAGTCTTCAAGGTACTATGATATCAATAGCTAATGTTGGCTGGCCTTTATTTTTTTAGGACAAGTATTGGGCACTACCGGAGAAACCTACTTGCCAATAAACACCTCGAGCACAGTGTATTTAGTGTAGTGTCTGCTGGGAATGATTTTGTGCCTGTGCTTACCAGAATCCCCATATGAGCTGATCAAGAACGACAAAATGGAGCAGGCACGCAAGTCGTTTATTACATATCAAAGTCACGATCATTCAGACTATGAAATGCAAGAAATTATTGAATTTGTCCGGTTAAATGGCAAGCAAACCGTTACATCAAGACTACTACAATTGAAATCTGTACCAATCGCAAAAGCCCTTGCTCTTGTCATAGCAATCTTTAGTTTTCCGTCGTTATGTGGCTCTTTCAGCGTCTTCTTTTACACGAAAACCATTTTTGTCAATGGAAAATCTTTTCTAATAGACCCTAAAGAAATGGTTATTTGCTTCAATGTACTTCTGTTCAAATCTTCCATAACGTCAGCCAACTTAATAGACAAATTAGGCAGAAGAATTCTTTTGCTAATTACGAGTACTGCAATCACTATATCCATGACTGGATTGGCATTACATTAGTATTTGCTAATTAATCGTCTAGTCGAACCAATTAACACGCAGTGGTTACCGGTTGCTTCAATTACATTTTACGTCACCACCTACATCGTTGGCTTTGTATCCGTACCAACTATTCTCGGAAAAATCTTCCCAGCTAGTAGTAAAAGCATAGCCGCATTTATTACTGGCAGTATCTCATCCTTATTGGGGTTCTCTGGTGCCAAAGCCTATCAACCAATGGTCGATGCTATTGGTGAGGCATACGTCTTTTAGATCCATACTGGCATTACTTCACTAGCAATACCAATAGCGCTATTCGTGCTACCACAGACTAAGGGCAAGACTTTGCAGCAAATTCAAAAAGATCTCAAGTTTTCAGTGTAAAAGTTACGGAAGACATGGATCTATCAATTATATGTGAATGAGTTCGTAAAATGTACAAAATTAGTGTTCTCTAAAATTATTCCATTACAATTTTTTATCAAATTTTCTATAAATATTTTTGGTATTAATTTGTAGCTTGCTATATACAGTTTTACACTTAGGTAATAGCTTACGTTAACTTGTTCACACAACGATATTATACTGCAATAAATGTCTTGACTACCTATTATTTGATATTTATATAAAACATTTTTTTCATGAGTGCTTATGTTAAATTAGAATGATTCCTCATTAGCAGATAAATAAAGAATTATTTTCACTTTACTGAGAATTTAATTCATTGAAATCACTTTGAATGGGCACATTTTATAGCGCATGAGTTGTATTTGAGGAGGTGCATACTTAAAGGTGTAATTAAAAATAGTATTTTCAAATTGTAACCATGATCATGATTTTATGTATCATGAAATGAAAAAAAGTATAACTGTTTCTTATCTTATTGGTAAAATTCTTCAAAGATGATCAACTCATGGAAGCAATCATTTACTGTGCAGTTATGGAAGCGCTAAATACAGGAGTGACGCGATTGAAGCTATTATTATTATTTTTCTTAAATTTTGTAGGTAACAATGATACTGATCAATATATATTTGTATAAAATATTATTATGACGTTTATTACCAAATTTTGTTACTGTACTTTATAAATACAAATAGCAACGACTTATAATGTGTTTACGACAGCAATATTTGTGATAACTTTAAGTTATAAAATAATAAATACTTGTTCACAATTAAATATTAATTGAATTATAAAAACACAAATAAGAGACTAGAGAATATTCAAAAATAATTTATTATCTTTTCCAAAGCCACTAAAGTACAATAATGGTGGAAGTAGGTGGGATCGATTTGAAGAAGAAAGAGAATAAACTTTACACGCAATGTGTAAAAATTGTGTAGCTATAGTGGGACATGAAGCTTCGACATAGTTAATTTATAGGCGCGTGACAATTCATAAGTTAATGTTTATTTAGTAATTGATGTTAACAACTCAAACTGGAATAATAGGTGGCTGGACTTCATACCTGGATCTAGATAACTGGCAGTGTGATGTTTTTTTATATTGCAAGATTTTTATGTGACATCAATCACGTTTGAACGTACAGATGTTTCTCAATTTTTCTCGGGGAAATAAAAACTAGTACTTACTGTGACACGTCCTTTCCAATAGCCATGATTGGTTGACCACTGGGAGCTCTTATAAGTCGACAGCTAAGACTTATCTGTCAATGATAGTTCAATATAGTTGGTTCAGTATTTAACTAGAATAACTATGTTTTCGATACTCCGTGCACAAAGTATGTTTTTCCCGCAAGCTCGGCAGAAAACGTGCGTTGAAAATCGCACTTTCTATACGTCGTATCAAAAAATATGGTACGGCACATGTTCAGGAGAGTTTCTCGTCTCGTGTACCTTTCCACCCTCGCGAGACAAGAATCTACTTTCCCGCACTTGTATCGTAACGTACTATTCTTCGGTAGCCTAACTCGCCTTACCAACTAGTCAAACATAAACAACTTGAAAAAGCTCTGTAGCCTCTGACTTGGTATCGGCGTCAATTCAATACAGAACGAGAAACAGACAATATTGTAGAATTTATTGTGTCTAATGCCCAGCAGACGTTTGGAGTAAGAATGCAATAGCTCAGGTCAGAACCAGTTCCAAAAACAACTATGGTTCTAACGATAATCTTTGTATTTCCTAGATTATTTAGTCTCTTTAACTTTTTTTATTATCAGCAACAAATCACAGCTGGTCGATCCTAGTCAAATGGTGATTTACGCCAACGTAATACTGTTTTTTTCTGCTGCCATTGCAGCGAATTTAACTGATAAGCTAGATAGAAAAAATTTTTTTTTGTTAGTTCCGGGTATAGGAGTTGCTATAGCATTAGGAATCTTAGGACTCCATTATTTTTTGTTAGAATCTCAAAGTGACTGTATGCTTTGTGGTTACATATTCGGTTGGTTTTATGTCTGTGCCCAATACCGTCCTCAGTGAAATATTTCCGACTGGTGTCAAGAGCATAGCTGCTTATATCATAAATTTTACTTCAGTATTGTTGTGTTTCATTGCTGCAGAAGTCTACCAACCAATGGTCGACGTCATCAGCGAAGCTTATGTTTTTTGGATTCATGGTATCTTTTCTGTGATGGCGGTGCCTGTCGCATTATACGTATATGCTACCAGACATCAATAGCAAGAGCTTCCAAGAAATCGAGAAGAAATATGCTTCGTAAAAAGTGTTCGAGCTACGCTTACGTACTCGTGTATAGAAAAATTCTCTAAAATTATTTCCAGCTGTACCAACTACAGATATTTAATAAACATCTATTCCTGTGCAACTCAATGCAGTGAAATGTTTTGCTTATTTCGTCAAGATCGTATAACATTCTTGAAAAACTCTACGTTAAAACAGTGATATGATATAATTTTATCTTATTTTTCACAGTCCTGTACAAATGTCAGAAGTCAAAATTTCATTAAAACACTAACATCATTTTTGACAATAAGACAATTTTATAAGTTCCCTAACTAAAACATACGGCTATTTTGGGCTAGAAGAAGTTCTCCGCTTTATTGTAAAAGATCCTTGGCACTTTGTAAAGTTATATATATATATATATATATATATATATATATATATATATATATATGTTATATATCTAATTTTAGCTTATAAAATTATACTTTCATAATTGAATAGTTTTGTAAGATACTGTGATGAACAGATAAGATTATTATAGTTAAAACTCATTAAAATATCACAGCTTGATAATCATTATTACTATAATTTATTTTTCATTCGTATTATTTGTATGGCTCAAATATGATTTTTTATTTACATACTAATACTAATGACTATAGGAAACCAAGACTAATGCCCACAGGTACCTATACTGTATCTATGCAGCGTTCCACATGAACATAGTTTTATGGTAATAACGATAGTAACAATAACGTGAAAAATTGAAGCTCTTTAATATTTTTAAAAATTTTTATCTCCTGGTTGGATGACGTAATCTGTCCTCAATTCATAAAATAAAGTTGTAACGAATGAAAACGTTCATTGAAATATAGTTAATTACTAATATGTTTAATAATCGACAAGTTTCCAGACTGCAATGGCCAATAAATTATACGTATGTTTTTAAATAAAACAACATTTTCCTTCATTTGATAAAATTCTCTCGGCGTATGATTTTCAAATCCTTAACTCAATAGTATCATTGAACAATCTACTAGCAAAGATTTATTTGTACATGGCAAGTATTAAAAAAAGTGACTATTTATATAATACGTTTGAAAATAATGATAGTACTATTTTTTGATGATGCAAAAGTGGCAAAGTAAATTAGTTTCTTTTCAATTGAATATAATATGTTAAAAATTACTGTTTGCATATTTTCCAATCAATAATAATCGTCATAATTACTAAATTTGCAATGAGAATTTATCGGTTTATACGATTGTGTATACGATAAAAATAGAAACATTATACCTCTGTATTGAATTTTTCCATCACTATAAACCTTCGCTTGAGATTAATATAAAGCGCAATAACGCTGTTACGATTGAAATATTAGCAATGACAAAAATTTACAAGTATGATAGCTTAGCAATTGAAATTCGGAAGCTGTGAGCAAACGCAAACATAACTTTACGTACACTTTCGGTTTTTATCGCTTTTTATCTTAATTTGCACAGTCCTATACAAATGTCAGAAGTCATGTGAGTTAGCTACCGTCAAGTCATGAGTAATGATGTCTAATATCGCAACGTGTATTACAGTAAAAGTGTTGAAGAATTTTCAGTATCATTTTTCATAAAAATTGAATGACATCGGCTTGGAAGCTTTAGTTCACAGCAGCATTTACTAATTTGTGCAGTAAAATGAATTTGCGAGTGTTAAATTGAAGAAAGGAGTTTTAATTTGAAAATTAAATTTTAGCAATAGAATAATGATATAATACTGAAGACGAAAAAGCCGAGTTAGTCTTATCTTATCGAGAAAAATTATTCAAATACGAACACAAATCGGAGGACGTCTGAAAATAAGCAGCCAGTCGATCAGAGGTTACAAAAGCGTCGAAATATAAAAATGGTTCAAAGAGATGGAACTAATTTGAAGATAGAAGTGAAAAATAAGCTTTTTACGCAATGCATAGCGACGGCAGGAGGTGAGGTGACAATAATAATCGACCGATCTTACTGTTAGCAATTGATACGAAATAATTTCTTTCAGTGATGGTATTGATCATTCAAACCGGAATAATGGGTGGCTGGACCTCGCCAAATATGGCTCGCTTGACCAGCGAAAATTCAACGATCCCAATAACTCTGTCGGAAGCGTCTTGGGTAGCATCTTGCCTGAACTTGGGGAGATTCGTCAGCGTCGTCCTCGTTCCGATATTTATCGAGCTGGCCGGCAGTAAGAAGACGATTCTCCTATCGTTCCTGCCTGTGACTGCATCGTGGATAGTTTGCATGATAGCCAACAGCGCGATGATGCTGTACACTGCGAGATTTTTGTGTGGCATCACGTATGGCTTGACGTACGGATGTTTCTCCATGTATCTAGGGGAAGTATCAGTGGCGGCGTACCGAGGCACCTTCGTTTCCATAGCCATGATCGGCTGGCCACTCGGATCTGTCATCGGCACCATAGCGGAAACTTATCTGCCGATGGCTGTCTCTAGCTCGATATACTTGGCGCAGTGCTTGGCGGGAATAATGATACTCATCTGGTTGCCTGACTCGCCTTACCAACTGGTCAAAAATAAGCAACTCGACAGAGCTCGAGAATCTCTGGCCTGGTATCGAGGCCACTCCAACACGGAGCAAGAAATGGATAAAATTCTAGAATTTATCGAGTCCAACGCCAAGCAGACGTTCGGAGAGAGGATGCAACAGCTCGGATCGAAGCCAGTCCGAAGGGCAGTTTTCATCGTAGTGATAATCTTTGCATTTCCCCAATTAGTCGGTCTGTTTAACGTATTTTACTACATGGAGCTCATTCTAACCAACGGCAAATCTTTTCTGGTCGAGCCCAGCGAATTCGTAATCTACGCGAACCTCGTTTTGTTTGCGTCCACCGTGGCGACCGCAAATCTGATTGATAAATTGGGCAGGCGAGTGCTGCTAATGGCCTCGGGCCTCGGGGTGACCGTGGCGCTGGCCGGACTCGGTCTCCATTACTTCTTGCTGGGAAACGCTCGAGTGGACCCGGTCAGCATGCAATGGCTACCAGTTGCTTCGATAGTGCTCTTTGTGATTACGTACACGGTCGGCTTTCTGACGGTGCCCAGCACCGTGCTCGGCGAAATGTTCCCGGCCAACATTAAAAGCACGGCAGCCGGTTTCACCAGTCTCACTTCGGCCCTTCTAGGGTTTCTCGCGTCGAAGGCTTATCAACCGATGGTCGACGCCATCGGCGAAGCCTACGTTTTCTGGATTCACGCTCTCTTTTCCGCGCTGGCGGTGCCTGTCGCGCTATTCTTACTGCCGGAGACAAAGGGCAAGAGCTTTCAAGAAATCCAAATTGATCTTCACAAAAAGTAACTTGATATTGCCGTTCGGCGAGTTAATCCTTTTGTTCGAATGATCTCGCACGTGGGGAATGGCTTAGCCAAGAGTGAGCGACGAACGACGACTACAGAAACTCAGCAGGGAAGCGCGCGTTATAACTGCCTGTATCGCCAACAATAAACACTTTCTTTACCTCCTGTGTTTATTTTCTACTTGAATTTTCTTCGTTTCATCACTTTTCATTTCTTTGTATAGAATCAATTGCTTGACCGCGCTACCGTTACTTGTAAAATCTCACTTACGGGCTGCGATTTCTTCACTATTTTGCAGGTCTTTTGTCCAACTCGATTATTATATTCATTAGTTACCTAGAAATGGTGATGTTTCTTTAATCATAACTCAAGTGTAATTTACATATATGGTTAACTTTGTCGTCCCCCAGTCGTTTATATGTGTTGAATGATATTGTTAGCCCTAACGTATAAAGAAGTTAGGGTGTCGACGACGCTTGCACACACGCACGCACACCCTTGTAGCAATTTATCTGCTATTTTTCGAAAATATGTTTCTTCTTTATGAATTATTACTATACGAATATTTTACTTTAGGTGATGTTTTTTCAAGTATACGTTAACGTAAAGAATAATTGTCCATTCCTCGTCATCCCCGATACTCACACCTGAATCCCTTTACAAAAGCTACTTTCAAAAAAGAGATCATATTATCCGTTTGTAAATTATTATAATAAGCAAAAATGTTACAATATAATTTTTTAAAATAACTCACGCTGTTCGCAATATTTGCCCAACAAGTTATGAGAAGGAAACATAAAATGTTGGCAATATCGACATGCATGAACGACTGTAGGAGTGAGGTTAAAGGTTGGCGATAAGCGCCATAAAATGTGTTTATAAATTTTGAACAACTACATCTCTGGTGGGGAAACGCGAACCAGCTCATAACTTTAGCCTAATGAGAAACTTATTTATGTTTGCGACGTGGGATAGTACACGGCTTCGTACTATCCCGCACTGCAAACATCCTTCACAAGCGTAGTCGCGCTCGCCTTGGCTAAGTTACACAAATAGCTATTAGATACGAACGCACGGTATGGCATAGTACTATAAGGGTTGTTTCAGGCGGCTGAACGAGCACAGCGACTTATTTTCACCGAAACATTGTTGGGAAGCAAGAAATCGCGTTACACGCGATTATTTCTACTTTTATATTTTCGATCACACCTTGAACGTTGCCAATTTTGAACGCGCGATGAGCAGGTAATAAATTCTATTACTTTTCGCAATTGAGCGGCCATGAATCGTTATCTTATCGTACAAAGTCTGCCTTCGAAGACGCGGTACTAAATCTTTATGATTGTGGCAGTCGAGCATTGCTAATTGAGTATTAGCCAGCAGCAACGGAGCGACATGGCGAATGCAGGTGGTAGTAAGGATCGTCGAGTTTTCGGACAATGCTTGGCGTCGGCAGGGGGTAAAAGTTCGCGGGCGACTGTTGCGGGGCTAGCGACGAGTCAGCGAACCGGGTTGTTAAAGGCTGGATTGCTGTTGTAGCGACAATATTGATCACGCAGACTGGAATAATGGGCGGCTGGACATCGCCAAACATGGCTCGGTTGACCGGCGAGAACGCAACGATACCGCTGAGCCTCGAGGAGGCATCCTGGGTGGCGTCCTGTCTGAACCTGGGACGGTTCGTGAGCGTGGTCCTCGTGCCGATGCTGATCGACCTGGCGGGCAGCAAGCGGACCATCCTCCTGTCGTTCGTGCCCGTGAGTGTGGGCTGGATCACGATGATGCTGGCCAACTCGGCACTGTGGCTGTGCGTCGCCAGGTTTCTCAGCGGCATCACTTACGGCTTGGCGTACGGCTGCTTCTCGATCTACCTGGCAGAGGTGTCGGTGGCGACCCTCCGCGGCACTTTCATCTCCGTGGCGATGATCGGCTGGCCGATGGGCACCCTGCTCGGCACGATCGCCGAGACGTACCTGCCGATGAGCGTGTCGAGCGGCCTGTATCTGGCGCAGTGCCTGCTGGGCATGGCGCTGCTGGCGTGGCTGCCGGAATCGCCGCAGCACTTGGTCAGAGCCAAGGACAGCGAGGGCGCGCGTAAGGCGTTCGGCTGGTACCGGGGCGGCATCGAGGCCGAGGTCGACGCCGAGCTGAGCGCCATCGCCAAGATCGTCGAGTCCAGCGCGCAGATGGACGGCGGACTCGCGAGCCGAGTGCAGCGCCTCGCGTCCGGCCGCGTGCGCAAGTCGCTGCTGCTGGTGGTGGCGCTGTTCAGCCTCCAGCAGATGTGCGGTCTGTTCGACGTCGAGTTCTACATGGAGACGATCCTGACCAAGGCCAGGTTGTTCTTGATCGAGCCGCGGGAGGCGGTCATCTGGGCGAACCTCGTGCTGCTCGTTGCCACCGTGATCTCCGTCAACCTGCTCGACAAGCTAGGCAGGCGGCCGCTGCTGGTCGCCTCGAGCCTGGGGGTGGCACTGGCGATGGCGGGTTTGGGCCTGCACTTCCAGCTGTTCGGCCGCTCGGACGTCGAGGCGGGCTCGGTGCCGCAGTGGCTGCCCCTGGCCTCGATCGCGCTGTTCACCGTCACCTTCACCGCGGGGTTCATGTCGGTGCCCAGCACGGTGCTCAGCGAGATCTTCCCGGCCGACTTGAAGGGCTCGGCCGCCTGCGTCTGCAGCCTCACCTCGGCGCTCTTCGGCTTCCTCGCCTCCAAGTCCTATCTGCCGACGGTCGAGGCGGTCGGCGAGGCCTACGTGTTCTGGGCGCACGCGGCCTTGTCCGCGCTGGCCGCGCCTGTCGCTCTCTTCCTCATGCCCGAGACCAGAGGCAAGAGCCTCCAAGAGATCCAGGCCAGCCTCTGAGGTGGCGCGTCGACCGATCGCTAGGTGCGCCAGCCACCCTCGACGCGGCAATCGGCTCGCTGATCGAACGCTCGATTCTCTGTTGGCAGGTCGTCGACCGTCCCGACCGGGCGAGCCCCCGCGCGCGACCAGTGGATGGCAGTCTGCCAGCCGACGCCCGGCGTAATCTCTCTCCGTTGCGCGTCTTGGCCGATGTATACGACGACTGACGAAGGGCTCGAATAAACAGGAGGCGGCGGCCCAATTAAAAGCCGTGCGCCGCCGCTACGCCTCGTTCAATCCAATCGTCCTGACGAGTGTCCTGCTTTCGATCCCTCATCCAGTGGCGCCGAACGCCAAGACTCTCGCTCGTTCGGATGATTAGCTTGCCGCCGGAGATGGTGTCGCTCGCAATGGAAGCGCCGCTGTACAAATGTCACGCCCGGGAATTTCAGGGTGTACGCAGCGCGAGCACGAGCTCCCCCGCGGCAAGCTCGCCGACTATTCCGGTTATTCGCGCGCCAGCGAGCCGGCGTGTCCGTCAATAATCTTTGGACGGCAAATTGAGGGGGTGGGGGGCGCCCTGCGCCATCGATCGCCAACTAATTATCGAGCCGCGCTTTCGTGCACGGTCGATCGGTCTTGGGAGGAATCGTCGACTCCCTCGGCCCGCAGTCGCTTCCATTTCGGAGCTCGCAAGCTGCAATCAAGGCGCGACTGGCGCGCAAGAGCTTTGAGAACGCTGGCTCTTTGCTTGATGGGCGCTAATGAAAGTGCCGGGGTGCGATTGCGTCTGTTCTCTCTCTCTCTCTCTCTCTCTCTCTCTCTCTCTCTCTCTCTCTCTTCTCTCTCTAAATCTGGAAAAGCAGACTCCGCCGCGAATCGTTGGCTTTCGAATTCGGGCTAAAAGCGGCGTCAGCGTCGTTCCCGAGCCGCTACATCGGCGATCGATTTTTCGAAACTGGCGGCGGCAGCTCTCGAGGAGTCAGAGCTCGTGGCCTGGTTTTCCCCATCTCCGCGTGCATGCGCGCGTCCGTATGAGCGATGCGCGAGACGAAATAAGAATAAACTGCTTTTCCCGCGGAAATCGACTTTTCTCCGTCTCCCACGGCTGCTCCGTTGAAGTTTTCGGCAGACAGCTGTGCCAAATCGAGTTTCATCATCGTGATTCCGAGCAATTTTTCCGACTGCGCTCTGCAGCCGCGCGCAGAGCGCGCTAGATATTACGTTTGATCTGGAAACGAGCGTTACCCAGTTTGGCGACTTGTCGCGATAAGCAAACAATGGCATTGCCAGAGCGCGACCGCGAACGGCAACGGGAAGCATTGTTAAAGTGGTTCGCGCTATTCTCGAATGAAGCATTACGCGAAATGACTGGGTAGCAGTAGCTACCAAATTGCCGGCTATGCAGCATGCAAATGCTCGGGGCGCTGCACGTCTGTAACCTTTCTCGCGACGCGCATAACGCGTAACCGCCTCCGCGCGGCGGACAGCTAATCCGGAGTAAATAACGAGTAATAGGCGCGGATCGACCAAGTTCGATCGGGACAATTCGACAAATTGGATCGACCGTGTTGTCCTTTCCTACTTCTCTTCGTCACTTTTGTTTTGCCTCGCTCCTCACTGGCGCGCCTGCACGTATGCTTACGGCGAAGCGCGTAAGCCGAGTCAGCTTCGATATTCCTCTCTCGCCATTACGTGGCCGCGCGATTCAACCCACTTTCACTCTCGCCCGCGCCCTCGCTCCCCCCTCCCGTCGCCACTTCTTTCCCTTTCAATCGACAATAATTGATCATCGCCATGGCAGAAGCTGTCCAATCAGTGTGTCATGTCAGTTTCGCCGACGCTCAAGCGCTCGCAGAGGCGAGTGATAACGAGTGGCACACGTACCTCCGCGAAGAAGTCCTGCATGAAGTCCTCGGTGGCGCCCATGTTGACGGACACCTCGTCCGCCTGGTCGTCATCGTCCGACTGGGCCTGCAAACCAACAAGCGAATTAGATGCACGAGCGACGCTCGGTCGGATCCGCATCGAAGGCACTGTCGCTGGCTGACCCATTAATTGCTCAAGTGCTCTCGTTTGATGCCTCGCTGTCGCAGTAATGCGCGAGGCTGCGCGCGTGCCCCCAACTCCGTTTTTTTTTTTTTTTTTTTCTCTTTTTCTCCATCGATTGGCTCCATTGTTCGACTCGCCGAGCGCGGAAAAAACGAAGCGACAAAGCCCCCCGAACGAGAGCTTCGATCGGGGGGCGGGGGGGTCGGGGGAGCGTTCGAGAACTCCATTTTCCGCACGCGAAAACCCGAGCGCGTCGCTTACGACGGGTCAAGATCGCGCGAGCGATAACGCGATTAGCGCGGGATCAGCGCGTCGCGAGGCTGGGCCAGAGGAGGTCGTACGTCGCCAGCGAAAATTAGGCAGCCAGCTTCGCGGTCTATTGCTTCCAGGCTGGTGCTGCGTTTGACGGGAGCCTGCTCGGCCGGTCCGAAGAATTGCGCTAAGCGAGCAGCTTTGCGCGTCCGATCACCGCCGAGCCGCTTCCGACGTCCGGCCGAAGCGAACGACGAACGGCGCGCCCGTTGGCACGGCTGTCGGGTCCGCTCGAGGGGCGCGATAAAGCGTGAGTCACGGCGCCTCCTGGCCGACATAGAGCGACAAGCGCCAGCTGTTAGACGTCGGACGTGACTTGACGCCCGGCGGCAAGCCGCGACCTCGGTCGCGTTCTTCCTGGCATTGGTCCGGGGAAATCGACGGACACTATCTACGAGCTTCGGGCGCGACACGGCCGCGCTACGCAGTACAGCTACGATTCGTTTTTCGAAAGTCCCGTCGAAACCTTGGAAGAGTACAATTTACAAACAGCGATACAGCCCACATAGCTCGGAGCGTCGCAACGAGCGATCCGAGGCCCCTGAACAGCCGGAATAACAATCAGCCAGGCTGACAGAAGCAGTGGAAGCGAAGGTCAATAGCCGGCCGCTGCGCGCCTCTCTTAGGCAACGAACGCATCGGGCTTCCGAGTGCTCGACGACACAATGCACGAGGCGGACGAGTATCGAGAGAGATGAAAAGGGAAAACAAGGCGGCGAGCGGTGAGTAACCGCCGAAGAGCGCGAGCGCGCGCCTCGCATGCGAGTGACTCACAGGCGAGTCGGCTCATTAGGAGTGACTTGCCGAGCGAGAGATAGCGCGTGTGTACATAGGCGTTTCCCTCGCGCGTAGCCCTGACACACACACGGCGCGCGAGAATCCAAGCCGGCTTTCGCGTTTCTCACGCGAGCTAGCTGCTGCATATCGCCGGAAGCGCCACGTGCCCCGGTCCGATTTACAGCGAACGGAAAACGGTCGCTGCTCGGCGCGTACCCCCAGCGCTGCCGCGCGACCGATCGATCCCGGCCGAGGGAGCTTTGCTCCGATAATCTTCGGCCGCGCGCGATACCGCGAGCCGCGCGGCCACAGAAGCCAAACTTCCGCTCGAGATGCGACGGCGAGTCGCGCTCGTCGCTTGCGTCAACTGGACCGCGACGCGCCCGTGCGAAAACACGCGCAACCAGCGCTGCGCCGAATTATCGCCGATGACAGTGTGTCGGGCGCGCGGCGTCGCGTCGAAAGGAGAGGAGGCTGCCGTTGCTCCGCCAGCCCGACCTCGTCCTTACTAGTATTCTAATAAGCCGGGCTCGTTTGGTATGACAGCAGCGTTTAAAAATACTCGCGACGCGTCTAGTCATCGGGAACACCTGTCACCGGCCGCCGGCGGCGGTGGCGGGCCTCGTTCATCGATTGCTCCTTTCGACTTGCCGCTCTCGGCGCTTGCCCCGGTATCGCGAGCACGTCTCTCTGCCCGGGGTGTGCTGCGCACACCTGGGGGGCGCGGTTGCACCTTCGGCTTCGGAGCGCGAGTTCAAGGGTTATGTAATGCGATGACTTACGGCGACGAGGGCTGCAAGTCTGTCCTTGGTCATGGCGAGCGAGCGAGATGCGCACGAGCTGCTGCTGCTGCTGCTGCTGCTGCTTAGTAGAAGATCTGGGGCGCTGCTCGACGGCGGCGGCTAGCTGCTAATCCCATTCACGCTCCACTGCCAGCCATCCACCACCGCCTTCTCTTTCTCTCGTTCTCGCTGGCGAACTCAATGATCGAGCACACAATATGCCGCGCACTCTCGCACCAGCACACTCCGCACCGCGCACTGAACTCCTCGCGCGAGCAGCTCGGGGCGCAGACGACGACGACGACGTCGACTCGACTCGGACAGACAGACAGAACGAGCGCGGATCGTAAAATCGATACGCGGACTCTCGCGCTCTCGCACTCGTCTCTCTTTCTCTCTCTTTCTCGCTCTCTTTCTCTACTGCTGCTCGGTCCGCAGTGCTGTACGCAGGCTACTCGCGCGCATGCGCTCGATGACGTCAACATTCGCGCGCACAGTCCTGTACTCACGCCCATCTCGGCCCACGCGCGTCGCTGCCACACTCCAACTTCGTCATTTTCGGTAGTCTTCTCTAGCCGGCTTTTCTATCACTTGTGCTAAATGGCGACGTAGTGTGTCAAACTAACCCGACCTCCCCAAAGCTTCCAAGTCATCGTTTTCATCCTGATCAATGCAATTTCTAAATTGTCGACTTATCATCGGCTATAGCTATTTGCTTCTTAAATAAAGCCAATGCCGAGTTTCAATTTTGCAAAATCGTACAGATTTTACGCTAACAGTATCGTCAATCGACTTAAAGACTTTTTGAAAGTTCAATTTTTAAATTTCCCGCCAAAGTGGAGTGCTCCTACGAGTGCCTAATTTTATACGGACCTGTCGCCGTACACGAAAGGTGTCGCCACCTGATTTTATGCTTTCCGCAATATTTACAAAGAATTAACAAATTTTTTAATAAAAACTAAATTTTTAAAGTCAAAATACGATTTTTCTCCACTGCTCAAGGTCGAAAGCTACACAAACTCGAATCTTACGAAGGATTCGTGTGTAAAGTTTGTTGGCCAGTAGAGCAGTTAGTGAGCGCGCGCGCTGCACTCGGCAAACGCCATTGTGAACGGCCAAAAACTGGTGCGTGTATGACGAGTGGTGTAACGTCTCGCGTCCATTTTTTTCACGTGCCACGCCGCTTCCCGCGAAATTTCCAGCCTAACCGGCAAGTAAAAATCTAGCCAATAATTTTTTTGGTATCTCCACAGCATCCGCGTCTGAGGTTCACGTCAATTTCGCAAAACCCAAAGCGAAAACGCAAATCTATTGCCGTGCATCGAAAGTGCCGGCACTTGATTTAGCGGTTAGCTTCAACCGTCTTTCCCGGCCTGCCATTCTCACGAATCATCGTCCTCGAGTCTTGACCTCGCATCATCTCATTCGGCGCTTCCTATTCAATCGCTCGTTGTCACCGCGTGCTCTTTGCAAGAGGTAGTGATCCAAAATCATCGTCGTATATCGTATCGTTGCATGATCTAAGAGAAATTTCGAGAAACAATTCGAGTTACAACGGCAAGTGCTACCTCATTTACTACTCGTGCGCCACGATTTTTGCGCCTCTTATTTGTCCAAGAACTTTTATATTTGCGTCGCTTCGGTCGATCAGCTCGTTGTTTTTGTTGGTCACAGGCCTCGGGGATAATATTATTATCACGCAGTTTGACTTTTCGCAGACGTTCTCGGCGAGTTGCAAATCTAAATCCTAGCCTTGAATCTACTCGAGAAAGCTAACCTGCTTCATTTTACAGATCCGTCATTAGTGATTGTTCAGCTTCAGAGATAAAGTAGAACAGACACTTTTGGAGTATGTCACAGGAGGCTGATGTTCCGACCTTCAAGTGTGTACTTGTCGGTGATGGTGGTACCGGTAAGACAACCTTTGTCAAGCGTCACTTGACCGGCGAGTTCGAAAAGAAGTATGTGGCCACGCTCGGTGTCGAGGTACATCCCCTCATCTTCCACACGAATAGAGGCCCCATCAGGTTCAACGTTTGGGATACTGCGGGCCAAGAGAAGTTTGGTGGCCTTCGAGATGGATACTATATTCAAGGACAGTGTGCCATTATCATGTTTGATGTTACATCCAGAGTTACCTATAAGAACGTTCCCAACTGGCACAGGGATTTGGTGAGGGTCTGCGAAAACATACCCATTGTCCTCTGTGGCAACAAAGTTGACATCAAGGATAGGAAAGTCAAGGCCAAGAGCATTGTATTTCACAGGAAGAAGAACCTCCAGGTGAATTATTAATTTCTGTTGTTGCAGCTGATTCTCAATGAGTCAAACTTCAATGATGATTCAGAGTCCATAAATTTAGCATTGATGACAGTCATCTGTCCCTCTAATCTGACTTAGAAATAATTTTTTTTCCTTGTGTTTCAAGGCTCTAATGTGTCAGTTACCAATTACTTGTTCTGTTTTGCTTTTCAGTATTATGATATCAGTGCAAAGAGTAACTACAACTTTGAAAAACCCTTCCTCTGGCTTGCTCGCAAGCTTATTGGCGACCCGAACCTCGAATTTGTTGCCATGCCTGCTTTACTCCCACCAGAAGTAACAATGGACCCACAATGGCAACAACAAATCGAGAAAGATCTCAAAGAGGCGCAGGAGACAGCACTTCCCGAAGACGATGAAGACCTTTAGTTCTCTTACATAAAACCAAGGCAGGGCCTATTATTTAAACATGCGGTATTCACGCATGTCACCGCGTTTTTTTTTTCCGTAAGCAAGTCACAAGTTTTCTTTCTTTGTGTTGATATGATAAAATTTTGACTCACTATTTAAATGAAGTTTGAAAGTTCAAAATATCGATTTGTTCGAGAGCCCGAATAAGGATATTTTAAGAAAATTAAATAATGTTACCCTGCACTTTCAGAGGGTCTTCTAATGTTAGAATCTGCGGCAGAAGTGTATCGACATGTAACTGAAATTCACGACACTGAGCCATTTTCTATACTACTTGAAAATTGTATCTAATTTGAAAAGTAATTGCCAATACAAATGGAATCGCAAGTATGCCTCTTTAAATTCAATATTCTCTAGCCATTATTAATTTAATGCAATCTTGTAATGCAATTTGTGCGTGTTAAATCTTACGTTTTTGATCCATCAGCCTCAAGAGTAATATAACTAATATTACTCTTTCGCACTGTTATGTTTCACTTTACATAAAAAGCATATCTAAGGAGCATAATGCAGTTCACAGTATGTTGCGTCTGATTGTGTCAAACTAAGGACTGTTTACTATTTTTATAAGCATTCGTGAATTGTATGATTTGTCTCTCTTAAATTATAAAAAAATAGAAGCTTTTTGTACAACATAGCTTTGTTTCTTAATAAAATTATTGATGAAAGTTGTTTCGAGATTATCTCTTAAAGATAAATAAAGAATCATAAAGTGCGTATGTGTGTGAATATTAGAATTTCTATGTAATGTGCTAACTGGAATTTTATTTCAATGAATGTAAGTGATTGAGGCATTATAATAATGTAGATTCTGTTTCTGTCATGGATGAGTCTGATTGAAAGAAAACCTTGAACAGATTGTAATTGTTGTCTGGATTCAATAAATAAGAAACAATGCTATTTCTGTGCTTATTATTTTGACCTTCAACTTAATCAAACGGAAAACTTGAAATATTTCTTATTGGTAATAATAATATAAATTTTATTTATAAAATTGCTTCCAAACAAGGTATGAATAACTTATTCATACATGTACATCAAGTGTATCCGATTTAAATTAACAGTTGTAATTTTATTTTGTAAAAAAAGTTAAACTTGAAGTCCAAGAAAGATAATTTTTTTTATAGTACAGATTTTTTATAAAACCTAGGTACTCTTAATTGACTGATAAACTTAATCAAATAAAAAAAATGTCATTATAATTTAATTTTGATGCAAATGATGACTTTCCAGAGGAATGTTATTTAATTTTCATGGTTGAAAAATTGATTTGCATATCTCGAAAAAGTGACATTTTTCTAATTTGTTAAAAGTTTAGTTTGTTTGAAACTATATTTATATAGGTTACATTATAGTTTTTTAAAGAAAAATCATATATTAAATGTACAATATTTTGAAGTAAGTTTTTACGTTTTGCCCCTAGACTTTAATCTTTCCAACTTTCGAATGCCCTTCTTGCCTTCAAGCAGAATGAACTTCTCATCCTCCGTCAAAGGAGTCAGAAGATTGGTTATCACGCCAGTACCAACTGTTGTGTTACCGTCTCTCAAAGTGAAACGCTGACCTTTCTCGCACACCATCGACTTAAGCAGCTTTAAGTCCAATCTGTAAAAAGCAAATATGTTATAAATAACGAGTTAACAATATTTGAAAAAAAATGACCTATTTAAGAAAATACTGACGTTGCATCCTCTCCTGGCATAGCCATGTTCTTTCCTGGAACTGTGACCGAGACTGGAATATCCCACGTTTTGCTGTACATTTGCAACTGAATCCGATCTTGAATAGGTTTCTTGCGTCCACCTTCTTCGGTAGTTAAAATGTACGCTTGAGCCTCGATATGATTATGGGACTTAATCGAGCCTGGTTTAGCCATGACCATTCCTCTTCGCACGTCTTCTCTCTTGAGACCTTTTACGAGAGCACCTAATTGGTCACCGGCTTCAGCATACTCGAGAATTTTGTGGAACATCTCAATCCCAGTAACTGTGCTCTTTATTGACTTTTCATATCCTAAGAATTCGACTTCTGTGCCCTTTTTTAGCTTTCCACGTTCCAGTCTGCCAGTAACGACCGTGCCTCTGCCCGCAATGGAGTAGGTACCTTCTACTGGCAATAGGAATGGCTTGTCAAGTTCGCGTTCTGGTACTGGCACATTGTTGTCACAAGCTTCCAACAATTTGAGGATAGCATCTTTTCCAATTTCTGGATTTTTTCCCTCCAATGCACAGAGAGCACTGCCTTTTATGACTGCAACTTTGTCTCCATTGAAACCCATTTCAGTCATAAGCTCTCTAATTTCCATCTCGACAAGTTCTACCATCTCTGCATCAGCAGCATCAACCTGAATACAAAAAAAAATTCACAAATTTTTACCAAAGCTCATTAAAGAAGGGTAATTTAAAATTATTGCTAGTATTAGAAAAAATATAGCAGTACCTTATTGATGAAAACTACAATGTGTTCAATACCAATCTGTTTTGCAAGCAGTAAATGTTCCTTTGTTTGTGGCATAGCTCCGTCAGTAGCAGCAACCACTAAAATAGCACCATCCATTTGTGCTGTTCCTGTGATCATGTTTTTAATGTAATCAGCGTGTCCCGGACAATCTGTGTGGCCATAATGCCTATTCTCTGTTTGGTATTCGATGTGGGCAACGTTGATTGTAATACCCCTGGCTTTTTCTTCTGGTGCATTGTCTATTTCACTGTAGCCTTTAGCTTTGGCTAATTCTTTTTCTGACAATACTGTCCAGTAAAAATAATGGAAAGCAAATAAGTTTGAAACTCAAGTGTAAATATTTGGATTTATTGGTAGCCTTTCAATCTCTACCTTTAGTAATGGCTGCAGTCAAAGTAGTCTTTCCATGATCAACGTGACCGATAGTTCCAATGTTAACGTGGGGTTTGTCTCTGGAATAAACGACTTTCTCGGCAAAAGATCTTTGGACAGTAATCGCTGGCACGTAAAGTTGACTGCATAGTTGGTTTCGCCGATGCTAAAAATGACAACAATTGAAATTATTGCAAATTTAAGGCGTGATGTAACGTGGTGTTTCATGAAGCTCTGAAGGTACAGTAGCAATGCTGTTAAAAATAAAGGAAAACACGTAAGTAGAGCAGAATAGAGCGAGACATTAGTAACTCACATATTTAGCAAGTTGCCGGGTGAAGTTGATGTGTCGAGCAGCGTGTCGTAGCACTGAAAAATTATCGAAAATTAACGATTAATGTACCATTAAAAGGGCAATAGTGCATGTATACCCTCCCCACGAGGCTGTTTATTTCGTCGACAATTTACGGATAAGAAAACGACATACAGCAAGATTCGGTCGTTCCATTTCAATAGACATACTTAAAATAGTTATTCGAACGAATCATTATGAAATTATAGTGTAAATTAACATTACCAGGATAAATAATCGTCCTCGCAGAGACGAACGCCATGATTCCTAACCAAATTCTTCCTTCGCTGTTGGTTTTGATTTCGCCGAAGACTACAAGAGGCAGCACTAGCCTGGCACTCGAGGCAAAAAAAGAGAAGAAAACGGATATGTTACGTAACGCAAATGTAGCATCGTCGATTTAAAGCGCAGAGACAGGCGAGAATTAAAAAAATGTTGTTTTTTTTTCGCTGTAAATTACTTTTGTTCTATTATAGTATTACTTTTGATCTATTGCGTACGAGTACGCAAACAAGCGCCTCGGATTCATAAAAAATGATTCCGCTCGAAGCGAATACGCGAGAACAAAGAGCACGAAGAGCAAGATAGTTGCAAACGTAGTGGAGGGAGAGAGAGGGCTGTTGCGTTAGGAAAATTCGAGTCGACAGTTAGATCCGGAGCAGAAGCGTCCGAATTGGCGTTGCAGGTGGCTGCGTTCGATAACAGTAACTAATGGAGCGAGCTCCCGTAAAGAAAAACGCGTATTAAAATGAAGTACGAGCGAGAGAGAGAACGGATCGCGAGAGTATACGCACGAAGAAAGAGAGAAAAAGCGACGATGGGGAGAGCGAGCGCGAGAACGGGAATAGTTGAACCGTTAAATCGTTATTTCTAACGAAGATGTCGCGTGCGCGAGAATAGTCTCCCACACGTGCACACAGTGATCAAGCTTACGAACGCGACCGTCGGGGACACGGACCGCGGAGGCGATCGGCACGCGTCTCGCCCCTTCGATTCATTAATAAGCCAATTGGCGCCTCGCCAATTCGCTGTCGTCGTTTTCCACATTTTGCACGAGCGCGTGAGCGCTGCAGCCGTTCGATCGTCCGGCGATCGGCGGCGCATATAAACCGCAGCGCACACAAGCTGCCGCGTCTCGCGCGGGAGCTTTGTTATGCGATCCGATTGGAATCGGGCCGAGAAAAACTGGCGAGCCGAGCATGCCGCGGCCCTATAAAACATTTATTGCTTGGCGCACGCGCGCGCGTACGCACCCATTCCCATAGGAGAGCGAGAGAGAGAAAATAGAGAAGGCTTAACCAGCTGATATAGAAGGCGATCCGAGTAGAAAAGAAAGGCGGCGACGATCTGGAAACCCACATAAAGACGCGCGCGCGGCGCTCTTCTGAAAAGGAACGCGCCTTTTGGCTCCGATCGGTCGTGTCGAGACTTAAAAACGAACGACGTCAAGCAAGTCGATGCGCCGCTTTTTCGATACCGCCATCCTTTTTGCTAGTGAAAAAAAAAAAAAAAAGAAAAGAAAAAACAGGGAGGAAAGAAAAAACGACGGGTTAACGGCGCGCATGACAAAGCGCGCGCGAAGACACACGCACGCAAGGGAATGTAACGACGCCGCGACTGCGGTAGTCTCGAGCGCGTCGCACATCTTTCATTCATGAAGGCGAGACGTTTCTTTTTATTTGTTACCGGGGGGGGGGGGGGGGGGCTCGTCGCATTGCTCGCGGGCGTCGCCCGTCTCCGAAGCTAATTCCGCGCGTCGGCTGACGTCGACTTGCGCGATCGTCGCTCCCGAAAAAAAAAGCCGCGCGACGCAAAGCTCGCTAAAGGTCGCGCTGGCTCGAAGAGGCGACCGATCCACGCAGGGAGCAGGTTCGGAAGAATGTCATCGGCCAGAGGGACCGAAGCGGTCACGCGGCGCGTGGGGGAGAGATAAGAAGGGCCTCCGTCTGCGGGCGCGCGCACATATATCTCTCCTCTGGGAGCCGCCGGCATTTCGTTCGACGAGCTGATCAGCATTCCAGGGACGCGCGCGTCGTCGCCACTTGGTCGAGAGGAGCGTCGCCCCGTGCGACCGATTTCGAGCTCCAGCGAGGTCGATTGGTGCCGTTGTAGCAGCAGCATACGCATCTCCCGTATCCTCGAGCGTGCGCCGCAAAATTAGACACGATCGCGGCTCCCGTTCGCCGAGCTCCGTCGAAGTGGCTGCCTGCCCTAATCGGCTACGTGCCCGCTCGTTCGCAGCCGAGCCGCCGGGTCCTCTCCCGCGCGCACTCTGATCCTCCGATGCGCCAACGAGCAATTGCGTTCTGCGTGCTCGTCCATCGGAACACGGCCAGTAGGAGCTCTGCGTGGGCGATCGGCACCTCGTTTAGGATCGCCCGCCGAAAGATCGATCGTCAATCGTAAAACAGCAGATCGTTGGGTGGAGTGCAAGAAAGAAAGAAACTCGAGCGTCCTGCATTGGTTGAGCTCTTACGTAAAGCGGAGGCCGCGTTTCGTGAGATTTTTTCCACTCTCTCGCGGGTACGTTGAAAAACAAAGGCCGAACGAGCGAGTAGCTCTAGGGCGCGAAGGGGGGCGACAGAGAGAAAGAGAGAGAGAGAGAGAGAGAGAGAGAGTGGTAGGGGGAGGTGGGGAGGGAAGGAATCGGAAGCGGCATTGCCGTAGAGCGCCAAAGGTAGCAAGGTTGCGCGGAGACACCTGAGCCTGCGAAGTTACATCAGACCCCACTCCCGCGAGCTTAGGCCCCATCGGGAACTCGTGCAGCCCCGTTCGCTGCTGGAAGATTCTCAGTTGGAGTCGCGCACGCGTGCACGGCGCATCCATTCTGCCGCTGGTCCGTCTGGTTCTCCGGCACTCGCTGGGCCGTGTCTCTGCGCTGGTCTGCCTTCCTCTCGGCTGCGATCGACCACGGGAAGCCGGTCATGGACGGGAGACGAGCGGCTGGGTGACACCGTGCGACGAGTTTGCTCTTTGTCCACGCGGACTCGCGACTGCGCCTCGACTCGATTGCTTCTCGGACTTGCTCGTTGGACCGAGCGATAGCAGTGCCGCGACAGGATGACGCCGAGGACCGGAGCAGCCTCTCTGCTGGCGCTGCTCGTGGTAAGGACTCCCCCGCTCGACCCCCGATCTCCGTTCAGGCTCGTGCGTCGGCGTCGCGCTTCCGCGGGCAAGAAACAACGAGAAGAGCAGCGATGCAAACGAAGCCTCGTTCCGTCCATCGCGCGCCTGCACGATTCGTGTACGCAAGCGAGCCTCGAGACGAGAGGTCGCGCGACGTAGACGGAGCTCGAAAGCCGAGCGCCGGGGCTGCTCGAGCGTGTCCGAATGTCCGGGCCACGTCGGCCGGGCGCCCTTTCGTCGCAAAGTCCATTAGCGGCACGCACCGATCGGCCGCGCCGTGCCGCGATTCCGGCCTCTCCGGCGTCCATTGTCCTCCGCGGCAGAGGTGGATATAAACAAACGATCGACGGCGCCAAATTAAAAAGAAGCGAGTTTATATAACTGCCCATTGTTCGTGGGCGGATCGCGCGCGCGACACTCGCGGCGAGCCGGTCGTAGCAGCGTCTCCTCCAGGCGCCTCCGCGGCTTTTTCAAACTCGCTGGCTTTTACGATTTTGCCCGTTGTCGCTTTTTATCGCTGCGGGCCGGGCTATCTTAATCATCGGCTTTATGGCCCAGGGATCCGCCGAGGGCGGAGGGGTCCGCTTTTACGACGGCTTTAACCCATTGCTGATTGCCATTAGCTCCAGCAAGAAGCATGGCACCCATTAATTTCAATCTTTTTCTATTTTATTTTTTTCTCGCTCGTCGTTGAATCGCAGCCCCCCCCCCCCCCCCCCTAGAGCAGCTCTAACGCGCTCCTCGCCAAGCCTCGCGCTTCACGGGATCTCGCGGCTCTTATCGCTCCGAGTATCGCGCGACCTTGACGCAGAGACGCCTCGCGCGCGGAAAGGCGGGAAGTCGTCGACACGTTGGTGCACGGCGCATCGGCAAATAGCCTACTTTCGAGCGCGATCAACCGGTTTTTCCTAGGCAACTGGACGCGCGCGGCGCTCGCGCGAGCCACGGGCGCGGAATAATAACAAGTTGGCCGGGTAAAAATGAATCTTATGAAATGTTAAATGAGTCGAAGCCTAACGGAAGAGCGAGCGGCAAAGCTGCGCGCGTAATCGGCGCGGCCAATTAAACGAGCGAGAAGGCCGTCGATCCGATTAAACGAGCAGCCGCTGCGTCCGCGAGCCAGCGAGCGAGCAGAGAAGTCGCGCTGACCGGTAGCAACGACATGGCTCGAATATGGCGCGCGTAACACGGCGATGCAAGTCGAGGGCTGCGGTAATTGCTGAAATCGAGCCAGCCGGCTGCAAGAATGCTTACGGGAGCGGGCTTCCGCGTTGGCGTGCTCGTGCTTATTCATACACACACGCGCGCACACGTGGGTCGTTGAAGGCACTGCACTCGCCGCGCAGGTAATTACGGCTGCTTCCGCGGTACGCGGAAAATATTGCTATACGCAGCCGCGCGGCGGCAGAAAGAGACCGCGAGAGAGAGAGAGAGAGAGAGAGAGGCTGCTCTAATTGGATTTTTCAGCAAAGCGCGATCATCCTAAAAACAGATAAACCCTCGACAGTTATAACGGCCAGGAATCTCTTCTTTTTTCCGGCATTTTTCTCCGGCTTTGCTCTCGCTCGCGGGTAATTGCGTTCCGCCGCCAGAATGAGTCATTCCGAGGGTGGTTTTTGCCGCGGCCGACGATCGCGCGCGTGCATTTGTGCCGCGCGAGACGGCGCGCGCGCGGCCGGGTGGCACTGCCAAAGTGGAGGAGCGACTGCCGGCCGCGTGGCCCGGCCCGCGACACGCGACCCGCGATCGCGCCGAGCGCCACGGCGGCAGACTCGGGCGCCGCGAGATCAGTTTTGACGCGGAAATCCGCCGCGACCGAGCGCGCGCCGGCAGAAAAACGCGAAGAAGACGCGCTCCGGGCCGCGCGCAGCTAGCCTACGGCCTAATCGCTTCCCCCCTTTCCCACGATCTGCAAACAATGCCCCGCTCCGGCTCTCGCGCGCTCTCCGCGCCGCGTCTCGCTTCGCCGTCCCTCGCAGCGTAAGCAAATAAGAATGCCGCTGCCGGCGACGAGTTACGGGCCGCTTTATCCGTGGCGAGATTCCTCCGCGGCTAATGACATTATCAGCTCGCGGCTTGATTACGCAGGCGCAGGGAGCGAGAGAGAGAGAGAGAGAGAGAGAGAGATCGAACGGCGACGCTCGATCCTCGCGCGCAGGTGCGTCGACCCTCGGTGACAGCGCTAATTGAGGCCTTTGCACTCTTAACTGATCGCCCGCGGGCCGCGGCGCCGGCTCGCACGCGAGCGAGCCGCGTTGAACGCCCGCGCCGCCGCCCTATCTCGCGAATCGCGCGCTGCCGCCGCCGCTGATCAATTAGCTCGCTGCCTGGTGCGATTGCCGCGCGCTGCCGAGGCCGCGGAAAGCAAATAGATGGGCAGCGCGCGCGAGTGAGAGAGAAGCGGAAAATTGAGCGGCGCTGGGCGTAGCATACGGTACCGCGCGGTAGAACGTTATTGTTTCTCCGAGCGCGGAAAGCATCGACAACGAAGCCGCGGCCCGCGCACGCACGGACCTGGAATCGGAGATTCTCTGGGTCATCGCGATCCGCCGCGCGTGAGAAGTAGCGCCGCGGCTCCGTTGGATCGTCGATCCGAATCGCAGGTGGGTGCGCGGGCGGGCGCGCGGGGGACGATCGAGCCGCGCGGGCTCTGGAACAGCGCTTGTGATTGCAGGCAGCGCTGCTGACGAGCCTGGCCGGGGCGCAGAGCGAGGAGGAGGCGCCGGCGAGCGAGTCGCAGCTACGGCTGGGCGACGAGTGCAACCGGGACCGCGAGTGCGAGTCGGCGATCGTGCGCAGCCACTGCCACCTGGGCTACTGCGCCTGCCAGCCCTTCTTCGCCCAGTACAACGCCAGCCTGTGCCTCGCCTGTAAGTCGCGGCCCAGGCCCGCCGCCGCCGCCGCCGCCGCCGCCACTGTCGCGATTGCATATCTGTAACGAGCGATGAATTGCAGCGACGATGCTGGGCAACGAGTGCCTCGTGGACGAGCAGTGCGCGCTCCGAGTGGCCAACAGTAGCTGTCACGAGGGCCTCTGCCGGTGCCAAGACGGACACCTTCAGTACCGCAGGCACACCTGTATCGGACGTGAGTGCGCGCGGCCGCCGTGGCCTACGTCGGATGCTTATCGCTCGTCAAAGCCAGCTCGCTGGCATTCCTGCCTCCTTTCCTCCGTGGCGTTGCTTGCCTTTTCGCCATCTGATATTCCTGTAGCCGGAGCTCAATTATTGTCTAATGCTATGCAGATATTTTAAGGACGCCGCGGCGAGCGAAGCCCGCGGACGGTGCCGCGCTTTCTCGGCTTGTTTTCCGCGAGCGCGCCATTGCGCGTCGTCGGCCCTTCGGCATTTTCGCTCGCGCGCCGAGTTATGCAATTACAGCCTCGATTTCGCTTCTCTGGTTTCATTCGACACCGCGGCAACGCGATATTACGCTCGATGCGTCTCGCCGCGGGACCGCATTCCTCGCTGCGTGCCCTCGTAAAAGCCGCGTGCCTCCCAGTTATCGCCGAGCCGTCATTATTCGGCCGCCGCGGGATCCCGGCGGAATGCCCGTAACGGGGGACGAGGCGCCCGCGAGCTCGTCGCCATCGGAACCGCGGCGACGAGCCGAGCCGGCGCTGCGACTGAAAGCGTGGACGCGCCCTTGCAGCGGCCAAGCTCGGCCAGGTCTGCTACAGCCACGCGCACTGCCGGCTCTGGGACAGCGACACGCACTGCGACTTCCTCATCCCGGACCTGTTCGGACGCTGCCAGTGCACGGCGCCGATGCGCCAGGACGGCGAGGTCTGCCGACCCGACCGGCTGGTGAGGCCGGCCGCGCCTACGAGCCCGCAGCCGGAGGAGCAGCGCCAGCAGTCGGGCGGTGAGGCCGCCGGGGCGCAGCGCGGCCCCGAGCGCGCGACGGCGGCGCCCCAGCAGGAGGACGACGCGGGTGAGCACGGCGCCGAGGCGGCCCGCTAGTCTAACGAGAGGCCGTTGCCGGGCCGACGCTCATTGCCGCGATCGCGCAGGGGTCCAGCTGTCGTGGCTGCGCAACGCCACGATGCTGCTGTCGACGGTGCCGCCGACGCAGCTGATGCCGACGAACCTCGTGACGAGGGCCTCGCTGCACGCGGAGCTGCAGCCGAACGAGCTGCCGGAGGACGACGCCATCGTGGTGGAGGCCGCGGTCGGCGAGCTCGCGCAGCCCGGCGTCAGCCCCGGCACAGGTGCGCCATCCGCCGCCGCCGACGCCGACGCCGACGCCGCTGCCGACGCCACTAACGCGCGCGCGTTTGCTTGCAGCGGCGAGCCCGCTGAAGACCGAGCGCCACGAGAGCGGCGCGCCCTCGCCGGTGTCGCTGGGCCTGGCCTGCCGCCGGGACGCCGAGTGCCGGCTGGCCGACCCGGAGTCGCGCTGCGCCGAGGGCGTCTGCGACTGCGTGCGGCGCGCCGGCAACGGCACCTGGTGCAGCGCCCGGCGCACCGGCTGCCTGCCCGGTAGCTTCCAGTGCCGCGCGAGCGGCGCCTGCATCAGCTGGTTCTTCGTGTGCGACGGCAAGCCCGACTGCGCCGACGGCTCGGACGAGCAGTGCAGCCTCGGCCGGGCGCAGCCCGCCTGCCCGGCTCGGGCCTTCCGCTGCCGCAACAGCCCGCGCTGCGTGTCCCGGGCGGCGCTCTGCGACGGCGCGCGCGACTGCCCCGACGGCGAGGACGAGGCCGGCTGTGGCGACCGCAGGAGTACTCGCCTACCATCTTTCCGTGCCAAGTGCCGGCAGCCGCCTAACCCGGCCACTCTGTTTCGCTTGCAGAGTGCCCGGAGGGAGCGTTCCGCTGCAGCAACGGCCAGTGCCTGCCGGCCTACGAGTTCTGCAACGCGGTGGTCTCGTGCAGAGACGGCAGCGACGAGCCGCGGGCCGCCTGCCGCACGCGCAACCGCAGCCGGCTCTCGCCGCGCCACTGCCCCTTCAAGTGCGCCAACGGCCGCTGCCGCTCCGACGCCATCACCTGCAGCGGCCGCGACGGCTGCGGCGACAACTCCGACGAGGCCAGCTGCCGCGTCTGCAGTCAGTTGCGCTCGCGCTCTCGTCCCGGGCCAGCCGCTCGGCGTCTAACCGGCCGTCGCCTCTCTTGTCGGTTGCAGGGTGCCCGGCCGCGCTCTGACGGACCTCCAGCCAGCCAGCCAGCCAGCCAGCCAGCCAGCCAGCCAGCCAGCCCCGCGGCCACATCCACTCGAGCCGATGACCAAAGATCGCCGCGCTGCGGACAACGGCGACGCTCCAGCACCCATCCTTCGCGGCGGCCTGCCGACTGTGCAGCCTGAACGACGATTACCGAACACCGAGGACGCCCAATCGGACTGACTGCCCCGGATCGACGCGATCCGCGCGACAACGTTTCTTGGCTTGCCTGCTTGCCTTCCGAGGTTCGCTCCGATCGGACACTTTTGCGGGATCTGCTCCCGCGGAGTTTCTCGAGCGTGCGGATAAACTCCCCTCGACTTCGCTCCCTCCAGCAGTGTAGAGCAAATTACGTAGACAGTAGACGCATTCATAGTTTCATCGTAGCGCAGGTTCTCTGCGCACTTTTAGATACGACTATGCAATAATAATAGACGACTATATAGCCCGAACACACACGGTCACATTTGTATAATGTCGGAGCAGCGCACTATCTCTGTAAAGATGCAGCGAGTGCTGTAATATTTTTTAATAAAATGGAATCATTCACCGCAATTATGCGAGATAAGTGTTTCTATTCATTGTGGCGCGCTACGGTGCGCCGCGTCCCCGAGGCAATTATATCGGCCGGCGGAGAGGGGGGACAGCTTACGCGTCGCGCCGCCTTGACGCGTGCCTCGAGCCGCTGAACTTGAACTGCATTTCCCCAGGTGCAAATCGATGCGCGACGCTGTTTGCTGTTTCCACGCCGCCGCGGCTCTGCTTGTCGACGCTTGTGCTTTTCCGCACGCGCCACTTGGTCTGCCATCGCCTCTTTGTTCCCGTGATGCCAACGGCTGAGTCACCGGACAGCCGAGCGCGCATCAATACCTTTTTTAATTACGACACGCGCGACGTTTCTGACGCAGCTCGTTCCAGTTGTCACGGTAATTGGCTCTCGAGATGCATTCGAATGAGACGCGTACGGAAAGGTTTTGCGATTGGTCCCCGCTGGTTCGGTCGACAAAATTGCGACTCGGTAATTGCTAGACATCAGATGAACCGATAACTTGTTGTCGAGAAACATGATCATTCAGAAAGTTAGATTCGAGAGAAGCGAAGCGATTGAAGCTGTGGCTGTCGGCAAACATACGATCTTTGAGTCGTGCCTTATCGATCTCCGATAAGGCACGACTCAAAGATCGTGTGCGACCTTAAGCATCTTCAAAATTGTTGCCGGATGTAAATGAACTGCATAACTACTGGTACTTGGCAGGAGTTGCGCAGGACAGGAAACCGCCGTTCTTATCCGGGTCGCCGGCCGGCCGTCGGCGGCGCAATCGATGTGCGACAGCGGGCAGATGAGCTCGTCCCGCTCGTAATGAAAACGCTGCCTCTTTGCCTGGCTGCTGCCGCGCTCGAACAATGTCGACGTCAGTTGTCCCCCGATCTCGCCCGCGCGCGCGTTCCGCGAGCTTGCGGGGGTGACTCCGCGACAAAATGCTGCCGCGATTTGCCGAGCGAGTCGCGAAAGAAGCCGCCGGAACGAAGTGAAGCAGGGTCAAGTGGCAGGGAAGGGGCGGACAAGCGCGAAATACTTCGAATCTCGGAAGTAGGTTGAGCCTCTCGAAAATGTGATGAAAGTTGGCTGGCGTCCAGTGCTTTGGCGCACGCGAAGAATAGCCCGCGGAGGGACGGCGGCGCGTCGGTGCAGCCGAGCAGTAGCGTTGTCGTCCCGGGCCGTGCGCGCAAGCATCAGCGGCGACGGCGGCGGCGGCTCTCACTTCCATTTTGCGGGTGGCGCGCCAGTCTTGCGCATTCGGCCCGCCGGGCCACGTTCAGTCGGCTACGCAAGCTCGCGCCGCCTGCACACAAGCTCGACTTGCTTTCGGCGGCTTCTCCTCGCTCCCACATCGATCCGACATTATTTCTGTGTTTGTGGGTTGACACGCTCCGAGCGATCGCACTGGCGGATGACGTCGGTTGCACTGCGGAGGCTACTCGTCCAGCGTTGCCGGTGAGTTTTCAGCGCAAGCTCCTCGGCGAATTGATCAATTCCAGTCGGACGTTGCGTCGACTAGCCTTGGTCGTACAGATATTTCGCTGAGTGCTGAATAGGCCATTTAGTTGTTGCACCTCGGAAGTCATTTATTAAGCTAATTCGCACATTCGTCACGAGAACAAAGTATCCCATGGCTGCACCGAATAGATTTCTTCGCTGTTTCATTTCAATAAATATGAATACGCAACGCTACTATTGTTTAACATTTGTTTGTACGCTTTCCCGGGACACGCACACCCAGGCGCACGCGCTTTCTGCTTATATATATTGTGCGCGCGCGTGTCTATGTTTATGTATATGTCGACACCTCCTAGCAATCAGATCCTATCTCTACGAGCAATTTGTAAAGGTACTATCTCGGCGTTCAATTGATAAAGGGACTATCTTGCGGCCAATTCGAAAAAGTACTTTTCGCCAGTTTATATCTCAGCTGTCCTTTCGATAACATACTATCCCGGCCGTCGGATTATTATTGTTTTGTGTTTAATATTTTTTTGCTTGATGCAGAATGCAAAAACGAAAAACTTAGCACGTTCAGTGTTGATTAAAAACAATCCGCCCGATTGCGCAGGCGATATACTTTGATGATCATCAGCGATGTTGATACTTATTCTATACTACCTGCCCGACGTACGAATTGTTCGCACGTTCAGCAGAAAGCGCAGATACGTACGTGGAAAATCGCACTCACCATACGTCGTATCGAAAAATACAGTACGACACATATTCGGGAAAAATCCCGTGTATCTTTCCAGCCTTGCTTCGCTCTGGCGTAAACGACCTACGAGACAAGAATCTACTTTTCCGCACTTGTATTGTAATTAATACTTTATAATTTATTTTCGACACCCTCGCATATGGCTGATATATTGGTTTTGTCTTGCTCGCTATTAAGGTTTATAAAAAAGCTGTTTATCACCATTTAAAAAAACAATACTAAGAATAGAACGATATTAATCCGCCAAGATAGCAGTTTATTGAAACAGAATCTTTTTACACTGATTGCCGAAATATGACCTTCTTGAATTGAACGCCGAGATAGTTCCTTTTCGAGTTGCTCGCCAAAATAGATGCTTATTGCTAGGACGCATCCATATATATGTATACGTATATGTACATGTACATGTATACCGAATTTATTCATAAACTTATCAGCAGACATACCAGGAGTGTCAGTTCTTTTAATTCTCGTCGCAACAAAAATTAACTTGTCGTTTTGACGGATAGGGTTTCGAGATACTCGGAATATGTGGGAACTATTCGCCCTAATCGACCCAAATGACCTAAGTGCAAGGTGATCGTCATTGCGGATTAAAATCAATGATGCCGGAGAAAGAATCGTTAAATCATCGGAGAGAATTTGCATAACCGATTGGTTCGCTTCGCTTCAAGGCAGGCGTAATTACGAAGCGCTCCTCGATTATCCATCTGCGGGCTGTATAACGCGGCTGTGACCGTATTCATAGATAATATACGAGCCGCGCGCGCGCGCGCGTGCGAACGAATCAGCGTCGCGTCTCCGATGGACTCGCGCAACAGTAGAGTGGCGCGCGAGCGCGGTAAAAGTCGGACGCTTTACGCAACCCGCTGGTGTCGCGATGATTCGCGAGGAATTCTCATCGAATGATTTAGAAACGGACGCGAATCGTACGATCGCCCGTAATGAAAGTGCAACCCGACAAAGAAAGCATTCGAGCGCGCGCACGGCTTAGACGCGAGGTATTCCAGGTAGACATTAGAAATCAACGAAGAAGCTCGCGAGGTCGCTCCACCTATAGCACGAAGACTCGCCGCAGCAGTATCGAGCCGTCCGTCCGCAAGAGAACAATCGCGTTCGGCCGGGACGTCAATCCGCCGACAATAGTAAAGAGCAGTGCGATCGGCAGGAGGCGGTGCGCTGGCGGTGAGCGGGAGAGGACGGAGCGGTCGTCGTATCTCCGCGGCGATACGGCGCACGACTAGGACCGACGGGGCAGCGAATGCGCGCGGAGGAAGAGGAAGCGGCGAGAGATACTGCGAGCCGGCCGGAGATGAGAATGAGCAGCGGCGAGGATGTGGAGGCTGCCAAAGTGGACGCGGCTGACCGAGAGCCTCCGCTGGCCCCAGAGCTTCGTTCTGCTGCTGCTGCCCTGCCTGCTGGCGCTCACCCTCTACTTCCTGTCCGGCTCGGAGCGCGAACTCGAGCGCGTCCAGTACCTGGCCTGGCGCTCCTACAACACCTCTGTCGGTCAGTCTCTGCACCATACGTCTACTCCTGTCCCGCCCTCGACGCCGCTGCCTTCCGCGCTTCCTTCTCGGCCACCGCTTGCCTCCTTGCCTGCCATCCTCCACGCGTCGACAAGCACCCAACACTCGAGACACGAGAACGGAAGTTCCATGGAAATCAATGGTTCTGCGATGTCTCATGAAGCAGATGTGCTCGACGGCTATCTGGTGTGGAACTCCAAGTGTCACATGCTGTCGATGAACCCCTACGATCCGTCCATCGTCAAGTTCGTCAAGAGGGAAAAGTTCGAGGCGTGCTCCACCAAGCCGAAGCTCACCTCTATCGGCAGGTACGCCAACGGAAGTGTCTATCTGCTCGTCGACCGCGACGCGGCCAAGCGGTACAAAGACCTGTCCTGCTGCTGGGCTCCCGTCGTCAGGCCTAGCGCGCTCCTCAAACTCGACAAGGAGTACGATTCCAGAGTGAGGTATGTGCGCTTTCACGCTCTCGTCGACTTGTTCTCGCCAAAATTCACCGCGCGAGCTTGCGAATAACATTGGAATCGCTTTCCAGCGTAGGTCATTACGAAGACTTCGAGGAGCAGGTGCTGCTGAACAAGTCGATCGAGGTCGTTCACGTCGTCTGCCGCACCGGCAAGTCCAGCCGGAAGCCGTCGGCGAGCAAAGTGAAGACGGCGAAGGCGAAGAGCAGCCTCGCCTACGAGAACGTGCACGCGGTGCTGAATCCCGAGCGAGTGCGCGAGCGGTGGCTCAATGCCTCCGAGAACAGAGCGGGCTACAACAACACCAATGGCACGGTTACGGCCACGGCCGCGCGACACGCCCCGCTGAGCGTCCTCCTGCTCGGAGTCGACAGCGTGTCTCGGCTGAACTTCTACCGCGCGATGCCCGCGACCCGGGCCTACTTCGAGGACCGGGGCTGGACCGAGTTGCGCGGCTACAACAAGATGGGCGACAATACCTTTCCGAATCTCATGGCCCTGCTCACCGGTCAGAATCAGACCTGGGCCTACGCCAAGTGCAAGCCCAAGGCGCTCTACGGCTTGGACAACTGCTCGATGATCTGGTACAACTTCAGGGAGGCCGGCTACGTCACTGCCTACGCCGAGGACCAGGCGAAGATCAGCACCTTCAACTACCTCAAGGTCGAGCACTCTCTCGCCGTTCTTTCGCTTATTCGTAACCGACCGTGCATTCGTTCCGCAGATGGGTTTCGTCGAGCCACCGACGGACTACTACCTGCGGCCCTACATCCTGGCCGCGGAGAAGCTTCTGAAGACGCAGCCACGCTTCAGCTCCAACCACTGCACGGGCCCCGAGCTCAGCATCGACCGGATCTTCGACTCCGCGGTCGAGTTCGCCAAGGCCTTCGTGGGTAGTCCCTACTTTGGTTTCTTTTGGAGCAACACCATCAGCCACGAAAACATGAACGGGCTGTCGCTCTACGACACCAGGTTTCTGGCCAAACTGCGAGCGATGGAGGACGCTGGGGTGATGAACGACAGCATGATAGTGGTGCTGAGCGACCACGGGATGCGTTACGGCAACATTCGCGACACGTTCGTAGGATGGTACGAGGAGCGGCTGCCCTTCGTCTACGTCTGGCTGCCGGAGTGGTTCCGCGAGCAGAACCCCGAGTCCGCGCTGGCGCTGCGCGTCAACCAGAACCGCCTGAGCTCGCCCTACGATCTGTACGAGACCCTGCGGGACGTGCTGCAGCGGGCGGGTGGTCAGGCGCCGGCGAGCACCGGCTGCCCCCGCTGCTCCTCGCTCCTGAAGCCGCTGCCGCGCGAGAGGGGCTGCAAGGAGGCCGGCATCGCGCCTCACTGGTGCACCTGCGCGGCCTTCGAGCCGATCAGCAGCTCCGACAGCGTGGTCGTCGAGGGCGCGAACAAGTTCGTCGATCACATGGAGAACATCGTGAAACAGTACAAGAACAAGAAGGGCGATCGGGTCTGCTCGCAGCCCAAACTCAAGCGCATAATCAGGGTGAAGAAGATGCTGGACCTCGAGGGCGATCCCCAAGGCAAGGCGCTGAAGCTGCTCTACTTGCTGGAGGTGACGCCGGGAGGCGGCAAGTTCGAGACTACGATGACCTACAACGGTCCGGGCAATTACACGATTCGCGACGAAGAGGTCAGTCGGATCAACCTGTACGGTCACAGTGCCAAGTGTCTCAGCGAGGGCTTCAAGCAGTATTGCCACTGCGGCGTCTGGCACAGTATATCCGATCACCTGTTCGGCAGGTGATTCCAACGTAGAAATGCTTTTCTACCGTTGTACGCACTGTAGGTATACCTGTAGTGCGCTCACGCACGCGACAGCCATAGTATTCAAAGCATACGTATACCTGTACACATGTATAGTAAAAGAGATGCCAAGTACGAGTTCTCGCTGTCCGTACGCTAAGAGCGCGCAGCGAGATTATATTTTATACGATGTTTCCGTAATTGTAAGGATCGAAGCGTTTGGCGTCGTGGAGACAAATATGGCTACTCCGAGATCGGGTAATTATCTTTTGAATTGTACCTCACTCGATGACCCGTCAGCTTCAGCCGCTTACATTGTGTTTCCTTCACAGTCAACACGACGAGTCCGAGGTATACGAGTGATAATAACTTCCATTACTGCGTTCATTTCTATTGAAGTACTTCAGTATTTTAATAATATTATAATAAGTGTATCATTGATTATTTTTCTACTTGAAGAGTATAGAAATTTTTATACGCTGTTACCATTACTTAAGTTTGATAAATCTTCTGGGGAATGGGAATGCCGAAGGCCAATTTTATTATAGTCATGTGAAGAATATTGCGTTGAGTGTGGATAATCATTGTCTACGAAATATTGTTGAGACACATTTTTATAACGAATCTAGATTTTCTACTGTCAGCACGGCCCTTTTCTTAAATGCTCTTCTTTACATTATTCCCGCATTTCAATTAACCACGTCAATCAAAGCTTGCTTCATTAGTCGAAGGATCAAGCTCCGGATGAATCGAAATCAAAATGAGTTCGGATACACCACGCTGAATTAATTGTGAAAGTGTTCTAACGAAAATGAATGTATTTTTTTAGTCAACTTACAGCAGTTTAAATTATTCAGCGTGCTATCGAATACGCATAAGCGATTGTAAAAATAAAGTTAACCATTATCTGATACGCGATTAACTACTTTTCTTTCTTACATCCCTTCGTTGCTCGTTGAGCGTGGACCATCCGCACCAAGCAGACGAAGCCGCTCTGATGTTCGCTAACTTCAGCTTTCATTCTAATTTTGCAGAATCGAATATTGAAAGATACCAAATGTCGCCAGACTTTCATGTAATTCAACATCGTTGTGGAAGAAGGAGTTTCAAATAACATCTAATATATGTAACCAATACCGCAATTTACTGCCATTACCGTGACACTTGTCACCCGTCACATTCTACCGATTGGTAACAATCAGCATTCAAGGTGAACCTCGTATTCTTCATACTCATGTCAAGCTCGTTAAATCTCGAAAAAATATATACTTCTGTACATTATTTATGACATATTTTTAACTCGCAAATTTCCTCGCGGAATTTTTTATTAACAAATTACACGAAAAAACGGCACTTACCTTTTGATTTTTTAATATTAAGTACGAAAGTAAGACAGTAAAAGAAATGGTATAAGAATATAAATTGAAGCTAATTAAAGAAAATGAGTTGTCGAGAAATTTGATCAGACCATCATGAGCCAAGAAAATCCCAGAAAATCGCGAAAATTTTGAAAAGTTCATAAAAATTCATATCTCTCATTTATTTTAGTTACAATTGGTAAGTTATGACATAGCAAATAGTTAGCAATTTTTAAGTATTTTTCGATACTCCGTGCGCAAAGTGTGTCTTACCCGCAAGCTCGGCAGAAAAGGTGCGTTGAAAATCATACTTTCCACACGTCGTATCAAAAAATACGGTACGGCACATGTTCGGGAAAGAGTTTCTTGTCTCGTGTACCTTTCCACCCTCGCGAGACAAAAATCTACTTTCCCGCACCTGTATCGTAATGTACTATTTCCGAACACTGCGCGCAAAGTGATAACTATGCGCCCTCTTAGCAAGGGAGCACAGAACCACGTGGGTAGCCTGATTGGAGTTTCACGAATGCGCAGAAGCTGTATGCTGCAACTGAGCGCGAACCTCACCGGGCCCCAGAGAGTAAATTGCTTCGCGCCTGCGTGATGCGCCTGTTACCGCTTTCGGCTGCGCCTTGACCGACAAATATGATGCACCACACGTATAGACGCGACAAACTTTAATTTTAGATAGACAATGAGATTTCTGTGTCGCCTGCTGAGGGCGCAGCACCACCGCTTTACGGAGGTGTGCGGAAAAGTTGTGTATGCACCACGGGAGGTCAGTAGGCAAATAATATACTGTGTGAAACGCAACATCGCACGATGCGTTCATTGTTATTGTGTTCTCTTGGTGCATAATGTACTAATTTTACGATGAGTCTTTCCGTGAACCTTTCAGATACTTATATTAACGTTGGTAACGGCTTTTTGAACTAGACGTTATAAAAAATCGGACAAATATACAACCAAACACGAATGAAAACGGCACGGCTGCAGGGATACGTATAATTGGAGTATGCAATACAAGCGCATTGTGCAACATGTCTAACATGCAAATATATAATTATTTGAGACGCCATTTTACCTATTTCATTTATGTTTTTTATTTAAGGCTAATTTGCTTCAGAGAAACAGTATTCATTTTGTTATTACTAATAATGAAAAAATCAAAAAGCATTATTACCCCTAATAAAGGAAAATGAACAAAGTAATGTTCAAATGGTTTCTCAAATAATTATGTTTGATTATTAAGCATGCAACGCAACGACTCGGCTATCTAGTCTGTTGGTCACGGGTAAATAAAGCTGATGTACTAGCGAAGCCTAGACGGGAGGAGCGAGTTAAGCAAACCGATCAGCGAGGGTACGTTGGCGCACAAGCAAAATTGAGCCATTTTTTAGTGCAACTACGATAAGAGAGAGGCAGTGGCGATCATAAAGAAACATCGGATATCATCACTGACTCAACTTGTCTGTGCGAAGAACCAGGGAAATTCCGAAATTGAGCCACGTGTCGCTCAAGCCTTCTGTTACACAACGGCGTTAAGCCAAGGCTAACATTGTTTTTCCTCGACGGTACTCAGTTCTAGTTGTTTGACCTTTGTGGAAATATCGGTGGGTCACTCTTCTTTATCTCTATATGTCTGTGATTTGTTTACGTCGTCCACGAGGCGTTGCACCGTACTTGTACTGCACATCAGCTGCACATTCGCTGCTTGCTTGCTTACCGGAATAGCGAGTGGAAATCAGGTACCTCTCTCTCTCTCTCTTTTTCCCTCTCTCTCTCTCTCTCTCTCTCTCTCTCTCTCTCCCAGTTACAGGGTGTTAAATGAATTTTTCGGAGAGAAAACTAGAAGTTTTACATATTTTGTCTTTTCCTCCTATCTTCTCCTGTATCTTAAAAAGTGACGAGTCGCCGACATCCAGCGTTATGATTGGTCGATGCTAAAATAGGGCCCGAAATTTTTGATTTTCGTATAATTTGAAATATTTTTATTGTATATCTAGGAGTGTACGATTTATATTTCAGTTGAAAATTCAAGTTATGAATAATGAATATGGATAACAATTTGCAAGAATTGAAATATACAATTAATAAATCGTTTTAAGAACAAAAGACGTTACGTTTTAAAATTATCAGTACTAATTGTTAACTTTATAACCACCTGTGATACTGAAATTAATATTGTATTAAAATTTGATTGAACGCGAAAGAAGATGGATAGAATAAAATAGAGGAAAATACATTTTTCTCTTTTGTACAATGTAAGTAAGAGGTATGGAAAGGACGGAAACTAATTATCAAAATATCAGACCCGTTTAATTTAAAGAATATTCACGGGTATTTTCAACGAGGCAACAAAAAACACACGATGTTAAATGTGTTACTCATACATTAGTTATTTATAAGTTTCGAACCATAAATACTACTACTGATTACGTAAAGTTTAATGATGCATAATAGTACAATAGATTTATCAATCATGAATTGAATTAATCTCTTGGATAATTTTGCCATAATATCTTGAAATAAGTAAAAGTTCATTGGTTTTTTGGGAAAAAATGGGTGAAAGTTCTATTTTTATTTCATTAGATTCTCCAATTTGGCATGTAAAAGGTTCAAACAATGTAATACATAACAGAAAAACATGAAAAAAAAGAGTACGCGAGGCGCACTAAGGCCCCGGTCCCATAGGTACGTACGGATGCGGACGGATACGGACGCGAATCGCAACTCTAGTAACATCACTAAAAATATCTAGTTCGATTATTTAGTACCAACACTACCGGTAGTGAGCAAAAGTGACTGTTGTTTAAAACTGTAGCGCCGAACGTACCAAATTTAATGAACGCCTATCTGACCTTTACATTATTGCAGTCTATAAGATGGCAAATGATAGAGAATTGATAGACTTTCAACTACAATTAGTGGAATTAGGCCTTAATTTTATGGAAGTACTTGAATATATGAGAAGAAGAAGAAAATATATATAAATGATATGTATTAATCATCCCAAAAACTTTTTTTACATTAGCATACTCATCAATAAGCAATATTCATGAAAATTTGAAAAGTAAATTGTAGACCTGACATTTGAACATTAAATGTGGTACGTTCGGCGCTACAGTTTTAAAAAACAGTCACTTTTACTCACTACCGGTAGTGTTGGTAATAAATAATCGAACTAGATATTTTTAGTGACGTTACTACAGTTGCGATTCGCGTCCGTATCCGTCCGCATCCGTACGTACCTATGGCACCGGGGTCTAATAACACTAGTTTATCTGAAAAACTGACGAATCACCAACATCCAGAGTTGTAATTGGTTGATACGAAAAAAAAACGCGAAGTTTTGAAATAATTGTATTATATATCTAGGGATGTGAGAGTTATATTTCAACAGAGAATTCGATTTATAAATAATTAATATGGATAATAGTCTGCAAAAAGAAGGTAAAAATTAATTTATTTAATAATAGTTAAATGGTTACATTATAATAAGTATCAATTGAAATTGGAATCTTCTTAGCCATGTTTGGTGATTTAAAATAAGCATTGGTTCCTTCAGAATGCGCCAAGCTTATTAGAATGTACCTGAGGAATCGTTAATTTCTCACATTTTCCACTTTGCGTATAAATTTTGTCAACGACAAAAGCTGAAAAATGCAACTAATGCATCGAAAACCATACCATAATAAGCCGAGTCATCGATTGAATCAGCACCACTTTTCTAAAGAGCCATACTACAGCCTAGGCGCGTGATATCGAGTTTCGGCTGGAAGTAAACAAAACTGTTACTCAACCAAATTGGAATAAATTCTAGAACAGAATGGGAAACGGACACGGCGCACGTTGTTAGGAATAAGTAAATATTGCAAGAAATTGATTGTCGAGGAATGAGAATGAGATATGGAGTGCGCCATTAATGAATAAATGGGTTGTTATTTATCGATAGCTATATAAAAAATTAAGTAAACGTGAAAAATTAATATATTTTGGTATTTATTATTTATTATTTATTTTTTATGAGCTCGGTATTTTCATAGCTACAGGTTACATATTTGATGATATTTGTAGATTTTTTAATTCGGAGTAACCCAAATGAGCACTGGCTGTATGACAGATTTTCAAGTATTCAAGTACAGCTAGTTTGAGATATGACAGTTGGTTGCCTTTCAGCTCGCTCTCTCGAATTAGTCAGCATAGTTTTTAGAGACAGTCGGCGATGTACAAGGTGCGTGAGCCGTTGTGCGTTTATGAACCGGCAAATTCGGCCTAACTACAAGAAAATTACGAGTGTAATAGTCGTTGAGTGACGCGATAGTCATTGTCGCGCAAGAACAAAACTATGTGCGGTGTGTTTTCAAGATGTGATTGGCAGCGATTCATTTTTTGGAGAAATGCGAAAACAAACCGTTTCAAGTTTCGACGGCCGAGTTTCAGTTATAAGTTTATGCTAGCTGTGCTGGTTTTGTGTACGTTTCTCTTCACTGTTTACTTGATGTCAGCTACAGCTCTCAATTATCTATATCCTGATCAGCTACACCAAAATTTCAGTTTCAATGGTACTTCATTTGGTAAGTAAAGTATAGACGAATTCACTTTGTTCCTAATGCAGATAAGCTTACTTTTCGAGGCGAGGCGAATAGATTGTGTTAGCGATTAGATAAAATATTGACACAAGACTGCTTGGTCTTCACATTGACATGGCTTCGGTCACAATATTTTGTCTAATTTTATATCATATCTGTTCTTAAAATATCGAATTCGTTGATTTAAAAGCATATTAGAAGTTTGTATGTACGTTAAATAAAATCAACTGAAACGCTATTATTTATACTACATGTCCCGAAGAGTAGGCTTAGATCGGTTCGTAATTTAATTCTAGAACTTATTTAAATAGAAACAATGAAAGGCTATCTTGTATGGAACTCGAAGTGCCACATGCTTTCAATGAATCCGCACGACCCGTCTATCAAAAATTTTGTGAAAACAGAAAAATTTGAGCCATGTTCAACGAAGTTAAGGATCACGAAGATCAGCAGGCAGGCCAATGGAAGTATGTTTCTCAGGATTGATCAGGATGCGGCCAAGAGCTACGGAAAATGGTCGTGCTGCTGGTCAATTATCAGTAGGCCTAAGGCAATGAAAGAACTTGATTACGATATTGATTCTAAGATTAGGTGAAGCAATTTAATACCGAATTTCATACTTGATAAACTATAAAGAACATTTTTTGTTGATTTCAATAAATGTCATAGCAACTTTTTGTTAATTTAAACAGTATAGGGAAGTGTCGTAATTTTGAGGATCGCGTACTCTTAGACGTCAGTGTAGAGGCAGTTTACACTCGTTGCTGGACTTTAAGACAAGGACCTTATAAAAATATTCATGCTGTGATAAACCCGAATCGCGTAGACTATCGAATGCACAAGCGTATCCTACCAGCCGAACTTAGACCGAACAAGAATAGTATAAATAGGACGACATATCGAAAGCCTCTGAGCGTTCTTATGCTCGGACTCGACAGCGTGTCTCGGCTGAATTTCTACCGCACGATGCCCGCGACCCGAGCCTACTTCGAGGACCGAGGCTGGACCGAGTTGCGCGGCTACAACAAGATGGGCGACAACACCTTTCCGAATCTCATGGCCCTGCTCACCGGTCAGAATCAGACTTGGGCCTACGCCAAGTGCAGGCCCAAGGCCCTCTACGGCTTGGACAACTGCTCGATGATCTGGTACAACTTCAGGGAGGCCGGCTACGCCACTGCCTACGCCGAGGACCACGCGCAGATCAGCACCTTCAACTACCTCAAGGTTAATATTTTTATACAATATTTTGCTTATTCTACTTTTCACGACACGCAATTATGATAAATGAGCTTTATTTGCTAAAATATTAATCTCGTTTTGCAGGTCGGTTTCGTGAAGCCACCGACGGACTACTACTTGCGGCCCTACATATTGGCTTCTGAAAAGTTACTACCAGGTCGACAGCGCTTCTACACTCAGTATTGCACGGGTCCCGAGCTCAGTGTCGATCGAATCTTCAATGCCGCGCTCGATTTCTCTGAAGCTTTCGTTGGCCGCCCATCATTTGGTTTCTTCTGGAGCAACACCATCAGCCACGAAACCGTGAACGGGCCGTCGCTCTACGACGCCAGATTTCTGGCCAAGCTGCGAGCGATGGAGGACGCTGGGGTGATGAACGACAGCATGATAGTGATGCTGAGCGACCACGGGATGCGTTACGGCGACATTCGCGACACGTTCGTAGGATGGTACGAGGAGCGGCTGCCCTTCGTCTACATCTGGCTGCCGGAGTGGTTCCGCGAGCAGAACCCCGAGTCCTCGCAGGCGTTGCGCGTCAATCAGAATCGCCTGAGCTCTCCTTACGATCTGTACGAGACCCTGCGGGACGTGCTGCAGCGGGCGGGTGGCCAGGCGCCGGCGAGCACCGGCTGCCCCCGCTGCTCCTCGCTCATGAAGCCGTTGCCGCGCGAGAGGGGCTGCAAGGAGGCCGGCATCGCGCCTCACTGGTGCACCTGCGCGGCCTTCGAGCCGATCAGCAGCTCCGACAGCGTGGTCGTCGAGGGCGCGAACAAGTTCGTCGATCACATGGAGAACATCGTGAAACAGTATAAGAATAAGAATGGTAATCGAGTCTGTTCGCAGCCCAGACTCAAGCGCATCATCAGAGTGAAGAAGATGCTGGACCTCGAGGGCGATCCCCAAGGCAAGACGCTGAAGCTGTTCTACTTGCTGGAGGTGACGCCGGGCGGCGGCAAGTTCGAGACTACGATGACCTACAACGGTCCGGGCAACTACACGATTCGCGATGAAGAAGTCAGTCGAATCAATCTCTACGGTCACAGTGCCAAGTGTCTTAGGGAGGGCTTCAAGCAGTATTGCCATTGCGGCTCCTGGTACAATATAGTAGATTTTTTATTTGGTTGATGATGAACCATAAGCAATCGAGCTGTTCCGGTTCTGAACAAAATATTCGATCGTCAAATGACTACATTTTCCTCGACATCTGTATTTTAACCATGTACTTGACTAGTAATTATAGTTCAACAAAAGTCACTTACTAAACTGAGACACTCAACAAGGATTAAAAGACTCTAACTAAGATATTGGAACCTTCATAAACGTAGTATATTCGAATATGAAAATGTAATTTCAAATTATGAACTGTTTTGTTTTGGAATCTTTTATTATACTTTTTAATTTCTTTTGGTTATGTAACAGGATTTCATTTTAATTCAGAATTTTATCAACCGTCGAATCTATCGAACCTATAAATCTTAGCAAAAATGACGACTAACGCCTGTCTGAATGCAGCAGGTTAAAGGCCATGAAAACAAATATTTGCTTTATTTATTGTAAAGATTGGAGAAATAAATTTGTTTTTTAAATCGTAAAATTGTATAGGATCTTAGTTTTCTTCCGACAATTTTATAGGTTTGACAGCTAGTCGAATTAAAAGTGCTTGCGCGTATCGTTGCATGATATGTCCACTAGAAATCAATAATGGTAATGGGAGCGTAAACATTGCAATCACGAGAGGAAGTGGAAGCGAGAGTAAAGAATGCTTGAGCGCAACTCGCAGCACGGAGTGCTAGATTTTTCGCGTAGAGATCAAACGAAGATTATTTCGATATTACTTTTGACGTCTACCTAGAGATCTGGCATATTCGCTCCCTCTGGTTTCGAAAAGTATTTTCCCCTACGTCCCGTCGGAAGTATGTCTAGAGGAGAATGAACTCGAAGAGCGAGAAGGGGTAACTGAGTCACCACACACGTGGCGCCCAGCAGTCGCGCTTTCTCTCTCTCTCTCTCTCTCTCTCTCTCTCACTCTCTCTCTCTTTGGTTGGCTGGCTCCTTGTCGAAACTTCAGAATGCCAAGCGCCGCGCCGACGCTCGACACACTCGCTAACTCTTGCAATACCACTGCTATCATTCCGGAACGCTCGTCGGCAGGCCTACGAATTGACTATAATTAAATCGTGTTTGTCCAATGGAGATTGAACATTCAGAAAATGTTAAGCAACACGACGACAGAGTCGCGAAGTGAAACGGTCGCACTGGCAATGCCGTTGCTGTTAGGAGACATGTACAAGCAGACTGTTAACTCAATTGTTGGATTGTCAATTAAAGATAGATCATTATTGAAAAAACGTTAAGCAACGCGAAACCGAGAACGCACTGCTCACACGGAGCTAATATATGCGATCTGTGCGCTTGCCGTAACTCGATATAGTCCGATAAAGTGCCAAGCAACCGTATCATTGGAAGTTAGCCAAACAGCCAAATGTCAGTTGACGCGCAGTCCGGATCAGCGATGCTGAGCAGCGCGTACACTGTTCGGGTGTCGCCGTTCGATCGACCAAAGTATGAAGAGTGCGCCCCGAAGTATTTTATGTTGAGGAACACTTAATACAAATAACAGCGAGATGAGATGACACGGTGTGCCGTGACCAGTGCACGGAAATTATTGAGGCCCCAGAAAGTCGAAAAATATGTGGATTGTTTGGAAGCTATCCAAGGGATTGCGGCTCAGTCGTATGCTGCAGAGCTTTACACTTCTGCTAATGTTGTGCGTATTTGCCTTCACTTATTTCTACTATACCACAGATGAGCGATCGGATTACCAACATTATCAATACTTAACACGGAACCTCCATAACAGTTCCGTCGGTAAGCTATAAGTTACAATTATCTTTTAAAGATATTCTTTTTAAACTCTTTCGCATTAAATTTTGTTGACTGCGCGGTACAAATAATAAAATTGTAATATATTAATATTACTTTCTTAATATATTATAGCCTTACATTAAGTTTATCAAAAGACTTTTCTGGAAGAATTTAGTATAAACGTCATATCGCCTGCCTATGCTATTTGTGCTTACAATCGATTGCTTCCGCTGCAGAAAGCTGTCAGCGTTGTGAAAAAAAAATTCGTTTGATCAAGGACACTACTAAACCCCTAACAAAACAATAAGTATTTGATCCGTAGAAATGAACGCAGGTTACCTCGTGTGGAACTCGAAATGCCACATGCTCTCGGTGAACCCATACGATCCGTCCATCAGGCAGTTCGTGAAAAAGGAAACATTCGAACCATGTTCAACGAAGCCAAAACTCACTACTATTAACAGACAGGCCAACGGAAGTATTCATCTGACGGTAGACCAGGATGCTGCCAAGAGATATGTGAAATTGTCATGCTGTTGGGCAGCCATCAGCAGGCCGACGACAGCGAATGAATTCTTCCTCGATATGGATTCGAGAATAAGGTACAATCTTTGCAGAAAACGTAGAAAATATGTTTCGAAAGCTTGCTAGACAATTCTAATGGACGTTGGCATTTTTCAGTGCAGGACCGTGTCAAGATTTCAAAGATCGAGTTGTTCTGGACAAAAAAGATGTACAAGTTTTGCTGGTCACCTGTCGCGACGGCAAAGCTAAGGTGATTTACAAGAACACTCATTCCGTGATAAATCCCAAACGTGCCCGTCAGCGACTACTGAACAAGTCGAGTAGTTCATCGATGAAGAATAAAAAGGCCCTCAGCGTGCTCATGCTTGGACTGGACAGCGTGTCACGTCTCAACTTTCACCGTACTATGCCCGCAGCCTGCGCCTACTTCGCAGAACGAGGGTGGATCGAGCTGCGTGGTTATAACAAGATGGGCGACAATACTTTTCCAAATCTCATGGCGATATTGACAGGACAAAATGAGACTACATCCAACTTGAGATGTGATGCGAAACTGCCTTATACGCTGGATCATTGTCCGATGATTTGGTATAACTTCAGAGACGTCGGCTATGCCACTGCCTATGCCGAGGACCAGGCAGGCATCAGTACTTTCAACAACGTCAAGGTAAATTCTTGGTAAATATATGCAATTCAGATATCATTTGAGCAGCTGATAAAGAATGGTTGGCCATTTTCTTTGCAGGCTGGATTCATGAAGCCACCGACGGACTACTACTTGCGGCCCTACATCTTGGCCTCGGAGAAACTGCTACCAACTCGACAACGCTTCAATTGCAAGCACTGCACCGGTCCAGAGCTCAGCGTCGATCGAATCTTCAACGCAGCGCTTGATTTCTCCGAAGCTTTCGTTGGCCGTCCATCCTTTGGTTTCTTCTGGAGCAACAGCATCAGCCACGAGAGCATGAACGGGCCATCGCTCTACGACGCCAGATTCGTGGCCAAGCTACGTGCGATGGACGACGCTGGAGTGATGAACGATAGCATGGTAGTGGTGCTGAGCGACCACGGCATGCGCTACGGTGACATACGCGACACATTCGTCGGCTGGTACGAGGAGCGGCTACCCTTCTTCTACATTTGGCTGCCAGAGTGGTTCCGGCGACGGAATCCCGATGCTTATGCTGCCTTACTTGTCAATCAAGATCGCCTTACTTCGCCTTACGACGTATACGAGACTCTAAGGGATGTGTTGCAGAGAGCTGGTGGTCAAGCACCGATCAGCACTGGCTGCCCTCTATGTTCTAGTTTATTTAAGCCAACTTCCATGGAGAGGGGCTGTAGAGATGCTGGCATCTCACCACATTGGTGTACATGTGTCGGGTTTGAGTCCTACAATAAGTCCGATCCGATTGTCTCTGAAGGAGCCAGTCAGTTCGTCGAATACGTCAATAATCTCACCGAACGTTACAAGACTAGCCTCGGACTAAGGCTGTGCTCGATACTCTCGCTCAAACGTATTATCAGAGTTAAAAAGTTACTTGACTACGATAATCTTCGACCTACCGATAAAGTGCTTAAGCTTTTTTATTTGTTAGAATTGACGCCTGGAGGCGGTAAATTTGAAATTACTATGGATTATCGTCCTCCGGGTATACACATAATACGAGAGGAACAAGTTAGTCGCATAAATCTCTACGGACACGATGCCATATGCCTTGATAAAGGTTACAAAAAGTATTGCCAGTGTCGTATCAACATAGCTCATTCTATATTGAAATGGTTTTAGTCGATCAATTCGACACGATCATTGAGGCTTTTATTATTCGTTAAATCTATGCGACAATAGTTACTTTACGAAACTTGCAAATAAAACAATTCATTTATTAATCATCGATATCGTGTAATATTGTCACTTCATTAGCAATCCGACAAAAATTAAGCTTATGTAAATAACTAACTGACGATTCTATCGACGGATCCTATCAATAAACATATGCTTCATGAAATTGCAAAGCACTAAACTGTGATTAATAATTTATGATGGGAAGCAATGAATACGTTTATTGACAAAAAACTAGTCTTCTCTATGTCTGAGTCAGCTCAATAATACAAAGTAAATAGAACTAATTTCGATTTAAAAGTGTCTTTATTCAAATAGAATTATTCACATTCAATTCCATAATCATTATTACAATGTTTCGATTTAGGGACGGATTTATATTAACATTGCACATCATCTTATTTATAATCGAATAAAATCAATTTTTTTGTTTTATGTTGTCTTCGTTAATTACTTTCTTTAATATAAAAATATAGTCGTGAAAAACTATCAATTTGTTGTCGTAAGCTCTGTATTTTTCGTACAGATTCATGGTTTAAATTGGTGAAACAAAATAGCACAATATAACAAAGCTTTACGATTCAATAAATATTTTTAAGTGGAGTTTTCGATTCGAATTGTTTGCTAAAATTTAACAGTTAAATAAACCAATAACCCAATCTTCGTTAAAAAGATTCAGATTCTTTACAACTGAAGTATAATTAAAATATTGTTCGCTGCTAAACAGATCAAATGGCTGCTTATATTTTGACATGGCAAAATCCTCGTATCACTTCCCTTGTCAGCTGCTACGAAAATGGGAAATGCAAACGAGATCTATTCGGCCCGATTGTCTTCAGTTGAGCGTCAGAGTGTTCTTCTCGCCTGTTCCCTTTTGGACGAGTCGGTACAGTTAGTCGAGGTGGATGATCGTCGGTCATTGCTGTGGCTCGAAGTGCCAAGCACCATCGCAGTCATCGGCTTACCGGTCTTTCTAACTGCTCCCGCGGCTCGACTGGTCGCTGCGGCATGGCGCCGAGCCAGGAAGGTGTCGAGGACCCTGATGCTCTCGCAAAGGCCGTTGATATCGCAGCCGGTGGCCGACTGAGCGACGATCTTCGTGGGAGTGGCGCCGATGGGCGTATTGGCCAGCGTGTCGGGTCCCAGAACGCTGGTCGTCTCGGAGATGACATCCAAGCTGTCGAGGTGCAGCCTGTCGGAACTGTCGCAGGCGCTGAGGCTGGAGATATTGGTAGCGCGACTGTCCCTCGAACAGACGGAGAGCTTGCAAGAGCTGGAGCAGCTGGCGAGCGAGCTCGGCGCCGAATCAGAGCTCGCGACGTTGGCGTACCAGGCCGGCCGGACGGAGGCCGAGTCGTCGGCGCTAGTCGAGTCGGCCCTCGGGTCGAGCGCCGCGGCGGCGGGGCGGGCGTTGATGGCGCAGCCACAGGCCCCCTGGCAGGAGCAGCTCGAGTGGACGGGCCGCCGCTCGGCCGCCTCCGGCTCAGGCTCGTCCGCGGCCCCGGGCCCCTCGACCCCGCGTCTTCGGCGGAGTCGGCCGGCGGCCGCGCAGCAGCTGGCGGCGCACGCGGGCCTCGTGCATGCTGAGGCAGCGCTCGACAGCGTCGACTGCGGCAGGATAATCGGAGGGACTCGATGAGAAGGCGGCGCCAGCAGCGAGTGCGCCGCCGAATACGCACCGAGAGCGGACTCGTCCGCCCCGTCCGTCTCGGCCGTGGCGGCCGCCACCGCCGAGGTCGACGTGGCCGTCGCCGCTAGCGTCGCGTCGCGCTCGGCCGAGGCGGCTCGCGAGGTCGGCAGAGAGCGGCACTCGCGTTGTCGACCTCGCCGCCCTCCGCTGCACTCGGGCCTGCATCTTCGTGCACCGCAGACCGCCGCTGGCGACCCGGGGCTAGCGCCTGCCGGATGAGTCGCAGCTCCGCCTGCCAAAGCCGTCGAATGAGACTCGCATGACGGACGTTGTTTCGTAACGGCGGACGCGGGCTACTCGCTATTGGCATATATGGCTTTCGAGTGACGCAATTGCACCCTTTGAGTGCTTCTAATACCGGCTTCTCGACATGTTCCGCAGTGTCAATTGACTCGTTACTTACTAGGACCCGGAAGGTCGTTCGCCGTTGCGAAGCTGAGTGGTCGCGAAAGAGTTCCCGGTGGAGTGACGTAGGCTGGCGGCGGACTCTCGGGCGTTGAAATCGATTGTTCGCTCAAGTCGGCAGCGTGGGCCATCGGCAGCTCGCTGCGGTTGGTCGCGGTCGGGTCTTCGTAAATGTCGAGCGTGAGCTGCGGCTCGCAGTCGCATCTACAAAAGAATCGGTCGGTCGGTCGGTCGGTCGAGCGCTGAGTTTCAGTGACGACAGGCGAGCAGCACTCACGAGCACTGACTGGGTGGTATGCTCCTACTCCTCCTGCCGTCCCGCGGGCTGCGCTGCTTCTTCCTTCTGCTCGAGCCAGCTTCGTCCTCCATGCCGATCTTGATGACTTCGTCGTAGTTGGGCGGCGCCTCGTAGACCGGCGGGTCGTCCGCCACCGATATCTCATCGATGTGCGCACCATCTGCAAGTTCGATAACTGTCGAAATATAGAGCTCGTCAATGAGATATCGGGTACTGCTTGACTCAAGCTCGCCGGCTAACCCTACCCAGAAGCTCGCTGATGGTCCGCAGTCTGGATTGCAGCTCGCGCTGCTGCCTGGCCCTGGCGCCGACTCCATAGAGAAGGATAATGAGCGCCGATATGAGCACAATGAGCCCAAGGCTGCTGGCCACGAAAACCAGAGTGGCTGTTTTCAGATCGGGGTAGCGGTCGATCTTGGGAAAGTAATAGTTGGCCTTGTTCAGCTGCCATTTGCGGTCTGGCATATTGATCTCCCACTCGGCTGTAGGCCGACAGTAGTAACGATGAGCTTAGACTTAGAACCAGAAACGATCGCGAGCTCGTTTACCATGCAAGCAGGTCGCTGGTTCGTCGCTGTTATCGCCGCAATGGTCGAAGCCGTCGCAGTTCAGTTGACTCGAGATGCAGCGGTGGTTTTGACACAGGAAGTCCGTGCCGGTGAAGCAATCTGCAGTCAATCGGAGTTAACTTGGCGAGGGCGAGGGCGAAGAATCGCTACGAGCAATTGGCTTACCCATGTAGCTGAAAGTCGCGTAAGAGATGGCCAGTCTGGAGTTGGGCCCGAAGCTGCCGCGAAAGCTCACGTGGAATCCACTGGTCACGGGGGTCACGTGCTCCCGCATCTTTGGCGGCTGCAGCTGACTGACCGGATGACGCAGCACCTCCAGTGGCATTAGGGCCGACGTTGGTCCTTGCTTGATTATGAGCTCGGTGTTTCCCGCTGATCGAGCGTCAAAATAGCAAACGCGGATGAGGTCGAGTCGGGCGAGATCCTGGCGGTCGGCTCGCCTTTGCTTACCCATGTCGGCGAAGGTGATGACTTTGAGGTACATGTGCGTCTTCGCGTGTATGAAGTTCTTGGGTGGTCGAATGAGCCAGACGCAGTCGTAGGTTTGGACGCCCTCGCCTACCATGTCCATCATGGTGATAGCGCCGCCCAGGTTCTCCACGTAGCCGCCGCAGTCGGTGATGGGCTGGCTGTGGCTGTCGTGCGCGAGCACCGGGACAAACGAGTAGAAGGCCTTGTAGCCGAGACCCGTGCCGCCGTTTGCGTAGAATCTGATCAGCAGCGACGGTCCCGTGGACACGATTATCGGAGGTCGGAAGCGGGCCCCGCTGCTCACGTCCAATCTCTGCCCATTCCAGTCGTAGAACTGTCACAGTTGTTTCAGCCTTAATCTTCGGTCCTTTCCGTAGGCCCGCGTGGCCTCCACTGCACTACCGCCCTCGCTTACCTCCATGATGGACACCGGAGCAAGCTGAAAGTCACTGAACAGCACTCTCACCTGACACGATGGAGCTTCGCTTGGACAGGCGATAATGTACTCCATGCCAAGATCGCGGGGGTAACGCAACGGGAAGAACGGCGAGGTCAAGACTCCACCGCCGCTATTGTTCATGGATTTGGACATGTCGCTTACGCTGTTCGAGCCCTTCAGCAGCAGTCGGTTCCCTACAAAATGTCAGCCACCATAACGATGACGATCGAAACCTCTTAATTATCCTCAATCCTCGAGCGCGTACTTTCAGCCGTGTACTCCAGACTGAAGGCGTGCTCGTGAGACTGGCTGTAAAGCAGAACGATGGACAGTGTCCTCGTGTTGGAGCGGTAGGTTATTGGCGCGTAGTGGCCGCAAAATGGTGTGCCGGACACATCCTCGTAGGGTGGTTCCGATATCCACACGTAGTCGCACCTTTTTGTTTTGACAAAGCGATTAGTGGGATTTTCGGTCTAGCTCGATGGGGCACGCGCAGTAAGGCGTGGGGAGCACCTGCAAGGGCTGTCGACGGTCATTCCACCATCGCCGCAGTGATGTAAAAGGCTAATGCTTTTGAAGGTGACGGTGATGACGCAGGAGGGGCAGGTGACCAACTCAAGGCTGCACTGATCGTGGCTGCTGTTGCTGGTGGCGTAGGGCCTCGACGCGTCTTGCTGCGGCGAGTTCTTGACGAACGTCACGTTGTCGGCGCTCAAGACGCCTTGTTCCCCGAGCTCGAGGTAGAGCCGTCGGCCGTTGTGCGGTCCGCATATGTCCTCGTTGCGGATCACGTCGCCAGCGCCCACCCAGGCCCACAGGCACGCAACCATCACGGCGCACACCTGCATTCTCGTTCTTGATCTTGCCGCTGCGTTGACAAGCGCACGCCCATTGACGCGACTACGTTCGTGAGAACCTATTGAAACCTTATACGCGACGGATAAGGCGATTGCTTCCTGCACAAATCTTCCTATCTTTGGCCTAAATTCAGATGCAAATATGTCTTATTCGGGCGTTCAATTTTTTCTTTTGTCGATCGCGACAGCCTGACAAGACTACCGCTGCTCTTCAGTAGTTGAACAATGCTGAATCACCAGTGCACTCGATTGAACTTAATAATCAGGTCACATTACGGATGATTGACTAGCGGCGCGTTCAAAGCGAGAGTTCTCAATCCGATTGAAATATTGTAATTACGGCAAATGGATTTCGGAGCGTATACCATGCTGCACTGGTAATTCCGTGAAAAAAGTAACCGTCCGAAAGATACTCGAGATAATCTTGAGGCGATAACTCGTTAACAAGCGTTAATAATTAGCAATGGCAACTCACCATGTCGCCGGAGCAATCGGCACATATTCGCCGACTGGCCCGTGCCGGCTGGCTGCCTCGAGAAACCCGTCTGGCCGGCGCTAACTTGCTTAGCTTCGGCGCCGCTCGGTGCGGTACAGTTTATGTTACGTAGCGCGTCGTTCGCGACTACCCCCTCGCAAGTACGGATAAGCGCACATCTACGGCATCGCCCGACGGACGACTTATTGGACTGGACGTACACTTGATTTTCCGGCGACCGTGCGGGGAAATCAATCTCGAACCCGAGCGCATACTCTTCGGAATATTTTTCCTTTATTTTTCAATATTACAATCGCTGAGGCGAGCTACAAGAATATACGCATAACGTAAGTGTATTTCACTGTAATACTGGTCCACAGGCGAATATGTATATCGCGTATCCATGACCTTTCATTTGTTCAACATAATTGTTCAGTAACAAGATTGCCGGAGTGACAGGTGCTCGATGCTCGTGGCTAGGTATCCTTAATAACCGAAAGGCCTGCGCGTTCGCAAGCTTGAAACAATAACGTGAAAATGACCTATGTGCGTTGCTAACTATCGTGTACACTGACACCTTTTCGATTACCTCAGCTTCTACAGTAACAATCGATTATCAATGCGAACATTATCCCGAGCGAACGGCGAACGAGGATTACGTAATTGCAAAGTGACCTTCAACTTTTTCTCTTGTTATGCCTGGAAGTTACGTTAGCAAGAAGAGACTTTATGTTCATTATATATTTTTTGTAGTTACAATCGATACCGCCGTTAACGATACACTGATAATCTTTACGCTACAGCGTCGTCATAGTTCATCAAATTGAAGTAGACACGATCGTTTATATCTCAAACTCTACTATTATATTATAATTATATATATTACAATGGTGCATTGTCGCAAGAACAAGCTTACTTGTACTTTCCCGACTACTTTAAAATGCAATAACAGCTCTGTAACGTACAGGTTTTATTGTCTCCGACTGACCCTTTGTCTTGCATAAAATAGTAAGTCGTGTCAGTGTACGTTTAAAATAACCAAAGAATTATCTTAATGTGTATTTACAGATAAAAAAATAATATGGCTAGTATTAAAACTGTTTTACAACAACGAGATCTAGTAAAGTAAAGGATTAATTAAAGTACTACTGTAAGCTCCATAAAATATCTGTAAATATTAAGTGTGTCTTGAACATTGTACTTGACGTTGCAGGTAATTTAACTTCTCTTAAAACAATAACTGACTTTTTACATCGAACGATTGATTGTCTTAAATAATAACAAAAAGTGGACAAGTGCGAACACCGAAGAAATACTCGTAACGTACAAAAAGTTGATTACCAATTGAAGGCCATATTTATCACAGAAATTACTCGTGCATCAATTAGTATTTCCAAATATAGATCTCTTTGTAACGATAGGGAGAAAATAAAATTCAAGCTATTCGAAAATCTTTATACATTTCGAGTATTTTGGGACAAAACAATGATAAACGACGATAAGCGGCGCGCTAACTCTTGTACTCGCGATTGATCTGCTGGAGAAAGATGAAAGCAACGGCCAGTAGCATTGATCCGCTGAGGTCTCCCAAAGCGGTAAGGTAAGGGATGGCCGAGTTGTCAGGATCGATCTTGTATTTCCACATCACGTGGATCATAATGTGCGCGACGTAGAGCAGCAGCATCACCTGCGCGAGGAGAAAATGATGAGTGCATCGACATCCACCAATCGCGGTGCTCGTGTGTACTTTACCTGCAGGACGGCGACAGTCAAATAAGATAGCATAAAGTAAATGTGTATCGTCGAGCGGCCCCATTGTATGTAATCGGCTGCGAAGGAAAATGCCACGTGCCCGGGAATCGACATGGCGATTAGAAGTCGCGCCGTATTCGCGGACGGCTCTGAAAGCAGAACGGTCGTATCAGTCCCTCTGGGCTAGGCAGCGCCCGTGTCGAGCATTCGGATTAACGACGCTGCAGAAGATAAGCTACCCCCGCGGAAGAGCGCCGTCCACGGCGAGACCCAGGTTCTGGTCCACGGAGGCAGGATACCGATGAGCGTCGACTGATGCAGCATCGTCGAGATTCTGGACGCTTGAACGGAGACCAGATTACCGCCGATCCCGTTGATGATCGGCTGGAAGATGACGAATCCGTTGAGCCGGTCGATCGCTTGATCCAAGATCAGACCACCTAGCCTGCAATGCGCATGTTTGGCTTGCGAACATTAAATGCGCGCGGATGATTTCTGCGGCCGTGTTGAAACGGCGATCGCGTCTTATCTGGTTGCTCGAATAATGCAATGGAATGCGACGCGAGCGCCGTGTTTGCGCCGACGAACAATAAGCCCCGGGGCAACTTACCCGCTGATGAAGAGGGCAGTTATAACCGGCGTCCAGCCGGAAGTCAGCACGTTCCTCGTGTATTTGTTCTTCAGCACGATGCAAATCCAGATGGGCAGCAGGACGAGGTAGGCGACCACTATCGCGTACAGGATCCAGATGTCGTTGGCCAGATAGAGGTAGAGCTGCGAGGCGATCGCCGACAGCACGCTCACCGACACCACGTCGCCGATAGACGCGGCCAGCGGGGTCGCCAGATTGTCCGGATTCATCTTCGTCCGATGCGCGCCCATAATCACCGCGATCATGGCGAAGTCTGCAACGCGAATGGACCGGTCATTGTTCACCGCGCAAGCCAATCGGCCGGCCGACCACCTCCCGTCGGATCGTCCTACCCAGAATGAAGCAGGAGCTGGTGGCGGTGCAGATACTCGAGGCCATCAACAGGAGCATGCTGTTCCAGGAGAACTGCCCGTCCATGGCGGCGCCGACCGCGGTGGCGAAGAACGCCACGAGGGTGGCCGCGACGATCGCTTGGACCTGCACCAGGGCGATGTTGCCGATTATCATTTTGCAGATCTCGCGGTAGGTCTTCATGTTGCCGAGGTTCGCCTGGGTGCTCAGCCGGGATGCCAGGCACATGTCCAGATTGCCCTTCAGACCCAGAAGGGCTGGCACGAGGATGAAGATTTGGGACACCTCCTCGAATACCGGCCAGTCCTGTTGGCCGAGACAAGTCTCGAGTCAATAGCCGTTCGCGAAAATCTGGCCATCGCTCTGTTTTCCAAATAACCGCGATATCTCTGTCGATCGAATTCGGCCGAGCGTCTGGCTATGGATGCGGATCCGTCGATAAAACTATAATCCGCTAACTGATTCCGTTTATCGCGCAGCTTCAATGAGGCTGGATAAAATAAAGCTTATCGTCGAGAAAGGCGCGAGCGCGTAATTAGTTTAATTATCGGGCGCCGCGCGCGCGACGGCTCGATGCAGTTGTAATCGCGTGTACTCGTTGCCTCGTTGCCTCGCGCGCATCGAGTTTTATTGACCTGAATTCCGTGTCCACGCGACACGCGAGATTAGCCGTCATTACTGGCGCTCAAAAAGAAATTGCTCGACGAGCACATCGCGGCGAGGAACGCTCGTTGGAGTCGACACGTACCTTGACCTTGGCGAGAACGAGACCGGCGCCGATGGTCCCGATTCCCGCGATGAAGAACGGCACGGAGATCTGCAATCCGGTGTGGTACCAGGTCTCGTCGGTGATGAGTCGGCTCTTCCTCTTCTTCTTGGGTGGGTCCTCGGGGTCGCGGCGCTTGCCGGGAGGCTCGCTCGAGGGCGAGTCGGGCTCGGAGTTGGCGGCCGAGCAAATGGTCGCGATCGAGCTGCCGCTCGAGAGCGAGCCCATCTCTTGGCATTTTCCATTTGGTACCTTGCCGCTTGCGCTCGACTTAAGGCCAGCTGCAATCGTCAACGTGCGTCGTCCTCGTCATCGAAGGCGTGCGCGAGCTCGTGCTCGCCCGGCTAACCGCAGCTACGGTGCACACGCCAAGGGACTGCTCGCGCGCGCGTTATCTCCGGTATTCCGATTTCAGTGTTTAATCTCGAGCGGAAAAGTTCGTATCTAATTTGCAGACTAATCGCTCGAATGTTTAAAGAGGCGCGAGAGATCGCGAAATTGATAAAATCGAGCGGGTTCGAGAGAACGGAAAGGCGCGAGCGCGGCTTATCAGCGCGAATAGCGCGTCGTAGGTGTTTTTTTCCCCGCGTGACGACGAGTCGATTGAAGATGTAAACAAGCCGCGCATCTGGCAATTAGAATTGGTATCTGCTTTTATTGACACCGCCTGCCTGGCCGACTTGTCCAGTCGCCTTGCCGCGAGGTTGCAACACGACTGGCTTCGCGGAAAGTTCCTGGCAGTAAACCGCGCGACGCCAGACAAAGCCGCGAAATCATTCGTTCGCTTTGTTCGCCAGCTAGCCGGCCGCGCCTAGTGTCGCACTGGCGCTCAAAGGAGCAGCGACCTTCCTTACCCGCAACTTTCTTCACGATGGCCGGCTCCGCGCGGTGCACGGCCTCGGCTGTGGGTAAGTCCAATCTCGCCTTTTCCGCGGCATCGTCGAGGCCGCTGAGATCCAGGACTATGCTGTCCTTGCCGAACGACATGTTCTCTGCTTCCGCTGATGACTCCAGCTCCGTCGCGTCCAGCAGCAGCAGCAGCCTCGGTTCGCTCACCAAGGCTGGACATACGGCCGTGCCTGTGCATGGGCGAGCGTCGTCAGTTGCTGTGTCGGCGCGCATTCGAATAGTGCGCGCAGGGCGGCGACGCTTACCGTGTTCGCTGCGAGCGGAGGATGCGCTCTCCTGGAACGCCCAACAAGTCTCGCGCGGGATCAACCTGCGGCAGCGTCTGCTCCGACGATCCGATTTCCGTCAGCTTTAGTCTGCAAGAACTGCAAAGTGATACGCGTCAATTGCCGCGCCTCTCATCACCGCGACCGCCGTCGTCTCTCTCTTTCGACGATTCGCCAGCAAGCGCCCGAGCGTTACCGATTGTTCTGCCGATGGAGTGCCCGCGGCGCACGTTCGGCTCTCGACTCGCAATCGGGTTGGCGCGAGGTTACCGCAGCCAATGCTCCGAGCGAACAAGCGCCGATCGAGATGCAGCCGGAAACCTTTGTACGCCAATCGCGGCGGAAACGCGACACCGCTCGACCACGTTCAAGCGGCTCCGGCACATCTGCTCCATTCTTCCTCTTAGCGCGAGTCCGCACGTTCTGAGATAACCAGCACGTGTCGTTCTCTTCTCTTTTCTCTGCAATGGCAGCCTTTTCGCGTCGGCTGATTCGCCGCGAGCTTAATCAGCATTGTTGCCGGCTAATTATCGAAATGACGAGCAACTTTTGCGCGACATCCTCGCGAGAGTGTATAACAGTTCGGCGGCCTTGGTCTCGAAATCAACCAGTTGGATCGCATGACGCACCTCATCTACGACGATTCGAATGCAATCGACACGACGCCGACGAGCAAGAGTTGGCCGTCGCGGAGCCTCGGACAGCGCAAATAGAAATATAAAAAAAAAAAAAGAAGCCAAACGGGTGAGCGGGTGGCCGAGCTGGCACGGAATTGCACGTGCGACGGTCGTCCAATCCGCGGCACTCGGAGGAACAACGAGGAAGAAAATAACGGGCGAGCGGCGCGGCCGAAAAAGAGGAGCGAAGAGCGCGTCGCCTGACTGACACACTTCCTCGCTGAGGGAGCGCACCTGTGCGTACGCTCCTGCCTGCTCGTCTCGAGGCGCGCGTGGGCGTTGATCGCGCCAACGACCGCGGCCCGCGGCCCGCGGCCAGGCCGTCCTTAAAGACGTCCGGCTGCGCTGCGCGCCGGTCGCGTGCCGATGCCCACCGCAGCCGCCGACGTCCGCGCGATTCGCAACGGTGGCGCGTTACGCAAGCCCTCGCGTGCCGCGTCTGTCGCGAGTGTCGCAAACGCGCCGACGAAAGCTCCGGCGGACCGTCCAGGCCTCGCGGCCCGAGGCGCCTCGCGTGCGCCGCCGACGTCACGGCCACGTTCGTTCGCGCGATTTGCGAGGCCTTGCTTGACCGCGCGCCTTTACTTATATAAAATCAAAGGCGCCGGAAACAACTGCGGAATCGTTGGAACGCTTTTGCCGCTATTTATTACATAATTACATTGGAGTCTCGTAAAAAAGGAGCGAACGGTACCCTTGCTTCTGCGTTTGTCAATTTACTCGCGGACTGTCTATTTTTACCGGAGTACGCGCACTAATCGTAGGCGAGCATTTCGCTACTGCCCCCTCCCCCCTCTCACAGACATGCATGCACCTACAGTACCCGCTTGCAAGTCTGGATCCCAAACGGAACTTTGAAAATTACAGCTCAAACTTGAACGCCACCATTCCTTTGACTAAACCAAATACACTACAATCCAATTCCTGTTTATTATTCCCCATCCAAACGCTCACTTTATTTCTGTTTAAATTCATTAGTTAGCAACTTAAATGACATACTAGTTTTCTTTTTTGAAGAATATAATTATAATGTAATTGCTTCTAAAATTTACGCAGAACGCTTAACAAGTGAAATTACTGTAAACTTAAATTCGAAATAATTAAACTAGTAAATAAGCTTCGTTGACTTGGCACCAAATGTGAAAATTACTAAAAAGATATATATCAACGTATAGGTCTTCGAATGTTCTTTAGTGTTGTAATGGTAAAACATTGTCTCTCATCGTAGTTAACGAGAAATTCAATTTCTCGCCCTCCGCTAAATCTAAAGTAAAAAATTTTGCCTATGCCAACCAAATACTCTTAACTTTCTCTTTAGATTGGTATCATCGCTTTTTAATTATCTATAGGAACTTAGTTAAAATTAATTTTTCAATATTTACCATAATAACGTACATACATAAGCGTGTACGCATACGCTAACTGTAGTCGTGTGCACGTTGCCGGCACACAGTTCAGTCGTATAAGAGAACTGAAAGGAATTGTAATGGCACAATTTTTAGTTTACAATAAATATTAGTGCAAACTCGCGCTGAAAAATGTGTCATACAATTCCTTGCAGTTTCTTTAAACGACTAAACTGTGTGCCGGCAACCTGCACACGACTACAGTTAGCGCATGCGTACATATTTTTGTATCTATGTACATTATTATGGAAAATACTGGTGCGTTAATTTTGGTCATGCTCACATAGATGATTGAAAAGTGATGATGTCAACGAAAAGAAAAAATTAAGAACATTCGATCGAGACATGAACTTATTTTTTATTAACGAAGAAAAAAAAAATTAACTTATAACGCTACTTAGCGCTTGCAGCTTAATTTAATTTCTCGTTAAAGGAGTTCTACATAAGAAGACATCGAACGTCGAACAACGAACATGGGTAGTATACTGAAATTACCGAGTTAAAAAACAAATTATTTATTTAACACCTGGGTGTGTTCGCTTGATTGCACAGGATGTGATCAATGATAAGTATAGATAGACTATATTAACATTATCGGTACAATAATATATCATGTGACTTTCCTTTTTCACCATAATAAACGTCTGGTGGCCGATGTATGTTCGGCGTTTGATGTCTCCTTATGTAGAAACTCTCTAACAGCGAGGAAAGACAATGTTTGACGATGACAACATTAAAGAGCATTGAAAGACCTATACGTTGATATATATTTTGTTATTAATTTTCACTTTTGGTGTCAAGTCAACAGAACTAGTAAATGACACCTGGTTAACGATTTCCATGGAAATATCGCTCGTGTACAGGATATATTGGGATCGCAGTGCGAAATAAAAAAGGTTTCTGCAATGTTGAACGACGATATTGAGTAACCAATAATAGTCATATCTCAATGTGCCATCAAATTTATTCCACAAAAAGCTTTCATACAATTTGCACTGCTGCAAATAATACGGTAGCGGCAATGGCGACAGTCGACACGATAGACCAAAGTAATTATTTGTCATTATTTAACGTTAATTGATCGTGAATAGCCATTCAAGGCAAATGAATACGATCGCAAATGGCAACTCGTAAAAAATTAGTATAAAGCAGAAGTCGTAAGGAACATCTCGTGGAATTGCACTGCCGTTCGCACACAAATCGCCGATCTTCTTGTTCCATTGTCGAATTTACTTTGTGCTTACTGTACGAGCGTAATGACGCGTGTTTGAGTGGTATTTTTTTTATTGGAGAGTGGCGCGATTCTGAAAGCAACGATTAATCGACACTGAGAAAAATTCAGTAAGTTTGCCCGGCGTCGGTCTTACCGGAAATTTGTTGGACGTTAGTTTTTCTGATACAGGAACCAAAAAACGAAGCAATGGCAATCGACGACGCGATGTTAGCGACTTTTACACACACAAAAATGCCCCTCTATTATGCATCGCGCTTCTCGTCGCTCAATCAAGATCGTTCGATCCGATTCACGAGATAGTCGGAGACTAATACTAATTTAATCTTGGAATTCACTTCACGACGTAGTGCATTTCCCCTTTCGATCAATCCCGCGCTTTCGGCGCATCCACATCCAATCGCGTTGTTAAAATTTGGCCAACTCGCAACCGAGCCAATTTTTTGAAGAAACAATATAAGTTTCAAGGTACAAGCACAAGCCAAATGTGCACAACGATAGTTGAACTTTTCCCGTCCGTTTTCGTGCAATCAGCGTCAAATTATAATTCATTTTTCAATTCACAGCTTTAAGTTTACCTCAAGGATGTTTATTTTCTACGATATCCTTTCTGAATACATTTTTTGTTAAATACGCAATCTGAAAAAAAAAAAAAAAATTCGTCGCGCGCAAACTTTTTTACGTGAAATAGCCTTACGAGTGTTGGGCGAGCTGTTAAAATCAATTACGTAAACGTTTACTAATCGCTTTCTTCTTGTCAGTCGATTCACGAGAGAGAGAGAGAGAGAGAGCGCAAAAAAGCGTAACACAGAACGCAGAAGGTCCGACAACGGAATGGAAAGCCGTTGATCGTACGAGAATAACCTTTCCTCACGCGGCGATCGCGACGAATCGCGCGGTGTAAATAAAATAATCACTGTTTAATTAAGTGTACATAATAGAATTCGAGATGCTCTAAATATAATACTGTTTTTGAATACTTTTACGAGACGGTAATGTAAGATGAGATGCGTATAGATTCGCTTTTACATCCCCGCTGCGGCAAGTTTATCCGCCTTGTAGTTTGGTATAATTCAAGTTACCGCGTGATCGAAAAAAAAACATTAGTAACAAAACCTAATATCTCAAGAAGATTAAATAGAAATTGGAGCGGTCGTATACTTAAATTAATATTGAACCTTGCAGCCGAGAAGCGCATGATCCGTAACTTTACGCAGACTCAAAATTTCCGGCGCCAAGCGGACGTATCGGCGATCTTACGCAAGCCGAGCGCGATTGCAAGATGCGAAATCGAAAACATTCGACCGAGCGAGCTTCGAGAATTGGACGTCCGTTGATGGTGAAGCATTAATCGTTGTTTTTCTGTTTATCTTTTGTCAACCGCGACAAGTGCGCGGACTGCGTTGACCCGAGATAAAGAGGATCGTGTCCGGGGCAAGCGCGTCGTCGTGTAAACAGCGTTGAAAAAACGAAGGCAGAAGAGGCGCGCGAGAGTTTAATCGTCGAATTTCGAAAGCCGCGAGAGAGCCAAGTGTCGCGGAATGGTTGCGCAATCGTCGCGAGAAGACGGAAGAGACAAAGAGGCGCACGAAATACTCACTGCGGAGACACATTCCGGTGAAATTGCGCCAGCGTGCCCAGCTTAGTTGGGTAGATGGAGTCCAGCCTTAAAAGCGAGCGCGGGTCAAAGGCTCGAACGGCCAACAGGGGCGAGTGCTTGTACGGACCTCTCGCGAGAGCAGCGCGATCGGTGAATACCGGGGACGCGGCGCGAGTAGTGTCTTTCGATCGGTAGGTGGACGGTGAGGCGCTCTGGTGCAGCCAGAGCCGGCCGGGCGAGAGGAGCGTAGCTGCTTGTGCCGGTGGACCGTTCGGCTCGCGCGAACGCACTTGACTGATAATCAAAGTGCCTCCGCGGAGCGTTTAGTCGGGTCGACGCGAGCGCACGTACACGCGCGCACACGGCCAGGCGCGCGCGAGTCGGTGCGGCCTGTACGTGCGCGCGTAATGGGTCGTCGGCGGCGTGAAGACGAAGACACCGCCGCGCGCGCCAAGTGCCAGCCAAAGACGACCACCCCGACGCGGTCGGCGACTCCGATCGATCGCGCTGATCGGCGCCGCCTTTCTCTCTTCCGCGCTCGGGACTCGGCGCTCCCGGCTTTTCCCGGTCGTTGCGCCGCTCAGTCTGCCTGGACTTGCATCGAGTCCGCGGTCGAGTCTACGACATTGCATCCGAAGAGGCTCGCGTAGAGTCAACCGCGAGAACGTTTCGTTGCACCGAGCTGCTCGTCGCGCCTGGCGCTATCCACGCTAGCCGCTGACGTCAGGTCGGGCGTGCAGCTCGCCTCGCGCGGACTTTTCTCCTTGTCCGATGGAAGTCCGAGGCGCGCGACACGAGCGCAGCACTCACCTCTCAGCGGATTTCTTCCTCGTCGGGACCCGCTCGCTCTGACGTAGCCGCCGCTCTCCTCGGGCGCTCGCTCGCGCTCATCGCTCGTTCAGGCGGCTCTCCTGCAGCAAGGCACTCGCCCAGGCGGCGATACGCCGAGCGCCGAGGCGTTGCGCAACTCCAAGTCGGCTTCGATCGAGTCCTGCTGCGCGCTGAGTCTTTGTTTATGGAATTCGGCCGGCTGCCGCGAGCGACTGCACTCGAGCAAATCGAGCTCTCGACCGATGGCCCCCGACGTACCGCCGGTGCCAGCTGGTCCGCTATTTATTCGAACGTAAGCGCCGTCGGCCGCGCAGCAACTCACCGTCGTCGGCGACTCCAACTGTCCACGCGTTCGCCACGGCGATTCACGAGTGCGCATCGCGAGCACAGCTACATTTTCGCGGGAAACGGCAGGTTCCCTGAGCAGCGGCCAGCGAGCGAGGTAGGCGTCGAGAGCCGGACTGGCGCGCGCCGCCGGCCAGCTCCGACGCTCGCGAGCGGCGCAACCTTTGACGCTGTAGCGCGCGCTCTCGCGATCTGACGATCGATCGATGGAACGCAAAATATTTACATTATCTCGCGTGGGCATCGACTCGCTCGCTGTGTGTTATATCCGCGCGCGATTCTTTGGACGGTCAATCTCGTTTTTGCCGGGGTATGCGTAATCTGGCGTGTGTTTTGTTGACGGAACGTGGCGGCGGCGGCGGCGGCGGCGGCGGCGGCGGCGGCAAGGGAAACCGAGGTCTGCGTACGGCAATGGAAAAATTCGCGGAAAAGAAAGACCGATTTTGGAATCGTTCTCCAGCTGAAATTCAGTTACGCGTGAAGCGGCTCTTATCACCGTCAATAACGCGAATAACAATCAGACGTTCAATTACGTACGATTATTTGCGCAAACAGCTCTAAATTCTATCTCCGGTACGCTTGGCTAATATCGCAGAATCGACGATGAGTCAAGGCCTAGTACCTGTACACTAGTAGTTCTGTAATAGCTACGACTGTAATTCCAGAAAAAATCGACTTTCGTCGAGTAAACTACGAATAATTGGTTCGCGTCATCGCACAATTCATTTCTTCAATTGCCTTATTTTTTCTTGTCTCATATCTATAGATAATATTTGTTCATGGCATTTCTATTGGCTTAGAACAAAGTTGCAACGACAACTTTTAACGTCCTGAAAGTTGCATTAAATAAAATTACGACTACCAATTGAACACTGTTGTAATTTCACGAGAACAAATTTGGAATCGTATGCAGAACTTAATCAAATTCCCAGCTTATGAATAACGTCTTTCTTCAGCAATTCGTCACTCGTTCCACTTTTAATTCTGTCTTGCTACTCTTACTAGATTAAATTAATATCGTTTCGTGATAATTGTTCGGGAATGCATCTTTTCGCGTGGCACGTCGTTCAGTTGCTCGCTTACACGCGTCAACTGTTTTTTTCAATTACAAAACAATACATTATCACGGATATATAACAACAAACTACGAGTGATCTAGATAAACGAATCTTACGCATTCGACATTACCGTACAGCAGGCATGTATACGTAAATGTCATGTTACTCTTTTCTCCGCCAGATACTCTATGCCTAGTGATATTTTCGAGCGTGGCAGATTAAAAATCTGGGCTGCAAATGCGACTGATAAGAATTTTATTGTAGCTCAGTACTACAGCCCAGAGCTACAGTAAGCCTCAGTCGTAAAAGCCGAGAAACAGCCACGCAGTCGGCAGAATTTTTATTTAGTCAAACGAAGTGCTCGATACACATGCCGCTGAACTGAATATGTTTCAGCTGATTCTGTCGGCGCTATCTGCAAGTTTTTTAGATTTTGAATAACAACAAGACACAATCGTCGGCAAGCGTTTATTACTGGATTTGTAGAAATTAACTTGGAGGAGCATTAGACAATTGTGGATCGGATTAAGTGTCGTGTTTATTTCAAGTATATTTGTCACTTGTTTTTTTTACATGACCAGGCAAGTATCTTTATTTGCAATAACGCGCTGTTTATTTAGTAGATATCGGAATAAAAATAGGAGTGAGGAAAATGAAGAAAGCTGAGTCCGAGTCCAAATGGCATGTTCACTTATAACCTTTCGCATATAATCCGGGGAATACCATACTGCAAGTAATTTTTATTGATATCTGTAATGCCATTCAAACGACGAGTATGTAAACGGTAAGGCATCGCTGCAATTTTTCCTTAATTTATCGTAAAATCGTAATCAACATTGATTCTTGGTTTGATTATTTTATGACACCTTGTAACATTTTTTTATTTGTCAAAGCAACAACGTTTTTTTGCGATATTGAAATTTCTAAGAGTGTCATACTTTCTGCTAATTTCGACCTTGGATATTACATTCGGTAGTGAGCCTAAAAATAAACGTTATTTCAAAGATTGTATTCGGCATTCTATATTATTTTTTACTTTCTCTTTTATTCCGAGTTTAAAAGATAAATGGTATTTGGAAAAAGGTAATTCAGTATCAAGTTCTCATGCTGATTGAAATAATTTGTGCATTTCGAGGTACTTGTAGATATCAATTAGCAGGAAAACTTGAATCCTTTGAGATCATAGATAATGATATGATAACAGTACATTCACTATGAAATCAAGAAATATTGCATTCTTGTTAAATGTTCGTATGTGCATTATGTCAAATGAATGAAAAGATTTATGAATTTACAGCATCGCTACGTAGTAAACTAATGCTTTTAATCTGGCAAAAGAATTTTTTTTTCAGAAGTGCGTTCACTTACTGAGAAAGTGAACATATTTTTCAATTATCATAACCTTTTCATGGGATATGAATTGCTCATTGTTAGTCCATGCAATGCATCCCTTGGTGTTGACTATTTTTATTGCGTTTGAACGTAAACAATGCAATCCGAATGAACAATGAGAATGAAAGATGGTTGTACATAGTTACAGATTCTATATATAAGTACATCACAGAAAATTAAGTATTGCGCTTTTTGCTGCAAGTTGTGAATTTTTTGCAAGTTTTTAATGTTCACGAGAAGCATGAGAGGCGCATGTAACGTAATATCAATGATAGAGCACAGCATTATGTTTAATCACTGAGTCACCTAGTCAAATCAATAATTGCTTATTATTAACTAAAAGATGAACGTTCAATGGTGAATAATTACATGAGTCTTTACTCGATCTACATTTCATTATATGATATTTTATTTCTCTCGATCGCGAGGATATATTAGTCTAGGATTGACCGAGAAAAACAATTGAAAGGATTAACGATATCAATCTCAGAAAAAAAGTAAAGTGTTGGAATGATGAATCATCGCATGTTTTAAAGTCTTATGGATTATAAGATTATTGAAGACGTTGAGAGGAAATAACGTAGACCTTTTTAATATTATTATTTTATTTCTTTTTAATATAGATCTCATCATACAAATGCATTGGCGACGAGCCTACTTGTACAAATGTTTTTCCATATAACTTGACGCTCGTTCGTTAAAATACAGTCGTAGATTCGTCTACTCGATGACAATAATAATGATAATGAGTCATTCGTAGCAGTTTTTAGTTGTGCCGTAGAAGACAATTTTCATTCAACAACATAATTACCAAAGAGAATTACAACATTATTGTTCCTGGGACAAAATCATTTAAATAGAAGCTTCGAGGTCTGCAGAATAGAATCGCGCTTCACGCTAACGAACAATATAATCACCGACAATTACAAGGTCCTAAAATTTATATATACTTATGGATTAATTTTGATTCGCAAGATTTTGATTTTGTTACCTTAAGTCCTATCTCTCATTTTTCCTTAATTCTCTAAACTACCCAAAAGTCAATAAAATTTCAGTTGCTTTATAATTTCATTCATGAATTTTTTATTTATCGTCCTTTTTGAGTACATAAAATTTTCATTAGCCAATGAACCAAAAAATGTCGACCATCAATTTCCATATCAATGTAAACTTGCAGATTGCACTCACTCCAGTTGTTACAATTCGAATTAATGTTTGGCATGAATGCCAAATACCTATCGTCTCTTAAGAAGTATCAGAAATAAACATTTAGGTACAATCGAGCATTGTGTAACATTTATCGTAAATCCTATAATATAAGTAAGAATATTAATTATTTTGAAAGCATTTTATTAGGAACATTCGATTTTCTCTATTATCTTTTAATAGTATTCACGTTCTTGCAGTTTACCTCGGTTTGGCCACGTATTCTACAAAAAAGAAAATTCTTCCCTCAACGTCAAGTTTAATATTTCAATATGCCTCGTCTATCACATGTTATGATTGAAATATGACAATAATTTGCTGATATCATGTAAAAACGATGGATAGAAAAATTAGATGCCCGTCGTGTGGATACAAAAGATGGCGCGCTCGTAATTGAACTTCTATTAATACGATGATTCTGGGTTGCGCGTGACGTTGGAAAAGTGTTTTTATTTTTGACTCGTCCACTTGCATGTGTATATATATACATTACACGAACGTGTTTTACGTATTCCAGTTCACCAATATGTGTATATAAATACGAATAAGACTTAAACTTTAATTCGCTATCGACGTCGCAATCACCGACTTGTTTTTTTTTTTTCTTTTTTCAGAACTCCATCCGCGTCATCGACGTTGTACTTAGTATTCACTTTGTGAGCAATTTATTTATTTACCTCACTGTATAAATATATCCTCGCAGCGCGGCACGTGCGCACTGCGGAAATTTTACATAAAATGACCCTGAATTACGAAATTTGCCCTATACGCACGAGTCAATTCCTTGAGCGCTCATCATAGTTATCCCCTTTTTATCGGTGTCTCCTTATTTTTTCTCCAAATGTCTAGCTCGATTTCAATTACCGTATCGTTATAAATATCATTCTAGGTCTTATGCAATTCTCCAAATGACTCGTGTACTTGCATCTTCGGGTTCAGATTTCGTTTTATATAATATGTATACATATAATAATGATAGTAATCTGTTCTTTCTTAAGTCAACTTTTGATTTGTGCTCCTTAAAATGTACACTTCTTACATAAATATAGTCTGCTGCTCATCTCGCTAACGCAGCATCTGCTTTATTTTAAATGCCTCAACTGCCTTAGAGTTTAATTATCATGTTTCTTGTTCGAGGCTCCATTTGTTGTGCGCAACGCGTGACGTAAATTTTCGTTATCTATAAGTCGTCGTGTATTGTAGTACAAACACTGAGATTTGGTCCGGTTTCTTTCTTTTCATTCTTTCTAACTGGGTTTATCAAATGTCATTCAAAAATCGAATAAAAACTATACGCATATATGTACTGTTCTTTCTTTCTCTTTCTCTCTGTAATTCCATGTATCTCTACGAATGTGTGACAATTTAACTATAGAAACTCATCACGAGCACAACACGAATCTATAATAATTAACGTCTCTCGCGCGTTTGATAGGAACTTTGTGGTTTGGCTATAAGTCTCGCCCTCGCTCAGAACTTTAACAAAACAAAAAAAAAAAAAAAAAAAAAAAAGACAAAAAAGAAGAAAAACAGAAACGAAGGTATAAAGCTGAACAAAGGCAAGGCTACAACAATGAATGAAAAATTCATTAAGAAGAGAAACGCTTTGGCCGAATGTCGCTCAATTCCACTGACAAATCCACGTAATTCGATTTCAACCCTCGCCGCTCGTGGCACAAAGTATACGTGCATCTGTTTATTTACCCTCGCGAGCACGAGTTTTACGACAAAAACGCTCGTTTTCATGCTCGTTTTAAAGCACGCGTGCGTAGACACACCCCAGCATCAGGGCGCACGTAGAAAAAAAAAGAGGAAAAAAAATGGTCGTCGCGTGTCGAGGTGAAAGCTAGGCGCAAAAAAAAAAGCAGTGAAAAATAGAAATCCGTTTACCCTTCCGCACGAGCGGCTAATTTCACGACGGCCGTTGTTACGCGTTTCTGCCAATGTCCCTCCCTCCTTCGGCCGGGATATCGCGTCTTTTTTCCCAATTTCCGCGCGTGTAATACGGCCGCGCGCCATCTGTTGCAGGCGCGACAATGCGCCGGTATTGTGAGGCATTTCCAAAATATTGTGTAAATCCGCGCGCGCGCGTCGCAGCTGAAAAATTCTGGGGTGAAATCCGTCGGATCCCCCTTTCGGCTATTCAGCTGGATGAAAGGGTTGCGCGCCGAGAGTTTCCACAATTTCGAGCATCCCTCCGCGCGCACGTGCTTTCTCGTCACTTTTCAGCGAATTCGCGGCCTATAATTCTTACGGAAGAGGTGAAAAAAAAAACAACAAAAAAAAAACAACCCAGCCGACGCGAAAGGGTGAGTCGCGCGCTAAAATGAAAAGCGTGTCGAAAGCCCGCGCCGCGACAAAGTGCTCGGCATTGTTCTTAAAGCAATAAAACGCGTGCAAGGGAGGCAGAGTGAGAGAGGGCTTCGCGTCTCTATAGTGGCGAAAGGGAAGGGGCCAGACCGAGCTGGCCATTACGCGCGCACGCGCGCGCGTGTGTATCGGGGCGAGGAAAAGACAGAGCTCCGGTGAAATTATCGCGAGAGACGAAATTTCCAAGCGGCGACGAGGAGTCAGCCGGGCCGAGTTTGCTCGCGCTCGCCTCGTCGTTCCTTCGCTTTGAATAGCGAGGCGCCTCCGGCCGAGCGTCGAGCATGCGGCAAGGACGGACGAGGCGCGTTATGATCGGCCGATGAACAACGTGGCGGAGGGTGGGCCACGCCGACTTTGGCTCGACGCGCGATAAATAACCGAGGAGCCTTCTCGAGTGTGCGCGAATGTTTGCGGCTAGGCTCGCTTGAGCGAAATCATATCACGTGGTCAGCTCTATCGATCGAGTACCCCCCCCCCCCCCGCCGACAGCTCCCCACAAGACAATCGACTGCGCTATTTTTAATTTATCTTCAGTTTTGCCCTCGAGCTGCGAGCGCTCGTCGCCGCTTGCGTTTCGAGATTGTTTACGGTTCCCGCGAGCCGTCGTTGCGTCACTCTCCGCGCATTTTCGATACTCGAAACGATCGGCCGACTTGGTCGGTGCGCGTCACGCTATTTGCAGAAACGTAACCGCGCGGCAAGCTATGTCGATTCGCGGCAATAATGATCGCGCGCCGATCTGGTTGACCGGCAGAAATTTGATCGCGGAGACGGTGAGGCTGGCTGACGCGTACGAGGGCCGCCGAAGAGAGTGTCGCCCGGCGCGGGTGGCAGCCCACTAATTACCACGGACAGCGAGGCACACGTACGCTCTATCAAATTTCTGCGCTCTCGGAAAGCGTGAGATATTATTGATTTTTATAGGGCGGCGGAAGGCGTTCACGGCGCGGCCGTCGGGGCGGAGGGGGTAGAGGAGGGTGCCTCGACGGACTCGGGCGTCTTTCGATCTCTCCGTCTCTCTCTACTTTTCCCCATGCGATTTCTCTTTGTATGTTTGCCGAGAAGGTGGGGGGAGATAGCGCGGTGTCATTTACCCGAACGGACGTCAGTCGGAGCCTACTGCCGAGCAATTTTTCTCGCTCTCGCGCGTACACGCGAATTCTCATCGCGGCGCGTCGACCTTCCGCGAGTCTCGTCGCCGCTCGCTGGACAAGTCTGCGGCATAAAGCGACACCCACAGCTAAAAGCCGGCTCTCCTCGTTCAGTCGTTCCCATACACTTGGCTCGCTTGCTGCGCTTGCCCACACACTTTGTACTCTGTTTCGTGCTGCGTCGCGAGCTTAATCAACTTAAAAACTTTTAAAATGAGCATGCACGCGGAACAAACACCAACGCAATGACGAAGAAAGCCAAATCGAATGCAAAATAAAGCAAATCGTATTTTTCTTACTTTTCGTTTATTACACAAAAGTCACACATAATGAGAAATCATAAAATAATCGTAGCGACAAAAAATATAGATACAAAAGCGACAACTAAAATTAAAATTAAAATTAAAATTGAAATAAATAAAGCGGACCCGAAAGTGCACATCTTTGTTTGATTGGTTGACTAGCTTTAGGTGATAGCTGATTTTGCTTTAAAGCAAGAAAACTGAGATGACTAGACGTTACCATTTGAGACAAGTCTAAGGCTAAAATTCACGCTCGCATCAGTTGCACTCGTTGCTATCAACTCCACGCGACAATGTATAATATAATATAGATTTGTCTCCTCTTTATAATACAGATTAATTTCCCTCCTCAAACGTGTACAGTGTATATATGTATATATATCATAATTTCACGCTGCTGAATAGTACATTTTTGTTGCATGTTGTTTTGATACGTCGCTCACTCTCCAATGCACAATAATAATAATAATAATAATAATAATAATAATAAATAGCGTGTATACATAGTTTATAAATATAATATCTGTCCGATTCCATATATCATATAATATATATCAATATAGCAGCTAAAAACCGTTAGGCGTTAATTTTGATTTTGCGCTCATTTGTCGATACAAAGGCAATAAATCATGCTCACGCGGTCTTTCGCGCTTCCGCGAGTCCCCGAGATTTCTGTCGCGCGCGTCATGCCAACCAAGCCGTCGACCTTAATGGTGTCATTGTGAATTGCGCGACGCGCTTTGCATGTCACTGCCATAGGGGCATCCGCACAATCGGCCCGCTGCTCGCCTTGGCCCGCAGCCCCTGTCTGCAGCAGCCGCGCGCGATTTCCACGCGCGTCCACCAACAACTTTTCCGCCCCTCGCGCTTCCTTCGCTCTCTCCGCGCGCGTGCATATGTATACGCGCCTGTGTACTTTTCTATGCGCACGTTCTCGTCCGCGCCGGCACCCCACGCGGACACACTGAATGGACGTAATGGTCGCGGAGCCCCGTGTCACTGAATTTATGTTAATGCGCGCGCGCGCGCGAGAGAGAGAGAGAGAGAGAGAGAGAGAGAGTGGAATGAATGCGGCCAGAGAGATATATATCGTGCGTATCGAGCGAATGCTAATTTCGAATTTTTGGAAAACGCCGTGTCGATTCGACTCGTGGTGGGCGCTCTTACGTCCGGCCACCCCGCCAGCCAGCGGCTCCTATAATGATTCACTGCCTAGACAAAGGTGGGGAATTTGAATACATTTGTGCGCTTAGCTTGGCATCGCATGGGGCGAAAGCCGTAGCTTTCTTCCAACTTTTTTCCCCCCTCGGACCTTCACGAATATTTGAACGCGCAACTCTCGGACCTTATGACTATTATTTGTAGCGTTCAACTTTTTCGCCTATAATCTAATGCCCGGCTAGCAGGGGAATATACGCGCGCGCAGAAAAAGAGAAAGTATGGAATTACCTGCGCCGAAGGTGAAACACGTGCGTGAACGGTTTTGTGAAAAAAAAGAAAAAAAAAGAGAAACGTCTAGTTATGGAAATTGCCCCCAGCGAGCGCCGTCGGCTGATTGAAAAATGATGGGCATTCTTAAAAAAGCATTCTATTATGCGCGCACCACCCGAGTGAAAAATCTTCAAATGCACAAACAGACGGACATCGTCGCGCGCGTCTGGCTCGAGTGTCAGGTCGTCATTCCAATTTTGGTCTGTTTTTCGTTCCTCCGCGCGCATCTCGCATAAATCACTCGCTTGTCGCGCGATACCACATTCGAATAATCCGTGAGAAAAGTTGATAATTGAGAGTCGCTCGGCGAGTGCAAAATGCCGCAATGATAAATATCTTCATCGCGGGCGACGCGTCAATGAGGGGTCAACGACTCGAGACTAAAATTAATTTTAACGATTGGCCTGAAAAGCCTCGGCGAGGGGTGGAAAAAAGGGAAATTTTTTGAAAGCTACTAGTTAGCGGCGTGCGCCCAAATCGGAAATGCGCGCGCACTAGACGTGGGACTACTATGTTTCTTTGGTCAGGTTAGGGCGAGCGGTCACTCTACCGACAGCTGCCGCTGGATTTTGAGCCGTTACCACGGCTTTTTTTTTTCGACTCTCTTCCCCTTCGTTCGCTCGATACGTCGTTTTCGAAAGGAAAAAAAAAAGGTTTTCTGGAATATTACTTTTGACAAAAAGTGTCGCCGACGGCCAGAAAGAAAAAAAAATGTTCACGCAGGACTGATTTTATTGGGGAATCCCATGTAGATTCTTTTTAGATTGCGAGGATAATCGACGCGTGCAATGAGAAAAAAAAGTTATTCAGGGATTCGAAGCAGTGACCATTACGTCCAGCTATATCTACGAACAGTATCTAACTATTTTTGATTCTCCGTTTCAAGCTGCAAGGCACAAACAACACGACTTTGCGCACGAGATTCGCGTGGACTAGATCGTAAAAAGTATCGTTTCTCTTGCTGACTAGCATTTGCAATTTCTAGATTAGCCAAACTAAGCCAAAATTTCGCAATGTTTGATAAATAAAAAGGACGTCGTTAATCTTTGGTTTCGAGGATTCTCGTGCACGCAGCAGCAGCGTGACTGTGGTTGCGCTGATTCACATGGATACTTGCTACAAAGAATTTGATTCGCTCTAATACATGTCGTTCGCTTTAAATTACTAGATAAGAGATCTGTTGGCTGTGTACATAAATACGATTGTACTTTTGATTACAAGGGCTTTTCTTTATCCTATCTCGACCCTGAGTTCACTTTGTATTCTATGCTTTGGTTTGATTATTACTATTATTTTCTTTTTCGTCTGTATTTGTCATATTGTTCCGTATCAAATGCTTTAAAAACTATATAAATATATAATACGTATAATCTCACAGTTGTGATTCGCAAAGGCATTTTGTATATTTTGATTATATTTCAGTACTGAAACAACGACAGTGAGAAGGCCTCGGTGTATTTCGTTTGTGGCGTATTACATCGTAGGTACAACGTTATCAAAACCGGCGTAAGTATGCAGAGCCGAGTGCGACGACTGGAAACGAAGAGAAAAGCGAGGTCAGTAACGAACGAACGGAGTGGGAGCAATAAAGGGACGCGTCGAGCGTTGCATCGAGGACAAGCGAGAGCGTCATGTACAAGCAATAAAGTCGCGGAGTAGCGTCGCTTCGTTAATGGGCCTCGTTCGCATGCGAGACCCGCTGAAAATAGGAACTTTGTTTCATCACCAATTTGCATTAATATACTTTGCTTCTACGAGATATAGTTAGGTATAATATATAATATGTACAAGACTGTCGCGAGAGACAACGCGGCCGCGGCCGAGTCGGGTGGAAAGGGATAGCCCGTCGAGGGAGCAGCCCGTCGCCGGCGTCGGCTCGCGTCGACGGGAAAGCGAGGGTCGGCCGGGGCGCGGGTTACCTCTTCGGCTCGACAGCCATAGGAACCAGTAACCTTCGCGTGCTACGAGTGGACCCGAGCCGTGGCTCAGGCGGGATTCAGGCTGAAGGTGATGCTGAGGCTGTTGCCGAGCCTCGCCTTCACCGGCAGAAACACCAGCGCGGGCGCGAAGCGCCTCGGGCTCTCGTCGCCGTTGCCGCAGCCGTTGTTGCCGATGGCACTCTGCTCCTCGATCATGAACGGCTGCATGATGAGCTTGTCGCCGCTGAGGCTCGTGTCCTGGGGCATGGCGTAGCTCGCCGGCACCTTGTGCTTGTTCGCCACGTCCTTGAGGGTCTTGGTGAGCTCGGCCAGGGCCGTCTCCTGCGGGTCGCCCAGGCTCTTGTGATCCTTCTTGATGTGCTTCTTGATGCGATTGAGGTTGGCCGTGGTGAAGCCGCACTGGAAGCACTTGTAGGCGCCCTGAGGCATCACGTGCACGGCGTTACTGTCGTCCTGCTTGGGCGTCTTGCTAGCCTCGAGCTCGCTCTTGGTCTGGAGGGGACTCGCCTGGCGGACGTCTTCCTTGGGCTCCGGGTAGTCGATCCTGTCCGGCTGATGGTGGTGCTGGTGCTGGTGCTGCTGTTGCTGCTGCTGCTGCTGCTGCTGCTCGCCAGCCAGACCGAAGTCGCCGAGCAGAGGGATGGGGAACTGAGACAGCAGTCCCGGGAACGGACTGGGATGTCGACTGGCCACGTGCTGGCGCAGCTGTTCGAGCTGCGAGAACGACTGGCTGCAGATCGGGCACTGGATCGCGCGCTCGCTCTCGAGGGCCGCGCTCTCCTGCTGGTGGCTGTGCGACCTCTCGTGCAGGAAGAACAGGGCCAGGATCTGCGTCGAAAAGTTGCACAGCGGCTGCGAGCAGCGGTAGGTCTGCACCGGCTGGTCGTCCGTCGAGTTGCCGAAGAAGTTAGACAGCACTTGGTTGTTTAAGGCCGCCAGGTCGGAGCGCATCTGCGGCGAGGGTTCGAACCCGTTGGGTATCCTCAGGGTGGCGCTCGGGTGGTGCTGCTTCGACGAGCCGGACGCCCGGCCGCCGGTCCTGGGCACCGTCTGCTGGTACTGCTCGATCTCGCGCCACTTGAGGTGGCCGGCCTCGCCGTGCTCGGTCTGCAGGTGCGCCTTGAGCCACTTGGGACTGCGGAACCGGCGGTTGCAGATCGGGCAAACCTCCGTGAAGTGCGTGATGTACCGGATGTTGACGTCGCCCAGCTGCTCGGGTCTCAGAGCCACGTCCTCGGCGCTCGACGAGCATTCCGAGTGGTCCTGCTTGCCGACGGAGGGCGCGCCCTCCTCCACGATGCCGTGCGTGTTCTGCTTGTGCACGCGCAGGAAGTACTTGCTACAGAGCTCCTTCTTGCAGATGTTGCAGACGACCCCGCCGATCTGGGCGCCGTTCTCGATCTCGATGCCGTGCATTTTTTGCATGTGCGTCTTCATGAAGTACTTGTTGCACAGCTCCTTGTTGCAGATCTCGCAGTAGCTCGAGGTGGGCGTGATGCTTGCCACGGGCTTGCGCTCCGGCGGCTGAGAGCTGCCCGACTTGGGGGTGGCGGGCGCAGGGGACGCGAGCTGCGGCGTCGAGCTCGTCGGCGTGGACGGCTGGTGGTCCTCGGCCACGTGCCTCCTCAGAGCCTCCTGACTCGGGTACTCCTTCTCGCAGAGGGCGCAACTGGTCGAGCTGCTCGCGCCGCCGCCGGGCGAGGACTTGTCCCGCGACGCGGGCTGCGACGGCGAGGACAGGTTCTCCGGGACGACCTTGTGCTCCAGTACCATGTGGCTGCGCAGAGCGTCCGGGCAGTCGTAGTCTTTTCCGCAGAGCGCGCACGAGGCGGCCTTGTTGGACTCCAGGTTGTTCAGTTGCAGTATCATGGTCTGCAGCTTTTGCAGGTCCTCGGAAATGGAGTCGCTGCGGTCCGCGGCTTCGGCCTCTTGCTCCAGCTTGGGCGACAGCTGTCCCGCTGGCGCTGCGCCGTCGTGGATCTTCTCCATGTGCAGGTTGTGGAGCTCTTGCGTCTGGAATCGTATGCCGCAAGATTTGCAGGAGCACTCGTCGGCGCGATCTTCCGACTCGGACCCGTTGCCGACGCTGTCCACGATGAGGTTCAGAGGGCTGGTCTGCACTTGGTGCCACGAGGCTGCCGAGCCCGGCGCTGGCGCCGACTTGTCGTCCGGAATGAAGATGCCGTGCCTCTTCAGCTTGTGAGTACGAAGGAAGTACTTGTTGCAGTACTCCTTGCAGCAGAGCTCGCAGAACGCCTCGGGATTCATGACGCCGATGCGCCGCAGCCGGTCGCCGTTGACCAGAGAGTCCTTGAGTTGAGGCGCGGACGCAGGCGACACCGTGGAGGCTCCCGGCGTCGAGGGGTAGGACGCCTCGTCCTGGTCTATGCTGATTTCCTGCTTGAAGAGCGACTCGATGCCGGCGGGGCTCTGCCTCTCCTCCTCGCCCGATGACGACGGCAGCGACATGGGGATCGACGACGTTGCCGGCGAGTCGACTTCTCTGTTCTGACTGAAGTGGATCTTGCGCTGGTGCTTCCTCAGCGAGTCTTCGTTCTTGAAGCGCTTCGGGCACAGGTCGCAGGCCAGCGCCAGCTGCTGCTGCTGCATCTGCACGCCGTTGTTCTCGATCCTGTGCGGCTGATTCACGCTGGCCGTCAAGTTGGCTATGGGGCTGGTCGCGATGAAGGGACTGGAGGGCGCGCCGTCGTTGCTACCCTGACCCGACTGGCTGGCCGGGGGATCGCTGTAGATGCCGTGCTTGTTGGCCTTGTGCGTCTTCAGAAAGTACTTGTTGCAGAACTCCTTGTTACAGAGCTCGCAGTAGGCGTCGAGGTTGAATATCTTTGGCGGCTGCAGCTGGCCCATGGCCGCTCTCTGGATCTGCGCGGGGTCGGGCACGGGAAAGCCGGCGATCGGCAGGAACTGCGCGAAGTGCGAGGGGAACGAGGGCATCGCCGAGAAGTGGTTGTTGTTTCTCGCCGCGGCGGCCTGCTGCTGTTGTGGCTGCTGCTGCTGCTGCTGCTGCTGCTGCTGCAGTTGTCCCCAGGCGGTCGCGGCAAAGTTCCTAATACTCACGCCCGACAAGTTGACCGGACTGATCGGTTGCTCGGGACTCGACTCGCGCTGCTGCGCGAAAGCGCCCTGGTGGTCGCACTCGAGATGAAGCTCGAGCGCCGCGCGGCTATCGGAAAACTGGCTGCACAGCTGGCAGCGAAACTCGTTGTTGAGGTTCTCGTCTTTGAGCGTGGGCGGCTTCGAGTGCGTGCTGCTCGTCGGCGGACTCGGCGTCGGCTTACCTTCGTCGGTCGCGGCGTCCTCTTCGGACTCGTCGCCGCATTCCGCGCTGGCGAGGCTCAGCGAGGTGGAGAACTTGACGGGGGTCGACTGCTTGCGGCGCTTCTTCGGCAGGCCGTCCGCGTCGGAGCCGGCGCCGGGGAACGGGCGACGCAGGCAGCGCCCGCCGCCGGCGCGCTCCTCGCCGCTCGAGCCCTCGCTATCGATCTCCGTCGACTCGGCCGCCAGGCAGGTCTCCTGCGACGACGACATCCTTTCGCTTCGGCTTCCGACTCCTTCCGCTCTGCCCTTGCCTTCTCCGCTCACTTTCTCCTTCTCTGCACAGAAAATCACCAGTCGCACTGCCTCAGTCACAACGAACTTTATCAACTGCGAAAGCAGCTATCTATTCGAGCCGACTGCTCGATCTCGTCGATTCGAACGCTCATTTGGATGACTGATGGGCACTGTGGCATATGAACAGCTTCGTGAGTCAATAATTTTAATGGGGTGAAATAGCCAGCTTTTCGTTCGATGAAACAGAGTGAAAGAGCATTGTCAAATAAGTAATGTCAATGCAATAGATATTTGTCAAATGATTCTGTGATTTTCATACGTTGCAGATGAAATATGATTTCGATATTTTTTACAAATCAAGTTCATATCAGATTATTGCAAATTCTATTAATATTTCTGGTACATAATGTCAAACACTTATAGATGCATACTGCATTGCGTAGTCAGCGATACTTTCGTACACTTTTCCGCTACTTTAAGATTGCAATATAAAATCGTAAAGGCATATATATTTTAACGCGTCATCCGTCTATCTTTCAATTGATCATTCGGTAATTAAATGGAATAAAAGGCGACTAAATAAATTCTCTTATTCGATATTCGTGTATTTATTTCTCGCGCTGAATAAATATCGTATGTTGCTTTTCACGACCTGCAATAATTTGCTATGATATATTGTAGTCACATACGAGTAAAAATCGACGTTACAAAGAACAGGCAGACAGTAATGTATACAATGAATCAATTATCACAAATTTAAATAATATTTTCATGTAAATCATTTTCTTCTGAATTATTAGTGCGAATGATTATACGTGAATAATGCTCAATCAGATAACGTAAAAATATTTTAATTCTGCACAAAAGAGGCTTCCCAATGTATTTGAGTTTGAGCGCCGCGACACGCGCAGCGCGGCGTTGCCACATTGCACCCCGTAAATTGCGTAGGATTTTTCATACGGTATAATTGTAACAATAGTGTGGTTCGTATTTTATAAAATTGATATCGGTTCTTCGGACTATAATCTAGTTCTGCCGAGGTTTTGAGGCGAATGGCATGTACACTTTTTCCGGGTTGACGACGCCATTGCGCCCACGATAGCCCGCATTGAAAGTTGAATGTTTTATTAACGATAACTCACGAGCTAGACGGCAAGTCGATCCCGGAATCAATATGAAAACTAGTTTAGCTCTCGCCGAAATGTCGAAGCCGGTGAATTTGTCGACCGATAACCGTGGTCTATTTGGAGCGAAGACAAACGACTCGCGTCACCGTCGCAATAACTTTACAATCGCAAATACGAAAGTTCGCTTGCTGCGCAGTCGTATTTAATCGATAGCGAGCTCGTTCTCCACAAATGAAGCATACATTCATCGAGTGCAGATAAGTGCAAATTGTCGACGTTCCGTCGTGGGTGTAGGCGCCGAGGATAAAGCGATCGCAATATCTGGAAAGTTTGCTGCGAGCCGGGAAATTCATAAATTTGCCCGCGACAACTGAGTGCTCGGCCTGTCCGCCAGTCTAATATCACTATTGCTTTTAATAAGAATCGTAAATAGAGTTTCGCTCCGATCTATATAAATAAAGTGGATTAGAGGCGAGCGTAGTTTAAGAAATTGGCAAAAGTTGGAAAAGAAACGGGAAGGCGTGAGCAGGAGATGGAAGGGGGCGTGAAGGAGGACATCGGCCAGTCGTAGCGACGGCAGCAGAGTCCTCGCTTGGGGGAAAATTTAATAATTTTTCGGCCATATAATCGTATCGCTCCGTCTCTCTTTCTCAGCGGCCTCGCCTTCTCAATCCCTTCGAGAGCCGGCATATCGATTTTCTGCTTTCGGCGTTTCGAGTGATCGCGTTGGAAATTCTCTCTCTCTCTCTCTCTCTTTGCTCTTGCGACTACAAAAGGAATCCGATACTTTACTAATGAATCTCATCGGTGCGCATGAAAGAGCGAGAGGGAGAGAGCGAGAGAGCGAGAGAGGGCGGCGGCAGTGCGCATGACAGGCTTAATTCGGAACGTTATAATGATTTTACTAGCTGCGAAAATGAAGTAGGTGCGTAGGGTGGACCGGCGGCGACGGCGCCTAACGAGACGAGCGCGCGAGCGCTCGTTTGGGGAGGAAAGAAAAACGAAAGTTGTCGATCGGAACGCCCGCGCGCGCACGTATACGCAGTACGCACACCCGCTCGCCCAGACGGCGTAGCTTTGACGTGGGGTCGTGAGTCATGCGTACGCCCTCGCTTTTGGGGACGATTTGGAGAAAATTGAGAATACGCGTTTTCCGCTAGCTTTCGTCGCTCCTCGACCGGTGCACCCCGCCCCGGGCCGCTCGCTGCTCGAGCACTTCCCGGGAGCTCATTAGGTGCCTGCCCGTCACTCGCGCGGAGGCGTGATCGAGCGACACCGGCCGCGATTCGCGCACAACCACCTCGCATCCGCGCCGCCACGCGCTTTTAAATTACGACCGGCCCCCGGCGGCTGAACTATGTTTCCAGGCCTCTCTTTCAAGGGGCGAGGGGGCACGCCGAATTGTTCTGTTTTACGATTTCCAATTCCGGCTTTTACGGCCTTTCATTATGTTTTATGCAGAGCTCTCTCATTTCATTACTCGACGAAAGCCTCCGAGCCGCCAGCACTCGGTATGATTTTATAAAAAGTAATTCTCCGTGTACTGTCGCGTAGAACGTGAGAACGAGAACGAAGTCACATGACAATTAGCTATACACCGTTCGAACTGATAAGCCACAACTAAGACAACATGAAACAGGGGGAGCAGACTGTTCGCGCTCAGCGGCAAAGCGGATCTTTGAAAAAGCGACAGAGACCAAGTTGGCCGTCTCGGCAAGTGCAGAGCACCGGGTGCGACAAAATAACGACCAGCTTACCCCGTTGTTGTTACCTGGCGAAGAATAGCTCGGCAGAGCCGGGACACTGGGGAGGACGTCGCGCACGCGACGACAGCACGAAGCGGCACGGATCATCTGACGTCCGTCACTTGCTGTTCCATGGTCGTGGCTGGTGCTCGAGTGCGCGGTCAGCGCCCGACGGGGCTCATGCTGGCGCGGGAGCGCGCGGCGACGGCCCGCTCGGGGGCCGGCAGTAGGGCAGCGTCGCGAGGCGCGCGCGCCGGCGGCCACTCGGGTGTACAGCCGCTGCGGGCCGAGTCGGCGGACTCTCGAGAGGAGGCGGCAAGTCACTTTCACTCGGGACGGCGGCCGCGCGGCGCCGGCGCGTGCGCCGCGGCGAGCAAGGGCGGCACGTGGCAGAGCGCCGCGGGGACGAGCAACAAACACGCGCACCTCTCTCGCTGTCTCGCGCGCCCCTCGTGCGCGACTTGGCCTCGGCGCGACTCGCTCCTCAGGTGCAACACGACGGCGCGGAGCTGCTAGGCGCGCGCGAGCTCGTGTCGATCTGTCATGTAGCCATGCTCGGCGCTGGGAGCGAGCCTGGCGCGCGAGGCTCCTCGGCAGCCCCCCTCCCCCCGCCGCCGCCACCGACAGCGCCGCCGAACTTTCGTGCTCTCTGGCCCCGCGCGCCCATGCATTTTTCACGAGCCCCGCGCGCCGCCTCGCCGCTTTTTGGGGAGACTGTCCATCCGCCACAGATCTATATATATATTTTTCAATTTTCCCTCTCTCTCGCGCGCGCTAATACAAATAGCCTGAATGTTTGATGGAAATTGCGCCTGACCGCGCCTGCCATAGGAATAATGACCGCATCAAAGTTCAACGTCGTATTTTATTTGTCTTCGGCGCTATTTCGGAATCGAGCAAGTTATGACGCGCTCGAGGGAGGCAGGGCCGAGGAGAGCCGTCGGTTGAAAGTTCGGGAGGGAAAGCGTACTCCCCTTGCAACTCGACAATCGAACTGGAGTGTTTAGACAACGAGAACTCGAACTCCCCCATCGGTCGTCGGGGCAGCCGTGGGTTTCCGGGAAAATCCGCCGATTCATCATCGATTCGAGCGCTCGCCGGCCGCCCGCTGCACGATTGTGCGACACGAGGAGCCGCGGCGACGATCGAGAGGGTTGCGCGCGCTCGCGCAACCGAGCGCCAGCCGCACAGCCGGGGAATAAAGAAAGAGCGAGATTGGATTAGGGAGCTACAACGGGCCGCCCGTATATGTGTTGCCAAAATCCTGAAAAACCCGTCTCTCGACGCGGACTCTGACAGCCGATGAATGGACCACTCGGATTATACCTGCCGAGAGAGCAGCCCTTTATTGCGCGGCGCGATCCGAGCCACGCGTAACTCGAGAGTTTTCTCCGTGAAACGCGCCCATTTCACGGATCTCTTTCGATTTTCGCCCTCGCGCGCCACGCAAATCATAGTGTTTAAATTTACAACTCGCAACTGCCGGAGAGAACGACGCCAATTGCCATTTTCGAACGTCCATCCGGTCCGCTATTTCAGCATCAAATATTCAAACTCGTTTCGAGCTGTTCGTGTCGCTCGTGAAAGAAGAGAGCTACAGTCTACGGTATACCTGAAGCGTATATATATGACATGTCTGCAGCGACGACGACGTTAATGAAATAGAGAAAGAGAGAGAGAGAGAGAGAAAGAGCGACGTTCGGGAAATAAAACTCTTATTAGTCGTAATTGAACGTCAATATAGGCAGCGGTTTCCACCCTCGCGCGCACTGAAAGGCATAATCGGAACTGTGACCTAAAAATTGAACTTGCCCCACTCCACCCCTCGTGGGATTTCAATTACTCGCCCCATTCACGCGCCGGGTACTCGGCTTTCAAACACCGACAAAAAATTAAAACACACTTGTTGGCGCATTGTGCGCGCGATTTAATAACGAAAACACGCGTAGAGCCGAGCGACGAGCGTACATGTATATACGTATATAGAAGAACGTCAGGTTGGGGACGCCGTGAAAAGTGAAAGTCCCGAGAGTTTTTGGAGGGCTTCGATCCTCGAATCGAGATTACATCGAGCGTTGCCATAGTTTCAAATATGGCGCTTCATCCAAGCGAAATAGCCCGTGCTTGCGAGGAGGAAGAAGCAGAAGAAGACGGGGGCGGGGGCAGCCGAATCAAATTTTTACCCCTCGCTCGCTCCTTTTCTTTCAGACCTTCTAACGGAAAGCATGGCGAGCCGAGAGAGAGAGAGAGAGAGAGAGAGAGAGAGAGAGAGAGAGAGAGAGAGAGAGAAAGAGAGAGGACGTGTGGCGATGATATTTGTCTTGTTTACGAGGGCAAGAGCGCTGTTTTGCCAGCCAGTCAGCCGGCTTGGCCGATCAATAGGCCTCACTCGCTCTCGCTCTCTCTCTCGACTCGGAGAAATCTCCTGTACGCATGCACCAGCCGAGGGGGGCCACTTTAACAGCCCGAGCCCAAGGAAACTTTTCGTTTGCTCCAAGTTGAAAGCTGCCGCGCGGAGATCGATACTTGCGTCTCCGACGCTGTCCACCGGCCGACTCCTTAAAGCGTACGCGCGCGATCGTTGATTCTTTTTCGCCGGGTGCGAATCTCGCCCGAATCGGGGGCCGCTACGCAACGGACCCGCGAGCCCCGTGCCGCGCTCCAACGCGAATAACACGCCTGATACGGCCGTGACTTGACTGCAGTTTCAGTCGATAAAACTGGTACACAGCGGCGTCTGCCCTGTGACACGGCAAGTGCCACCTGAAAAACAAATATTCGGCTTCGAACAACTAGACCCACTCCCGGGATCCCACTTTTCAACCTCGAAGTAGCTCGCCTCGCGCGATATGGCTATCTGAAGCGGCCTGAGAAAATTCATGGCGCGCGCTCGAACGCACGTGTAACGCCAGGCCGAAGGGGTGGGAGGCGATGCGAAGCTGCGCACCGAGCGCCGACATGCAAACGAGACAGCCGCTCCCGGTCTTTTCCGCCAGTTCTTCTGCGAGACTCCGTTCGCGCGCGCGCGCGCGCGCTTCTTTTCCTCGCAACGCGGCTGGCGCAGCCTGGGTGCGTTATATCTGCGAATATCGCCGCTACGACGATCGCAGATGCGCCCGGCAAACGCAAAAGCGCACGGAGATTGCTGCGCTCCTACGTGCTCCTAACTCGTGCGGTATTTATTCGCTTACCTGACGACCACGACAAAGACAAGTACAAAGTGCGCTAGCTCGTGCGTCAATCAAAACATCTTTCCTTGCGGCTCGCAGCAAAACTTTTCGCCGCCGGAAGATGAAACAGGTCACTCGCGCGTGTTTGCCGTCGACAAGTGCATCACAAAGAGAGAAACAAAGGGAAAACGAACAAAAAAACACACACACACACATAAACCAAAAGAGAAAGAGAAACGAACGACGTGTAAAATACAAGAGAGCGAGTCACTTACGATTGTTTTGGCCATCATGCCACCATAGCGGCCATACTTGATATGAGAAAGTATCCCCTCACATTGTGTCCACCAGGCCATCCACTAATTCCCCCCCTCGCCCCTTCGCCGCCAACGCCGCGCTGATTCAACCCCCTCTCGAGCGACTGTACCCTCCCTACTCCGACTCGCACGAACAAAAACACACGCACGCACACAGAGCGCCTGACCGTATCGCCGCCACACTACTGACGGAATCAGAGGCTTTTAAACTGGGCTTTTCATATTTTTCTACTCGACCGTTCCACCTACCAATCGCGCATTAATTATTAATACGACAACATTGTACGGTTGTACCGCTGATCGATATGCCCATTCGCGATAACACGACGTCGGGTCGGGATCCCAACTGTACTGGAACGGCGTACAACGCGCGACTTTGCCTCGCGGATTCGCCGCATGAATAAGAAACAAGTCGCGTGCAGTCGGGTTTTATCTTGTAAAACTTGACACACGCGAGCTTGCGGCGGCTTGTAAATAATCGAGCCGACAGTTTTGTCAGGATGAGAGAGAGAGAGAGAGAGAGAGAGAGAGAGAGACAGCGCGCGCGCGGGCGAGTCGGGTGTCGTTGAACTACCTCTATCCTTCGATCGATCGTACTCTCGCTTTCTCTCCGGTTTTCACTGCGACCGCTCGTAAGCTGCAATCGTTAACTTTGATAAGTGGAACCCCCCCCACCCACCCCCATCCGTAAAAATAGACCAACCACCTGTCTCACGTTCTTTCTCGTATTGCGGGGGTGGCCGCTACTACTACGAACTACAGCTACTATGCAATACGCTGCCCCGATCCTTAATTGGCCGCTTTTAAACGCGCAATTATATAGGCGAAAAAAGTGCCGGAAGAGAAAGCTACTGTATACTCGTGGTCTGTAATTTTTTTCAGCTTTTTTTTTTGTTTCGGTTCGACTTCACTGAAAGCTAAGCAAATTTGCGGGTACAATGTTGCCGCGCAATATCGCATTTCTATCGTTGAGATTTATTCCACCAGCTTGTGTCAGATCAAGTTGCGAAGGCAAAGCTTAATTTCACTTTTCATTACTTCGAGATTTGTCTGGTAATGCATAATTATTAGAGAATGAGCTGCGCATATTACCTTTATCGTTCAGATACTCGGCCACGTAATTGTTCGTTTCCAATACTCCCAGCGCAATGTGCGACTTTTCTGCACGCTCGACCAACAGCGTACACTCAAAATCACACCTTCCACCCGTATAAAAAAATACGGTACGATACATGCTCAGGAAAGAGATTCGCGATTCGTGCGGTGTTTACGCCCGAGCCAGGCGAGGGGGTTATGTACTATCGCGTCAGCAAAAGTATATACATCTTGATATGCGTTATTCTCTTGGCCCACTTTTCTGAAAGCGAGTTGTTAACTGGATTTGACATGTAACTAACTTTACGAACGTGCAGGAAACAAAAACTGCTATCCAATTAAATGCCAGAAGTTTGGAAACTTTGATTTGTGATATCGTGCTGAAGATTCGTGCAGTTAATTATATCCCATTGTATTTATCCTCACATGTTAGCTTGAAATCCTATTGGAAGTGCGAAGTACCCTGGTCAATCGTTGGTCAATCAACCACGCTACACGTAAAGGATTCATCGAGAGCGTCTAAAGCCGTTATTGCAACGTCGTTATTTTCGAGAGAACTTTGAAAAGAATTATAAGTGAAGCTGTTAATAGCACATTAAAATAATGTCACTTTATTAAAAAAAAGAAAAAAAAAGACTTTTGAAGAAACTTCAATAAAATTAGTTACCCGTAAAAATCTTATATTTCTACCAAAAACTTGACAGTTTTT